CATGTAAGAATGAGGGCTATAGTTAAGTAACTTTATCAACCATGTGTTGGCCTTTTAGCCTACCTATCCACTTACCTCCCGGGTGATGCCCCCGTCGCACCTACCCTGCAGGTGAGCGCCCTATCGCCGGCCCTGCCCCAACCTCACACCACCTTGCACCGTGGTACCTTGGGGCAGCTACCCTGTACCTACCCTGGAGCTGCTCCGCGGCGCCCGACCTCCAGGGTGTCTCCAGGGTGTCTCCAGGGTGTCTCCAGGGTGCCCGCTGCCGCAGCGCCTACCCTGCACCCCGTGTCCTCTCCAGTCCCTCCAGGGTGCCCCGCTCGAGCCCTACCCTGGAGCTACCCTATACCTACCCTGTACCTACCCTGTACCTACCCTGTACCTACCCTGGAGCGCCCCCCCACACTGCTCCTACAGGGTGTCTCCAGGGTGTCCGCCCTCCCCCTTCCCTTCTGCTGTGCCGAACCCCCCTAGCACCCCTCCGAAAAAGCAGCCCCCCCTAAAAGGCCTTGAGAAACCACCGCGATTTCGCCGCCTCTGGGCGAAGCTACCCGGAAGAAGGCTGTGGGCCCCTTCCGAGGCCGGCCGGGGCTGAGCACCACCCTGCCGGCGACCTGCGTACCCGTTAAGAAGCCCGCCTAAGCAGCGCCCTTCGTGGGTTTGCAGGGCGCCCCGCAGGGGGGTTGCCGCCTCCCCTTACGTACCCACCGGCCCCGCTTGGCTGTCGAACATGCTGGCGAGGGTTCTGGGGCGCCAAAACATTTCCCGAAAAATTCATGTGCCCAGCTACCCTGTACCTACCCTGTAGATCCGCGACCGACCTCAGCTCCAGGGTGTCTCCAGGGTGTCTCCGCCGAGACCAGTTACCCTGTACCACCCGCCAGACGTCACCCTGGAGAGCCCCAGCCCTGTGTCGCTACAGGGTGGCCCCGCTCGACGGCGCTACCCGGCACCTCGAGCCACGTCGTTGGTCGCACTTACCCTGCACTTGCCCCCCCCCGCCAACGCACGTCGTCGGCATGCGGACGAGAGAGCACGCCCAACCCCGGCCGCGCCCACCCTGCACGTCATGGGCGACGTTTGCCAAAGTCTGGGAGAAGTTACCCGGGAGCACCTCGCCCCCACGGATTCGACGACGCTTCCACTATGTGAGAGCACCTCTTCTCTTCACTCCTCCTACCTGCTTTTTTCCGGCGCCGCCATTCTGAGCGGTGTTCTTGTCGCCATGGGGCGGTCAGAGTCTCTTATCGTCCCGGCCGTGGCTCGGGTAAAATATGAGAAATCTAGGCAAAAAAGGGCTTACCCTCAGCAGATCGTAACAACAAGGCTACTCTACTGCTTACAAGACCCTTTTACACAGCTAAGTCGTTTGTAAAGGATTTAATCCCACGCGTGTTAAAATTACAATACGCGAAATATTATTAAAACTTTTTTATTTTAATAAAAAACTTTATTATTTACGTTTTTTTTTATTATGAGTTTTGCTATCCGCACCCTTAAAAATTGCTATCGGAGGCTTATTCGCACCCTAGTACATCTGGAACTAGCGTTCGAATGCCGTTGGTCCGAGCGCCTCAGCTAGCTTCCGTCAAAAGATCCAACATAACTTCCAATTCAAGACTTTAATTGAAGTGCATCTTGTATCGTTCGAGTCAGCTCAATTAGACGGTTCAAATGATATATGTTTCAGATTGATGCGATCGGTGGTTACGAAGTTATTTGAATTCAAAGATCAAGAAGCACCTTGAAAATGGTGCAGGTTGAAGTGGTCCGTGCATCACGTAGTGCCGGCTAGCGCTACACTAGCGGCAAAGCGTCTATTTCACTCTTTTCTAAATAACTTTACAATTACTCGTCGCGTCAATTTGAAACATATATCGTTTGGAAGCTCTAATCGAGACGGTTCTAATGGTGCTAGATGCACTTGAATCCGATTATTCAGTTGGAAATTATTGGAAATTGTGTTGGATCTTTTGATTGAAGCTAGCTGGAGAGCTCGGACCAACGGCGCTTGAACGCTAATTTCTTATGTACTAGGGTGCGGATAAGCCTCCGATAGCAATTTTTAAGGGTGCGGATAGCAAAACTCATAATTAATTAATAAAAAATATAAAAAAAAGGAAAAAAGTTAAGCTTTTAACGTTTTAAGTTAATTATATATATATAAATAAGGTTTAATAAGTTATAATAATAATAATTATAAGAATATTTATATAATAATAATTATCCATCCGGAGGATATTTTTATGTTGGAACTTTTTCAGAAAATTACTATGGGAAATTATTGAATTAATTACGTCATTAAATACCCCTGTAATTCCCAAAAACCCGTGCAGGAAAATCAGGATTGGTCAAATCGTTCTTAGCGCCAGCTGCCAGACAGCCGTGCGTTCTTTTTAAAAGCTTTTTATTGGCTGCATTCCATTAAAGCAAACGCTTTTTATTGGCTGCATCCCTTTATGCCAGCTGTCCCAAACTTTGTCAACCATAGCCGTGCATCCATAGCTGTTGCCGTATGGGCACATCTCCATAGCTGCTGCCGTATGGGCACATCTCCATTGCTGCTGCCGTATGGGCACATCTCCATTGCTGCTGCCGTATGGGCACATCTCCATTGCTGCTGCCACAGCTTGCTGAACCTTATCGGTGTATATATAGCTAGCCTGAGCTCTCTTCTTCTCTTCTATATATTGATTAACTGATTGACCTTTTGAGTCCCATCTCTTGCTACGGTTGGAAGACCTCCAACCCCCATACCATCCCGGTTCATCCGAGGGGTGAGCAATATGCTCACCCAGAAAATCCTCAGACCCTTTGGTTGTTGAAGGGTTAATCAACAACCGTCCTATTCTTATCCATTGCCCATATCCTTATTGATTGCCCAACCATGGACCCCATCCTTATTCATTGACCATATCCCTATTTTGCCCATCCTTATTCATTGACCATATCCCTATATATCAGCAGAGCCGCAAGAGCCTCAACGCACAGGCCATCGGCAGAGCCTCAGGCAACCCAACACCACCTCGACCATTTACGGCTTAAGCACATGTATCCCGCTAGGAGGACTGTCTGGAGTTACTTCAATTATTGAAGCAGCACGGGTCTGCTTAGAGATTCGTATCAGGGGTCAACACACATGTGTGGTAGATAACGTGGACGTTATCCTTTCCATTGAAAGGGGGGTGATGTTAGGACATGGCCATGGACGTGGATGTGGCCATGGACGTGGATAGCCACTCCCGTGGCTATCCATGGCTACTGCCATGTGGGCATCCCTATGGTTGCTGCTGCCACAGCTAGCTGAACCTTATCTGTGTATATATAGCTCTTGAGACGCTGGGAGCTCAGCTCTCTTCTTCTCTTCTATATTCTCTATTGACTGATTGATTGACCTGTTGAGTCCCATCAGTAGTAAATATTAATAAAAAGTCAAATTAATATAAAGATAATTTTAAAAAACCTAACGACAAAAAGCTTAAAAAATGTTAAAAACAAAAACGCCTTAATAAATTATTCACTTCACCTTTATTATCTTAATCTATTAATAATATTAGCAATAATAATAATTTTAATAAAAAAAGGTTAATAAATTTAAAACAAGAATTACCGCTACCATTAAATAACTTTAAAACAAAAATAATAATACTTATAAAAATTTAAAATAAATAAAACGTTAATAAATTATTAATCCGTAAATATATAAATTCTTATCCTTTAAATAATTACGCCTTCCTTCCATTACTTATTCTTAACTTTTAACCCCTTTTTAACTTTTTAAAATAGTTTTTTAATTAAACGAGTAAAATTTCTCCGGTTAACGCAACGATTCTTAAAAAAAAAATATTTAAAAATAATTTAAAAGCCCGTCCCGGAGTTTATAAAAAGCCACGAGCTAATAAATCACTTTTAAATATTTTTTTTTAAAGGAAGGCCAGAGAAATTTTAATTAATAATTTTAAAAATTAATGAATTTTAATTTTAAAGGTTTAATATTAAATTTTAAAAAAAAATTACAAAGGATAAAAAAATACATTTTAAACTTATATATTTTTTATACATTTAAATATACCTTTCCACTTTTTAAAAGATAATTTAAAAAAGATTTCAATTAAGGCTTAAAGCTTTATTTATACTTTTATATATTTCTTAAAACTTTAAATTTAAGCCTTATTTAACGCCTTATTAACCTTATTAGTTAAAATTTAAATAACCTTTTAATCACATGTTGCATTATAATGAAACCGGATTTAATTAAATGCGTATTTAATTCTGAATTGATTAATATAGGTCTTAAAATAAGGCATTACGTCGTCGCGGAGTTATTTAAGTAAATAGGTGGCAGGCCGGGCGGCACGTGACTACCTTTAAAGCCACAATCAGAGCTTTTAGTGCCACGCTAAGAGCCCTAGAGCCGCCTGGGCTACGCTAAGGAGTGCCACGTGACCCCCCTCGATACATTTACCAAAATAACTTTTCAACCACATATCGCCTCAGCTTAAGATCTGTATCAATCAATTAGTAATTGAATAGTCATTCAATTGAGTTTAGTTGCATTGTGGTGCGACATGTAATTGGAAAGTTATTCAAGGTTGAAACTGCTGAGTAAGGTTTGGGTCTAAGGGCTCTAAGGGCGCCAAGTGCCATTAGTGTGGCCCTAAGGGCTGTCACGTGCCTCCCGGTCTGCCACTTACTCCGAGTATTGCCTTAATTCGAGACCTATATCAATCAATCGGTAATTGAATTCTCTTTCAATTGAATTCGGTTGCACGCTTGTAGCTATATGTTTCAAAGAGTTATTTGGATTGAATTGATGTGGGCAGCTGGGGGCACTAGGGGCGCTAGGGTTTAAGGGATGTATAGAAGTACGAATAAGGCCCCGATAGCAAAAAATAGGAGTACGAATAGCAACACTCATTTAAAACCACTTAAACAATATAATATTTAACGTTAATACGAACTTTACTTCTTAAGAGTTCACCAGCAACACGAAGGCAATGTCCATCACGGTTAAAAAAGTACCCGTTAAGGCACGTAATTCAATCAGCAAAGTCGAACGCTATCATGGACCACTCCGACGTGCGTACGAGGTAATCTCGGGTGACCTACATGGCACCCAGACCGGTAAAGCATCTATCCTACAGATGGCAGTCAAGGCGGTACTTGACACAGCTGGCCCCAACGGACTTATACCTACCCTCCTCGTGTTTGGAGCGTACCCACGCCTATCCATGTTGTTCTCTATTGAGTATCCTCTCGATATACCTCTTTTTCTTATCGGTTGGGCCACCCTAGGGTTCAAAGGTGGCGCCGAGGGTCTTGAGGGGGCGGGCTACCCGGGGGGTTTCGTGGGATAGCGCCGGGGTCTTGGAGGGGGCGGGGCACCTTAGGGTTCATGGGGTGGCGGGCTGCCCGGGGATTTCTTGCGTGGCGGCGGCGGGAGCCATCGGTGAGACCCATCCCTCAGTGGCCCGTAGAGATCTTGATTCCTCTCTAGGGGTCGATTTGGGCCCCTGGGATGAGTCTTGTTCTCCCTGGAGGTAGCTACGGGCTCGGCTAGCGGTCATCTGGGGACTGATCTCTTAGGGGGTGTAGGTTCTCGGCTGGGTGTTTCCCTTGAGGGCTCGCAGAATGGCTGGGGGGGCGTTTGGCCAGGGACTTCTCTTGAGGCGCGCGGAGGGCCTCCGGGGGGTCGGCTGTCGGCTAAGTACTTCCCTTATGAGCTCGCAAGGGGCCTCGGCTAAAGATCACCTGGGAAAACTTTCCTCTAATGAGAGAGGGGGGGCGGCTGTTGGCTGCGACGGTGTCTCTCTGTTGCGGGCGCCGGGGGGGGGGGGGGGGTCTTGAGTGTTGTGGGCCGAGGGCTCTTAAGTGTGGCCAGGGTAGCTGGGGAGCGCGCTAGGTGCGCTATCTCAGAGCTAGGAGCGCTAGAGGCGCTAGAGGCGCTATCGACGATAGTTTGCTGTATTATCGGACGAGGGTGTCGTTGCTTGAGAAATTTGAAACGAATCCCTGGAAAAAAGGGATGAAAAACTTGGAATGAACGTGTAAGGGGTAAAATCAAGCAATGTCGGGAAAAATGAATAAGAGAAACGAGGGAAAAATAGATGGGGGAAAGAAGTAAATTTAGTGTAAGATGGTCCTTCACCGGGGGGGTCGAAGCTGGATAGCGGCAGCGTAGCTGTTGTTGTTGGAGCTGGGTAGCCGTGTTTTCCAAAGTGCTTTGTGAAGGGATTCACAGATTGGGAAGGAAAAAAAACAACTCTTCTATGAGATGATCTCGCTCCTGTAACCGTATAGTAGTTTCGCAGTTGTGGAACTGCAAAGTTCAACGGCCATCAGACTTGTTCGAATCTCGGATAGGAGTGTTGGTTGAAGGTTCCTTCGTGCGTTGATGGACGCGATCCTATAACCGTATGGTAGTTTCGCAGCTGTGAAGCTTTGACGTTCAACGGTCCTAAGATCTTAATAGTAGCATGTAGTCCACACAATTCAACTTGGGCTCTGAGGCCGGTAGAATTGTGTCTCTTCATCTCTTCTTGTCCGGATGCCTTATAGTTTCCTTACAGTGAGTTACCAGTGAAGGCTTCACTGCTTGGCCTATCCGATATTCTTCCTCTGAATACCTTGCTGTTCTGTAGTCAACTTGTCGGGTCGACTACTGATCAGTTTCGGTGGACAAGGTCTACCGAATATATCACGTATTGCAACATAATGGTAGGTAGTAGCATACACGCTGCTGCGTTGCAACAGCGCAGAGTGAGATACCAACCACGTGGTGTATAACTGTATTAATATCTGAAGAAAAAAGAGAAGACTACTGTAAATGGCTATGTAGATGAATCTATTTATGTGCGTGATCACGCATTACTAATCGCTGTATGACTAACCCATATTCCCTATTCTCCCTTTAGTGGTATTCCAACAGTTGCATCATAATGCAACTTTTGGATCCAAAGTTATCTAACCTAGGTAAATAGGTTGAAGGCCACATCACGTGATAGGTCTATCGCGCTGGGATTAATATTGCCACCTTTTTACTTGAATAACTTAACAACCAGATATCGCGTCTACATGTGCCCTGGCTCTTTCAATTCTTTGCATTGAGGGCTTTTAATTGATGCAGCCTGTGAGATTTGAAACATACGTTTAATTGAGTTATTCAAGTTGGAAGAACTGATTTGATTCGGACCAAGGGAATTCGAAGGCGATGCGAATTCTGATTGGGAAGATGACTTAGGGGACCGTTCAAAGTCTTTGTATAATGATCGCAGGGAACTAACACCCCAAGGTTCGGAACGACCGCAGGGCAACGGGCGGCCAGACTCCCCTCGCAGCTACCTTGGCCGAGAGAACCAGCGACGTCAGAGGCCCGTTGAGAGGGAGGAGGCCGGAAGCGAAGCCGTAACCCTACGACTCTTGCAAGACCTACTCGAAAGCAACAGGGAGGTCACCCCCCTGATTCTTCAAGAAATTGGAGGAGGTCGGCCACCAACATATAACACAGCGAAATTAAAGCCGAACGCGCTCTCGCCCGAAATCGAGGATTGGGTCACCGCCATTAAGGATGGCAACGAGGAGAAACCACACGCGGCTACACCAACCCTCGTGCAATGGGCAGTGAGCATGATGGAGCCTCAGCTACAAAGCGATTGGAAAGGCTTCGTCGCATTGCTCCAGCGCCCAAAGAGTGATATAGATCTTGAACAACTATGGGACTTCGTCCGCCGACCAAACGTCGAGTCAAGACGCATAGAGTCAAAGTTGCGGACAGAGATCTCCGAAATGTTGCAGAAAGACAACGAGACGCCACGAGAATTCTATACGCGTTGGAGCACGGTGTTACGTCGAGTAGAGGGCTCATCCTTCCTGCAGAGCAGAGCCTGGGCGCACGACTACCGGTATAAGCTACAGCCTAAGCTCAAGCGTTACCTAGGTCGAATGAACGTCCCTAGAGATAAACCCCTGAAGGTATGCCAGGAGGCCGAGTGGGCATGGGCCAACTGGGAGGACAAGCAAGGCAGGAAACGGGCCCTGACCGGAGACACGAAGGCGGCCACCGCTGAGGTCAGCAACGTCACGACCAACGATACGAGGGGTCGTCAGGACCAGCCGAGCAACCGCCGATTTAATAGCAACCGTAGCAAGTCGACTAGAGTGGACAGAGGCGGCCGGCGTCAAAGGGGGCAACAGGACCGCTTAGGCCAAGGGGCACGGGCCAGACGGCCGGAGGCTTCACGGATTAAGTAAGCTACTTTAGGAAAAAAACACGCAATTACGACGTAATCCTTAGGGCGGCCTTTCAAAGCCCCGCTAAGATAACACCTCCGTGCAAATATTTAGCTAAAAACTTTTCTCACTTAAGAAGCTTATCGATACTAGTTAAATCTCTTATCAATTCCTAACGCGGGTTAATTATCCACGCTTATACCTATGTACGTAATTACCCTTATATCATTTTCTCATCTTTCACATACAATACTGCTATGCGATGCTTCACATTTAAGCATAACTATTACTACCTTATACACGTACCGGTAACTCCTTGTAAGTAGTGCTAGTAAATAGCCACAAACAGCACGATGGCAAAACCTAAGTCATTCACCAAACATGCAAAGGCAAAGTCCAAGAAGGAACCAAAGTTAGTTACAGCAGATGACTTCCAAGCCGCTGGTGTTGACTTTGAGGAAGCTGCTGGAAAATGGCGTGCGGGGGATGCTGCCAAGTCAATGAGGTTCTTTCAGCGAGCTGTGGACATATACGACCAAGGCCTGCAAAAGTTCCCTCAAAGCGTAGACCTGGCTTACAATAAGTGAGAATTCTTACCAGTCCACTTAGGCGAATATCAGAGTACTCCGCTAATATGGAGCAGAGCTCGAGTACAACTGGAGATAGCTACACATCCAATTCTGGTCGAACAGTTGCAACGGCCACTGAGGGATGTCCTGGAAGAAGGCTTAGTATCGCATCAGTATGTGTTACAACTGGACCCTGCAAATGACGATGCACTCTTCAACACGTCGCAGGTCCTCACAGCAATTGCCGAGATGATGGCAACGAATGAGGAAGAGCCCGGTGACGCCGAAGCAATGAAAATGCTTCGTGAAGCGCTTGAGCTGCAGGGAAGATGCCTCGGCATCCAAGAACAGAAATATGAGGAATTTCTCGCGCAAGAACGTGCTGCAGACGAACAAGGGGGGGCGGAGAATACCAACCCGCCAGATGCGGCATACACTCGCGGTGCAACCGAGGATGCTGATGAAGAATGGTTTAATGTCATCGAACCAGTCACCCGCGACACCCTCATCGATACGGTGCTTGCCCAGCTAGGAACTTTGACCACCTTTTGTAGCATTCTAAGCTCTTCGTTCAAACTTGCCCCCAAAGGAACGCTTGCTTGGGTTGAGGGAATCTCGACAACACTTATAAGGAAGGCTGAGTCATTCTCTTGCGACCAGCAAAATAGGTTACGTGAAATTGCCTTGGCACGAGCAAACCTCTTGTCGGCGATGCTGGAAGCGGGATATAAGTCTAACCAGATTGATGTCGAGACTTACAAACGAGAAAGAGATGCAGCTTTTGCTTCGACCGAACTCCAGCTTGAGCGATCAGTAGACGGCCTTATCCACAACGCCCGCTCTTTGTTGGCCTTCAACTCAGCGCTAACTGATACCAATAATGGAGATGTCCAGTCACACTCGGTCCTACGGTGGAATGCTCTCACGGCGAGCATAGCTAATTTGAGATCAGCGTCGGCAATGCAAGGTATTTCCGAAGACGACCTATCCACAACGCATCTCCTACGCGGTGAAGCATCTCTATATCTTTACGGAATGGCCTTCCCGCCAGCTTCGTATCCCACGGCTACAAGCAGCGCCATGCAAAACGCCAAGAATGCAGAGGTATATTACCGCAATGCGAGCAAACTATCCCAAGACCAGGAAGAGAAGGATATCTCTTCAATAAGGTCGGCGGTGGCTCAGTACTTACAAGCCTATTATCAGGGCCAGGGCGCGGGATGCGTCAGTGGCTTGTTCCAAACTTGCGCCCGGGGTCAAGCGTGGGTTGCCACACAGCTTGAAGAGATGATGGCTGAGAATCTTGTACCACAAGGTGCTTTTGTAGATCTCTAACCTAAATGAGTATCTGGCCCATGGAGCTGGGAACCTCATGACTTGCCCTCTCATCATTGAGTGGTGCAGTGTTATGTACCTAGGTAGATAGGTAGATGCCGAGCTTAGTACTTAATGATCATGACCCTCGTGGCTAGTTTCGATCCAATCTTCAAATCCATCCTCAAACAGTTCTTCCAACGATTCCTGCACGTCATCAGATTCCATGGCCGTCTCCCAGTCACGAAACTCCTGATCGTCCAAAAGACACGCATCAAATGCTTTCCGAAGACGTGTTTCGCCACCAGCCTTCATCTCTTGGCCGATAAAGACCAGCTCTTGTCGACGATCTCCCCACTTTCCCTCGAAATCACGTGTTATAGCTTCCCTCGTCTCCGGGTCCGCCGGCCATTCGTTTTCCGGAGCCTCGCAGCGCCAGAGATCTTGTCCGGATATAGTCAGCATTACACCTGCCTGTGACCATTCGCCGTACTAGGTAGTAACAATGTTAGCATAGGAAGCTTGGACGGCCGCCGAGCTCACTTGCCATCTTAGGTCTAGTTGCTAGCCAGAGAAATCCTTTGGATCGTAATAGCGGTCCAAAAGTCTGATCCTCCATCTTCGAGGCTAATCTAGCTTTAGGGTTGAGCTGAGGTTGGTCTTCCTTGTCGCTATCTTCGTTATCGTCATTATCGTCATCTTCATCATACTCGTCTCCGGAAATATCCCCATCCACTTCCATATCCTCACCCTCAGCCTCATATTCTGTTTGAATAACGACAAATACAGACTTGATCATGTCCCATAGTCGGGCGGGATGAAAAGGACGACGTGCTCGATATACAAACGTGCCTATGCCATACTCCTCCGTTTCTGGATTGATCTCCTCGTGCAAACTTCTTAACCACCCGGCGCTAAGGACCGCCTTCTCGTAAGAGAAGAGTCGAGTATTGAGAATCTCCGTTAGGTCAAGCTGGGATCCAACGGTAGAGACAACCTTGGCGTTGGGATTAAGCTTGCCGACGACCCCTTTTATCCGATTCACCTCGTGCCTAGACACCAGATCACACTTGTTCACGACAACGATGTCGGCGAACTCGACTTGATCTACCTGCAGGTCAGATATGTTGCGATCATCCTCCTCGGGGGCGTCAGTTTGGCGGTCTACAAGAAAGTCCGCTGTCGCGAAATCCTGCACGAAATTGACGGCGTCTACCAGTGTAACGCAGGTATCCAGGCGCGCAACCTTGGATAATCCACCAGCCTTTAGAATCTTAGCAAGCTTCTTGTTCTTCTCCCCGGCATCTCGATCTTCGGCTTCGATATCATAGCCTGCGGCGATGTGCATGTCGGCAAACCTGATAGTTGAATTGGTTAGCGGGGGGTGGTATGGAACGAACACGAAGACCATGATGAAAGCACTCGCTCTTCTGAAAACGTTTCGGCGACCTGCATTGGCTCGCTAACCCCGGAGCTCTCGATGACCAGGTACTCGACTTGTTTCTCTTCTGCCAGTCTCGCAACCTCTTCGAGTAGATCACTCCGAAGAGTGCAGCAGATGCAGCCATTCTGCATGGCCACAACCTGCTCCTCCTTACGAGTTACGTCATGTGCGGATAGAAGGGCTGCGTCGATGTTCAACGCGCCAACGTCATTGACTATAACCCCTATGCGGAGACCGTGGTCGGGAGATGTTAGAATGTTCTTCAGGAGCGTCGTCTTGCCCGAACCCAGAAACCCGCTTAGCAGGGTAACTGGGAGACGTCCATCGGATGTAGTAGTAGTTTCAAGTATCGTAGGAGACATGGTGCAATATGTTGTCGCTTGAAGTATAGTTACATATGTAGGTAGGTATGTATGACTTATAAACGATGCTGAACTTTTCGGATAATATCATGGGATAAAGGCATTTTATAGCATCGTCAAGCCCTTATTCACGGTGATGGCTTATAACTATAGCAACGCTTATTGGCTATAACAGTCGATTCCCGAGGCCGATTGTTCGATTAGCTTATACCTTGCTGGCTTCAATGTGAGGACCTTGATGGTGTGACGACGCAGACCTTGATGGCTGGTGTATGAAAGGGATCAAGCCTTACGTATATAGAGAGGTACATGTGTATGTAGATGCTGGGTACCTAAGCAACATCCTTTACGACTTGAAATATTCTAAGGTAGGGTAGGATGGAAATGACATTTATATATAATATAATACATGTACATGATATAAACAACAAGCATCGCATGTAGCATGGCTACTTGGACAAGAACTTCTGGAAAGCTTCTTGTTCGATCACGACATTTCCAACTGACCTAAGCCTCTTGCGTCCCTCCTTTTGCTTCTCGAGAAGCTTTTTGCGGCGTGTAATATCACTCGCGTGCAACTTGGCGAGAACGTCTTTGCGGAAAGGCTTAAGAGTCTCGCGGGCGATGATCTTCTTACCGATGGCAGCCTGAATCACCACCTCAAACATCTGCCGCTGAACATGCTCCTTGAACTTGGTGACCCATGCTCGGCCTAGCCGGTCTGCCTGTGACAGGTGCACTACGCGTGCGATGGCATCCACAGGCTCCTTGTTGACAAGTAGTTGTAGTTTGACTAGTTTGCTCTCGCGCCAGCCCGCGTCTTCGTAGTCTAGCGTGGCATACCCCTTAGTCGCACCCTTGAGTTTGCCAAAAAGGTCGTCGACAAGTTGCGCAGTAGGAATGCGATACTTGAGAATGACCTGCATACCGTGGAAAAACTCGATACTCTCCTGCTCGCCACGGTTGGACTCGCATAGCTCGATAGCACGGCCTATGTACTCTTCTGGGACCGTCATCGTCGCGAGAACGTATGGTTCGAAATAGGTAGCCCCGCGGGAACGGCTATCCTCGACATCTGGGAAGTCTGACGGGCTTTGGAGGATAGACTCGGTACCATCGCGCCATTGAACCTTGGTCTGGACGGCAGGCTCAGTGATGATGATGCTCGCTCCGTGTTCCTGCCGGAGGCGGTCTTGGAAAACAGAGCAGTGGAGACTACCGAGGAAACCCAATCGCCAGCCGGCTCCGAGAGCCTCGGAATGGTCTTTGAAAAGGGTAACACTGCGATCATTGAGGACGAGCTGGCCAATGCTATCTGCTAAACGACTGTAGTCGGAGGGATCTGTGGGGAAAGCGGCAACGAATACCATGGGCTTGGGCTCCACGAAACCGGGATAGGGCTCGACGATATCTTCAGAACCTACGGTGGTGAAGGTGTCGCCGATCTTGGCATCCTGTATGTTCTTCATGCCGGGATTAAAGAAGATGTATCCGACCTGACCAGCACGTAGGACAGACTGGGGAACCTGTGTAGGATATCGTATGCCCACTTCGCCAACGGTATATTTATTACCAGTTACCAAACTAACGAGGCTATCGCCATGCCTCACTGTGCCATCGAAGAGCCGGACAAGGCAGATGACACCCCGAAAGCTGTCGTACCACGAATCAACTAGAAGCATTCTCAAAGGCTTCGTTTCGTCGCCCGTAGGTCTTGGTATGTTCTCCACGACAGCCGGCAATATTTGTTCGACGTTGAGGCCGGTCTTGGCGCTTACTCCTATAGCGTTGCTGACATCGAGCTCGAAAGTAGTCTCGAGCTGCTCGAGCACTCTCGGCACGTCGGCTGCGACCATGTCTATCTTGTTGATAACCGGCAATATCACGAGTCCTTCGGCAAAGGCGAGATAAAAGTTGGCGACAGTCTGGGCCTGAATTCCCTGGCTTGCATCTACCAGGAGTAGGGCCCCTCCACAGCTGGCGTAGGATCTCGTGACTTCGGCGCGGAAGTCAACGTGGCCGGGGGTATCGACAAGATGGAGTAAATAATCTAGACCGTTATGGTTATAGATCATGGTGCAGGTCTGAGCCTTGACGGTTATGCCACGCTCACGCTCGACCTCAAGGGTATCGAGGATCTGGCGGTTCGAGTTGGCTGCTGATATGGTACCGGTCAGCTCCAGTAGACGATCGGACAAGGTGGACTTTCCATGATCAATGTGTGCCACGATACAGAAGTTGCGAAATCGGTCAATGGGTATGGCTGCAATTCGACGTTCGAGATCACTGACTGCTCCGGCCTTTGCGGTGCTATATCGTCTTATAACGATAGGTGATGGCGCAGAGAGTTCTGTTGTTCGTCTGGCATGCCGTAGAAATGGAAGCTTGGAAGAATGAGAAGGCCATGCTGAACGTAAGCAGGTGTTGATACAGATGCTACTATAAGACCTGCGAAGAAGACCTTGCCGGAGACATGATCGCATGAGAACAGATGCCAGCCTTAAGTCAAGTCTACCATCCATACATACGGTTTACGCTGTCAGCCTTGTCCACTTTGAAAGGTCAACTACATAGCACGTAGCACGTAATAAAGCATGTGAGGCTATTCGCGGCTTTCACTCTTTGATGAAATCGAAGAAAAAAGTTGAAAGTGGCTCGAGAAGCTTATCTTATCGATATCTTATCTCTTTCGGTTGTAGTTACCCTTGAAGTTATTTCAATGTTACATATAACTAACTAGTATTACCTAACCATCACCCCGCCAAATTTACGAGTGCATACTAAATAAAGTCTAAGAGCAGTCGCAACCTGAAGTCAATTAAAAGTAAACAAATATACAAAATCCTATGTACAATTCCAACTTGAACAATTACACCATCTTCAAAGCATTGGTCCCCCTTCGAGTAAGAAACAACGAGATAGTCAACAATACCTCAAAATGGCTTCTGCATCCACAGAAAAGGATAAATCCAAAGTCCACAAGTTGTCCCTCAAAGGAAGTGCGAAACTAGTCGCCGAGTTTGTATGTTTAGCATTTTCGGACACAAGTAACATTTGAATTCCCGATATTAACCAGCTGCGTCACAGTTTCAATATTCGATTCATACCATACTGTACGTCGTCGATATCCCTTTCACTATATATATTGTATTGTATTAACCCCCCTAATTAGATTCCAAAGAGGTGTATACCCCGCGGAGGACTTTACAGCGTACGTGCCATCCCACGATCCACGATCCACGATCCACGATCCTACGAATCCAGCGAGTGATCAACGCATGTCAAAGTAGCAGGCTAACCCAACAGATGATGCAGCGTCAAGAAGTATGGTCTCAACATGCTAGTGTCGGCCGATGATCAGGTGAAGGCGTACATCAAGAAGATCATGTCACAGCTCGACAAGTGGATGCAACGCGGCAAGATCAGCAAGCTAGTGATTGTCATCACCGACAAGGACACGGGCGAGCACATTGAACGCTGGCAGTTTGATGTTCACATCTTCAACAATGCCAAGTCCAAGAAGTCCAAGTCTTCGGCAGCGCCAGCCGACCAAGAGAACGATGCAGCCCCGTCTGCCTCCAACACAGCTCTCCCCGACCCTTCCAAAACCGAAGCCGAGATACAAGCCGAGATTGCTGCCCTCTTCCGACAGATTACCGCTTCGGTTACGTTCCTACCCCAATTAGCTGGCGACTGCACGTTCAACGTCCTAGTCTATGCTGATGCCGACAGTGACGTGCCCGTCGAATGGGGAGACAGTGATGCCAAGGAGATTGTCAACGGCGAGAGGGTGCAGTTGCGAGGATTTAGCACCACCAGTCACCGTGTCGAGACGTTGGTCAGCTATCGATTGGGGGAGTAGAAAGTGCGAGTCATCTGCCTACCCTTGGTATATCACATCAAAGCCGAGCCTAGCACAGAACCGGATTGTACGATGGGGAGCATATTCGTTGGATAAAGTCGGGATTTGTTTGGGCGTTCCGGGGCTTGCTAGTTTTCTACAGGGGCAGAAATATTTAGCATGAATGCCTCGCTCTGTATAACTACCTCACTAGTCCTAGGCACTACTAGGTAAAGGGCAGGCGGGTGCCTAGATATATAAGCTGCCTTACTTGGAACATTTGAAACCTACACTATGATATTCACTAGGTAGGTCACTCGTGCTTGGAAAAGTTATGGCTCATTAGGTGATGGTGGGTTTTGCAACCATTAACGATGGTTCATTTTGCAAGTAGCCACCAGTGTAGCCCTCAACCATTCTATGTTTATCTCCATGATTCCTTAGCCATGATAATAGGCATGTCTTGTCTCATCCCTCATGTATTTGTTGATATTCGTCAAATTCTATGAGAACCCCCAGAGTCGACCCGGATGCCTACCTACCTTCCTACTCATACCCTTTTCCTTATGCTTGCTATACTACACCAACTCCGATCAATTCACGCGGTTGAAAAAGTAGACGTAGGCCGTCTTCTTCATTTCCTCTATGTCACCCGCTTCGACGACCTTCTCGTCGTTAAATAACACCCATTTGGGAGTTGTGACGTCCAATAACTTGCGTATGAATGCCACGTAATGCCTGTCATCATGTTAATGCCACGTCTTCTAATCTCTAGTCATGGTACGGCGAGACCTACCCCGTATGAATACTAGTGCCCTTGTGGCACACAATGCTCTGTAGCTGGAATTTGGCAGGTAGCTCTGCACTACCAGCGGCGGCAACAGCCTCAGTCTCTTTCGCCCCAGCAGGACTGGATTCATCATCAAACTCGCCCTGGTCATCCGGGTGGCTAAACAGCCATTCGACTGCGCGTTCCACATCTCCATTGGTTTCTTTGAGAGCTTTTCGGGCCTGTGGTGCGCCAAATCCCATAGCCCCTAGCATCTCAATCTTCTCCGGATCTGCCGTGGCGTTACCTCCTGTGCTGGTAGACGTAATGCTTAAAGGCTCGTCGATATCTGGGTCCTCCATGTGGCCAAATAGCCACTCCATCGCTGCATTGGCATCCGAGTTACCCGTCGCATGTAGCGCTTTTTCGCAGCGATTGCGAGGGAATCCCATTGCCATCAGCCCATCAAGCGCGGCTTCATTGGGAACGAAAGCCGGGGATTCCGTCCCTCCCTCTTCTGGCAACAACTCTTCAGATGGTTGAAGACCAGATGATATGTATTCATCAAGTAGGAATGGCTCATTCTCTACTATAACGGGGACATCGACCTTACGAGGAACCCAATTCTCAATCGTCATCTTTCGTGCATTGACGACGAGGGTCGTGGGAAAAGTCTTGAATAAAGACCGCTTCTTGAATCCGTCTTTGCTCCCACATGAAGCGCAGGTTAGTTCTACTACCTCTTGCGTGGTAAAAATGTCCAGGCATTGCTTGAACGTGACAGGCTTATATCTTTCTCCTTCGCCCTCCACAGCTTGCAACTTTTCCAAGGGAACGTCAATGAAAATGCTATCCTGCTCAGTGCTGGTATATCGAACCTTTTTGCAGGCTAAGCATTGTAGCCGCTGCTCGATGGCAAATCGGAATGGCTTCGTGGGGTCAGTTAAGTGAGCGGGATGCTGCGATCTGGTAATAAGCTTGATTAAGTGTTGAAGAAGCTCAAAGGCATCCTGCTGGCGCATTGTGGAGAATTCTCCATGTCCACGGCCGATCAGATGCTTCAACATACTTGGTGCAATACCTCTCTGATACGGTATGTCTGGAGAATCTTGAGACGCGATGACATTGGTGTCCGGCTTGGAGTACCGACCCGACAGAAGACCATCGCCCAATTTTCGAAGCTGCGTCTCCAAATCTTGGGCTGGGTCGGGGACGATAGGAAGATCAATTTCTGGGATGTTGTATCGCTCCTGGAAGGCGGGAAGGTCGAATAAGCACTGCAAGATACTCGCAAGGTAACAGCTGTTTCCAAGGTTCTTCAATCCAGTTAGGCCAGGTCCGAACAGCGGCTTGAGCTCCTTTCCGTCCTCAGTGGTCATGGAAAACTCCCAGCGCAGGTTTTGCTCGATCTGCATCTCCGTTAAACTCTTCTCTGTCTTGACCCGATCAGCAAGTATGATGCCCCAATGGGCGAGGTGGGTTGAGAGGTTATCATCCACACGCTCGTCGTCGCATTCGTAACAGTATACATCTGCCGTGCCCTCTGGACTAATGGATCCTAGCTTCACTGCCACAGCATGCTTCGACTCGGTCGCGTGCGCTAAGCCATGAGAATTGCCTCCTACACCACCAAACTGAGCCCGGCCACAACCCAAGTTACCGCATTCCAAGCACAGCCATAGATTCTCTTTAAGATCGCACTTGGAACAGTAGCCTAGATCACCGCTCTGAATCTTTCGGCTTTCGTGTTGTTGCAATAGGAGGATGTGTTCGCACGATGTCAACTCCTGCTCCCAAGCCTTGACCTCCTCTTGTCGCGAAAAAGTGTTGGCCTTGAGGATGCTGTCCACCATAGGTGCGAGCTTGGAGCTGGTCTTGTCGAGCTCTGTAGAGCACTCGTGACATTTTACTGCGGTCGTAATATCGTAAAGATCGGCTTCGGTCTCGGCTGCAATAGCTAGTTTGGTCATCTTGGCAGGTGGTTCGTCCTTTACGACACGTTTTCGAGTTCGACGAATGTTAAGAGCCAGGGGATGGCTACGGGTAACATGATGAAGTTGCGAATGAGTTCTCACGCCGAGACAACCTCCGTTGAAACACTGAAGGCAGACATCGAGACCTTCTGGCTCGTCCTATGATATATTCAGCATATAGTAATATGATCATATATGGCCGGTTTGCGGCAGAGAACTCCCGCCTATCCTATAGAACGTGGGGCGCGGCGCTACAGTATGTAGTCGAGAAATAACTCACAATAGAATCGAAGCACTGCGTGCAGTCTTCGCGGTAAACCGACTGGGCCGGCGTAGGGGGGGTCAAAGCTAAAGAGCATTACACAAACGTGAGCTTCCATAATCAATGTAAGATTCAAGGGACCAGTTCTCCCGTTTAAAACTTACATATCGAATCGAGGTGTGGACAAGCCATCTCGAAAGTAAGGTAAGGTTAAAGGCACAGCTTGTGTTGGAGTGAGAGAAGTTTCTATCGACGACGAAGACGACGACGATGAAGGACTCTTCACTGTAGGTATTTGAAGATATGAAGATATGAAGGAGTACTGTCTGAAATTATTATTTCATAGCAGCTTAACACTTACATGCATAAGTTCTATGTACGTAACTGGTATTAGCAGAGGGGTTATGTACCATGTAGCGTTTTTGAGTTGTACCCCACGTTTTAAACTTCGGTTAAATTTGTCGGACTCGGGCTAACCTTGCCAAGCATCAGTAAGATGGAGATTGGGATCTGATAAGATATAAGCATCGGAGGTGGTATTACAAATTACAGTTTAGAAATCAGGAATATCTCGATTTTACACTGTCTTTATGCCGCTATTTATGATAAGCCCCGCACAGTGCGTTTTTCATCTCCGAGTTATATGATTTCATCGTTGTAATAAAGCTTTCTGATTCGCTAAAAATATTTAGATCCATTTTAGTACCGAGATCGCCGACAAAGACCGCTTCACATTTCTAGAATTCCTACATTTATGCTTTCTACCAAATCTTCCATTCTTCGCTAACTTATCTAACTCAACTACTCATCATTTCATCCTGAAACTGAATTATTTCTAAATTACCTCCATTATCTCATCAACCTAAATCAACTACAACTTCGATTAATCCGGTGCAATTCGCATTCAACTGACAATCACGACTATCAAGATGTTTTCGAGAGCGCTCGCGACCACTGCCCGCCGAGCTGTCGCATCGGCTGCCCCTCGCGTCGCCACTCGTCAAACCCTTAACCCAGCCACCAACATTACGCGGCGATCATATCACGAGAAAGTGCTTGATCACTATAACAAACCGCGCAACGTCGGTTCTATGCTCAAAACAGATGCCGATGTTGGTACTGGCCTAGTTGGTGCGCCGGCATGTGGCGACGTCATGAAATTACAGATCCGAGTCGACCCCAACAACAATACCATCTCCGAGGTCAAATTCAAGACGTTCGGCTGCGGAAGCGCCATCGCAAGTTCGAGTTACCTGACAGAGCTTGTGAGGGGAATGACCTTGGAAGAGGCGGGACGAGTCAAGAACACAGAGATTGCGAATGAGCTATGTTTACCTCCAGTCAAGCGTATGTATTTCGTATACTCTCGGTCGATACTAAACTTACAAATACTGATGTGTAATAGATCATTGCTCCATGTTGGCTGAGGATGCCATCAAATCGGCCATCTCCAACTACTACACCAAGAACCCTCATGCCAAACCTACGAACCTTGCCGGCACTGGGGCGAAGATGCCCAGCGTCGGTGAGGCAGTAGCGGCATCGGCTTGAGCAGGAATGTTATCCCGACCTTTTACGAGGTGGGACTACGTTCGTTAGTAGCATGCAATACGGAGTATGGATGATTTCAACGGGACGAGAAAAGCTGCTCTTGTGGGGATGACTTTTGCGAAAGATTGACAGGGGATTGTTTCCCCTCTTAAGGGGGCAGCGCATCGCTGCTGGGTATTTACTCACCTAGTTTGACGTATGTGTTTCTGTTCAGTGCTTGAAATACTTTCAAGAAAAGAATGAGTGTGATGGACTTCTGATATCCTCATGACCGAGATGTTGAACTTAGGTTCTCTGAACACTCGTTTAGGGGTGTATTATAGTTTTGTTTTAGTAATGAATTCTGTAAAACACACATTTGGTAGCCCAGTTACTTCATGAGGTGATGAAATCACTACCTTACGACCATCCTTCCTAGGTATGTAAGCATTTGACATCATTGATATATTGCACACAGCACCTGGTATGGCAGTAATGCATACATAACCCCTAGCTGGTATTGTATATTCGCGTAGGTGGAAGGTTCGAAGATATTACTAGGTAGCCTTGGACATATGTTGTACTCACCTCAACGATACTATGCACCAAATACCTAGGCTATTTTGTAAATATTATAAATTACACGATTTGCTCTCCTGGGAACATTATCTTTTAGAATGTTGTGATCATTGCGAATTGGTTTTGCAGTTACTTACCCTAGGTAGGGTATAATGGCACATGATATCCATGGATAGTATTAAAGCCTTCAATGCTGAAATAATTGATATCAACTTAAAGTAATGAGACATTATGTACGTGTATATACATGTATTGGCATGTCGTCGTATTACTACTATGTACTAGGTACATAAATTGAAGAATTAATTCTGCTTATCGATAGCGGGGCACCTTAGTCGTATTCAAATCACCTTATCGACAAGGTATTTTCCCTTCTTTTTTTCTTCTTTTCTTTTTTCTTGGAGGCTAAATAACACTGTAAAACTCAAATCAACTTAACTCCCCTAATCATCTACCCAAAATACCTACGTTAGACGTTATTCGGAAGTCGACTTATAAAGATCCCGCAAAGATGTCCAAACACCGTCTTGAAGATGCCGAAGATGTAGACGCTGTCATTCTCCCGCGCAAGAAGTCCAAGAAGGATAAAAAGGACAAGAAAGATCGCAAAGAAAGGTTGCGAGAGGATGATGACACGACAGCATCGACTCCGGTAGATTCTTCCGTGGAGAACACTGTTATAGAAGTCGACGGCGAATTGAAGGCGAAGAAGAGAAAGGACAAGAAAGAAAAGAAAGAAAAGAAGGAGAAGAAGGAGAAGAAACAGAAAACTCAAGATGAAGAGGCGAACGAGCAAGAACCCACAAAGGCCAACGACGCAGAATTAGATCGCAAGCCAAAGAAGGAGAAGAACAGGAAAGACAAGAAGAAGGATAAAGTAGAAGAGCCGAAGGTTAATGGTTCCTCCAAGAGCGAAACCAGTGGAACTGTTAACACCTCAACTATCCCCAATGCGTCGCCACAAGCATACGAACAAACCAGCGCCCTCTCTGCCGTGCCTGAGTCTGAAGTCGCATCGTTCTTAACTACGCATCAGATCACGATCACCGATCCCCTTTCCACCTCAACTTTCCGCCCTGTCATGGAATTCGCCCACCTACCATCCTCGCCCTTGATCGCTAAGAACCCCTTCGCTTCCTTCAAGGCCCCGACACCGATCCAAGCGGCGTCCTGGCCCTTCGGGCTCTCGGGTCGAGATATAGTTGGTGTAGCTGAGACGGGCTCGGGAAAAACCATTGCCTTCGGTCTACCTCTTATATCTGCCGTTCTCGGAACGCCCAAGTCCAAGGGTAGCGGCAGGATACGTGCTGTTGTGGTATCGCCTACACGAGAACTGGCAATGCAAACCAATGAGCAACTAGCCACACTAGGCGAGCTTGTCGGCTTGAAGACCGTCTGCGTTTATGGTGGTGCCTCCAAGGATACCCAGCGAGTCTTGTTACAGAAGGCAGATGTTATAGTTGCGACACCCGGCCGCTTGAAGGACTTTATAGACGAAGGCGCCGTCAACTTGGATGCGGCTACGTTTGTTGTACTAGACGAGGCTGATCGAATGTTGGACAAGGGCTTTGAGGACGATATCAAGAAAATCATCGGATGTACGCCCAGAAAGGAGGATCGTCAGACACTCATGTTCACGGCGACGTGGCCGCAGAGTGTGCAAGCTCTCGCATCCACCTTCATGGTGTCCCCTGTCAAGATTCAAATAGGAGGTAATGCGAGCGGTGATCTGCAAGCGAACATAAGAATCGAGCAGCGTGTTGAGGTGGTAGATCCTCGAGGCAAGGAAATGCGGTTGTTGCAAATGCTCAAGGCTCAACCCAAGAACGAGCGCGTCTTGGTTTTTTGCTTATATAAGAAGGAGGCCACGCGGGTTGAAGGTTTCTTGCAGCAGCGAGGCATCAAAGTTGTGAGCATACACGGCGACCTGAAGCAGGAGCAGAGGACCCGAAGCCTTGATGCATTCAAAAAGGGACAGACGCTCGTTCTAGTCGCAACAGATGTGGCGGCACGAGGTCTGGATATCCCTGAAGTGAAGCTTGTCATTAATCTTACGGTAAGCTTTATTGATCCGATTCCGTGATTAGTTCTAATAAGGGTCATCATTTAGTTTCCTCTCACGATCGAGGACTACGTTCACCGAATCGGTCGTACGGGGCGAGCAGGTAAAACTGGTCAGGCCATCACGCTTTTCACCGAACATGACAAGGCACATTCTGGAGAGTAAGCTTGAAGACCATCCCCGGTTCCATTGAATGGCATCACTGACACAGGTTTAGGTTGATTAATATCCTCAAAGCAGCTGGGCAGCCAGTGCCGGATGAACTTCTGAAATTCGGGACTACTGTCAAGCGAAAGGCGCATGGTACTTATGGAGCTTTCTTCAAGGACGTTGACATGACGAAAAAGGGCACGAAGATCACGTTTGACTAAGTGATGTGATAATTTACGTTATTTTCACAAGAGTCTAGCGGTTAGACACCACCTCTGTGGGTCGTTTACCGCCACGGATAGAATAATAGCAGTCCATGAGATACTTGCGTTCGTTGTATGCGCTGTTTCATAGATTAGAACCATACACAGACACATAGAGGATTCGAAGGAGTTATTTAAACTTACATGACCATCGCGTATACTACAGCTCTGCTGCCCACTGTAATGAGATCCCTGAAGACATGAGGTGAAACGCTGCCGATAGAAATGCCAGAGTTCATTAAGGATGCCCAAAAGGCCGCATTGGCAAGAACCGAGAGTGCCAGTCCGTTGGGTAAGATATCACCCCACATAAAATCTGACCCGTTGGCCTTGAAATATCGTTGGATGAAAGCGCCACTCCAGGCAATGCGGCAAAGCATGTTGATGCAATTCGCATAGACAAGACCGGAAGCGCCCAGTTGTAAAACCTGCAGAGAGACAAACCCAGCGAGGCCAAAGGCAAGGCTGAAAGCGCCCATCCATAAACTCTGGCGATGAACTTCCGACTCGGTAGCGACGGACGAGACGAATGCCTCAGTGACACCGTTGACGGCTAGCAGAGGAATGTACATGCAATACCGCGCCAATACCGCGCCAGCTCCACTAGCAGACCACTTGGAGCCGGCGACGATTTGCACTAGCAGAGGCGCAGCATACGGCCCCACGGTAATAACTACCATGCTTAGCAAGACGTACAACTTCAAGACGGCCTGAAAATCCGAGCGTGCTTTGGTAACAGTTTGCTTTTCTGGTGACCTTTTGGCAGAGGAGGAGGAGGAGGAGGAGGAGGAGGAGGAGGAAGAGGAGAGCAGCTTGCTAAAGTAGTTTCGACTGCTTTCCTCGATAGGCTGGAAGACTAAGCGTGCCAAAAGACTGCCGTAATTGTTGGCGAGGGCATAAACGCCTTGCGATGAAGGATCGGAAAGTACCGAGACTAGAAATGTATCGCCTTGGGTGAGGATATGCTTTACGAAAGACTGGGCTGTCAGACTAGAGGCGAGCTGTAGAGTCGGCTTGAAGAAATATCCGAGAACATAATTGTCGCGAGGATTAAGTTGTCCCGTTTGCTTTGTGCTGCTGTTCTTCCCCTCCTGCAGAGGAGGAGCAGTCCTCTTCGGGAGCAGAGAGAAGCGCTCAGCAGATGCTAGTTGCGCGCCATACCAGCTATAGACGGCGAGAAGGCCGACTCCATAAGCGAGCTGTCCGAGAGCGAACGGCAGGACCCCTAGTTGCAAACCCCTTTTCCAGGCCCAGTTAGCCGCCCCAAATGTCACGAGACATCGAAATAAGGTGGCAACGGACTCTGCAGCCGCCCGTGGTCCGAAACGTAGGCGGTATTGTAGAACCACAAAGGCAGGCTCCGATAGTAGCTCTACGATAGCGGCTAGGCCATAGATGCGAAGAGCGGTATCGAGGTAGGGTGTGGTGGCAGTAGCCGCATCTATATAGTGGAGATAGGCCCAGCCCAGTCCAGCCGAGGCTCCTAAGCCGAGCACCAGGGACAGGTGAGCTATGTTGACGACGGACTGGCTGTCACCCCCATTCTCGTTCTCGTTCTCATTCTTATTTCCAGAAGAATTCTGGTCAGCTGAGGGGGACAAAGTGGATGATGGGCTCTCCTGGCGCTGAATAGCCACACGCAGGCTTTCCCTAGCAAAGAATAGGACGGACAAGTAGTAAACTTCTAGCTGAGTCGAGACGCCAAGCAACTGAGCGGTGAGAAAACGAAGTAGCAGCTGGTTGGCGATGAAGGTGATGGCGCGTGATGCAATCTGAAGGATGATGAGTAGGGAGGCTCCGCGGACGGCAGAACCTTGTTTTGGGGTACTATTTGGAGAAATATCCGTTGGTGAATTCTCCTTCCCCATGATTGTATTTCTGAATGCAGTTATGGGATGTGTAAAGGAGCTTTGGGGGGGGGGAAGGGGAAGCTTCAGATCATGTGCTCCGGATACTTTGACAGTGACAGCTGGTGCAAGCTCTACGCATGTACCTACCTAGTAGTATTTAGTGAGGTACATACTAATACTAGTAGTATCAACCTAGATGTCCAATCGATAAGCTTGACTTGGCTGCTTTGCCATTGGTTCGGGACCCCGGATGCTAACCAGGTGATACCTAGCAGCCCTAGTAGTACTGTAGTAGACTGCCAGAACCACCTAAAATGATCCACTATGCACTAAAATGGTAAGTCTAGTACGTTCAGGGGAATGTTTTTGTTCATCTCACGAGACCCGAGAATCTTTCTCTTTAAAAGAACAGTATTTAACTAATCTTACATAGTATTACATACATAGTATAAGAAACTCATGACTCGACATCACACCATTTAACCTTCAAGTATAAGGACGGAGGTATTCGGTGAAATTCTGCAGAGCCGTATCGATTTTACCCACCGAGACCCTTGGAAGGCGAATAGGTCCGGAGCGTTCGAGAACTGATAACCGCTATTGAAACCGCTAGGCATAACCTAGGCATAACTATTTCACGTTCGGTCCGATGCTTCTACCCTAGGTTAGGTGACATAATAGGTGTAGTTATTCCCCATGGTTGTGTTTTCCCCATTTTCCCCATTTTCTCCATCATATCTCCATACTATTCTCTCTTCTCCATCTACTAACAACCCCCCAGCTACCCCAAAAACTGCAATTCGGAGCGAATATACATAGTGTTGCAACTTATGTACACTACAGTGACTACACGTATGCACCTCCAGGGCAGCAGGGCTATCTGCCTACCTTAGTATGTCACTGTATGTGCCTTAGGTACATGTATCGTATGTCGCTCTTTCGTCATCCAGGTTGGGATTGATGACGCTAGATCACGGAAGCAGCTCAAGTTCTCAACACTTAGTTATCCATGACATCCCGATTCCCAAGTCTAGCAGGCCTGGCAAGTCTACATATCATGTTGTTTCTACACCTAACTATCTTGGTATCGATACCATTTTCTTGGAAGGGTGACATTTTCCATAATGCACGCAGCACGGCATTGTTATATTGCTTGCGGTTCTTAGTGCTTACTATTTTCTTTTTTCCTATACAGACAGATTTTCAACTCAAATCGATCCATGGCCATTTTCTCGGTGCTACTGTACCTACATGTAATATGTATCGTAGTATACGAAGTACCAAGCATGTTGTATGGCCCGGCCCCTTGAGTCCCTTGAGTACTGAGCCTCTCAAGTCTTGGTATCGGTTGAGCTTCCTGCATTGCACATCAGATGGTGCCAGTGTAAGCCAGCAGCCAAGATCCCATCCGATTAAAAAGTGGCTGCAGAAATCGCCGGTGAAATAGCTACATGGTACTTGTACAATACAATACCAAGGAACGGTACTTGTTATGCCCCCTGTAGCTTTCAAAGTTGTGGGGTGCGAAGTGCAAAGCGGCCAAAGCCCTCATGAGGTTTTTATAATTGGCATGCCACTAATGCATCGAAGCCTTTTTTTCTGCATACGATCCCGTCTTGTCTTACCTAGGATTCTCCGAATCATCCTCGGCCAGGCCAGCACGTACTATGTAGATAGGTACATATGTATGTACAATACCAATACTACTAGCAGTAGTACCTAGCAATGTGGCGTACATATTACGCTTGACTCGAAATCCTCTTTGCCTACAACTTCAAAGCAACACCATGACGACCATGACGACACGAGAAGCCCAAGACTCTTAGCAACGCCTACGCCCGCCCAGAACGAGATGTAGGACAACCCCGTGCAGAACGAGATGAACTGTTGTTTATCTGAAGAGATTATGAAACGCCTGTTCGTGTACCTATTCATTTTTTAAAGCATGTCGTACGATGAGTATCCCGTGCCAAAAACATTGAGTAGCTTATGTAGCCCATTCGTTCCTTATCTCTCTGGGTAGGTACCCAATTTCTGGGTGGGTGGGTGTGTATGCTACCCAGGTACAGTACCAGATCGTCTAATCCACAGTAGTTTAATGTCTCCTCTCACGAGCACGTTTTGTTCACATCGATTGGGAGGGAGTGCTTACACCAACATTGGGCATACTGCTACCTATGTACTACCTATCATGTTTCCCATGGATGTTAGGTAGTTAGTTAGTATGATCGATCCCCCGAATTTTCCAAAACAAAGATTTTATGGTGCTACTCCAGCTATTCCCGCAAGAGTTTCTTTCCCATGGGGCTCCCCACAATCATCGGGGCACATCTAAGCTAGTACTTCTGTGGGCTACAATCGGACCGGCCGTGACTGGCTAAAACGTCGTGACGTACGACCTTGCTAGCAGTCTTTCCTAGATGGGGTAGAAGCCTCTAATGATGCTCCCCTTATTGCTCAGGATTTCAAGTTTCTAGCTAGGCACCTAACGGGTAGGCTACTTGCTGCGCTAGGTTCCCCGAGTCTCCCATCAAAAACCCCATGCCCTAAGCTCGGTATTGACTTGATACCTTAGGTACATACAGTGTCCATTGGGTAGTCTGCAAGAATTGGTACCTAGTAAACCAAGGACATGGGCTTCAACATGTCTGCCACTACCCTCAATGCGTAGTAGCCTTAGGTACCCCAGTACCCCGGTACCCCCGTGTTTACCTTGAAGAGGGTGGGTCGCCGTTTTTTATATAATATTTCAGACGTTCCTCTACTTTCCAGGGAGATCGTCTTCTTTCGTTACTCAAGGACACAAGTGCGATAGCATCATAGACGGCTTTGTTTCGAACATCATACTATTCACTCAACAGTTACACGGCCGAGACTCAGACACAAGTCAACTTGTCCACATCCGTCCAACAAATAGAGCTTCGTGCTCATCTACCTACCCTCTTACCCCCCCTCTATACCGTCGCTACATTACCTAGTCATCGCGATGGTTAAGCTAGCAATTCGAAAGCCCGAGGATGATGTCGGCAAGGCGTGGCCGGCCATTGCCATTGGGCTTTTTGTGGCCTTTGGTGGTGTATTGTTCGGGTACGTCTTATCTACTACACATATTCCTGTGTTTTATCACATACTAACTAACTGTGACATATAGTTACGACACGGGCACCATCAGCGGCATCCTGGCCATGGACTATTGGCAGACCCTCTTCTCGACGGGTTACGTTAATACGCAGGGTCATCTAGACGTGTCCCCGGAGCAGTCCTCAGCCATTGTCTCCATTTTATCTGCGGGTACCTTCTTCGGTGCCTTGGGCTCCCCTCTCTTGGCCGATAATATGGGTCGCCGGCTTGGTCTCATCACCTCTTCTTGGGTGTTTATCCTCGGTGTAATCTTCCAGACCGCGGCGACATCTCTGCCACTGTTCCTGGCTGGTCGCTTCTTCGCCGGTTTTGGTGTTGGTCTGATTTCTGCCATGAGTAAGTTGTCTCAAAAATTCGTGAATTACCTCGGTACCCCATATCTAACAGGCGATATAGTTCCCTTATACCAAAGTGAGACGGCGCCCCGATGGATCCGAGGTGCTATTGTCGGCGCGTATCAGCTAGCGATCACAATCGGTCTCCTCCTAGCCGCCATCGTGGACTGGTCTACGCAATATCGCCAGGATACCGGCTCGTACCGTATCCCCATCGCCGTCCAGTTCGCATGGGCAATCATCCTCATCGGGGGAATGCTCGTGCTACCAGAGACTCCGCGATTCTTGGTCAAGAAAGGCCAGCACGAGAAGGCCGCGCAAGCCCTTGGCAAGCTTCGAAGAATCGACCCCAAGCATTCCGCGATCGAAGCCGAACTGAGCGAAATCCGCGCGAACCACGACTACGAAATGAGTGTTGGAAAGGCCAGCTACCTCGACTGCTTCCGCGGACCCATGCTAAAGCGACAGCTCACCGGTATGGGCGTACAAGGTCTACAGCAGCTGACTGGTAAGGAAACCCACCACTCTAATACCTTAAGGGATTTATAAAGCTCGCAATTCTAACAATACTTGATCAATAGGAATCAACTTCATTTTCTACTACGGAACTCAGTACTTTAAGAATTCGGGTATTCAGGACCCATTCACCATTCAGATGATCACGTCCTCTATCAACGTTGTCTCGACGCTTCCTGGTCTATACGCCGTTGACAAAATCGGTCGTCGACCACTACTGCTTTGGGGCGCTGTCGGTATGTGTGTCAGCCAGTTCCTCGTGGCTATGCTGGGCACTTTGACGACGGGCCAAGATTCGGCCGGCAACATTATCGTCTACAACGTGGCGGCGCAAAAGGCTGGCATCGCATTCGTCTGCCTGTACATCTTCTTCTTTGCCAGCACTTGGGGCCCGCTTGCCTGGGTCGTCACCGGAGAGATCTACCCCTTGAAGTCCCGCGCCAAGTCTCTCAGCATGACCACTGCCACCAACGTGAGTATAATTCTTTCCTGTTGCAAATGGATCATTATCATAACCTAAACTAACTCAAACCAACAGTGGCTCCTAAACTGGGCGATCGCGTACGCAACACCCTACCTCGTGAACTTCGGCGACGGCTACGCGAACCTGCAGTCCAAGATCTTCTTCGTCTGGTTCGGCGCGTGCTTCCTCTGCATCGCCTTCGTGTACTTCTACATCTACGAGACCAAGGGATGGTCCCTCGAAGAGGTTGATGAGTTATACAGCGAGGTCAGCAGCGCCCGAAAGAGCGCTGGCTGGACTCCTAGCACCACTTTCGCGCAGCGACGGGGCGCGCACTCGACTGCGGTGGACGAGAAGCCGGAAGGAAAGATGGAGCACCACAGTGATCACTCCGAACATGCTGTATAAAGAGGCAGGGCATTTCGTTGCTATTTTGAAGATTTGATACCCGCGAAGTTGTATTTCGCACAAAATAAAGGAATATTTGTGCATCCAATGTATATCCAAGACTTACTGAATGATTAGACGTGAACATATTTAGAGAAATAATGTAACGATTGATAAACTTGTTTAATTTGATTAATGAGTGGAACTATAATTACAAACTCGACGAGGGCACACATTTCTCATATCGTCATGATACAGTTATTTCCTTAATTCCGGTTTTCCAACCACGGGGTGCCATGATGTTATCATGAGCCATGAAAAACCAACGCATGGATGAAAAGTCCTCCGGCCCACGAAGCAGTAAATTGATTACCTCAGAAACTCCCATGCAACGCCCCGGTACCCCTATTCCTCTAAATTACGACCGAGATATTGAGGTAGGTGTTGAAGGTACAGAATATATGGGACCCGCGGGAGGCCAATGTAATCCGTGGAAGCCAAATCCAATCGCAAAGGGGCACTCAGCCCGTCCCAACTCCTTCATGCTACTTGCCTCTAGGCACAGGAGATAGCTTGTCTTATTGATCCCATCAAGTACCACGCTGAGGAGCACGCCATTGTCTTCTTCCATGACACCTCCGTAGCGCGGTTCTGGGCGTGGTACGAAGACAGCTTCGCCTGGTGTGTGTCCCTTTGGGCCATCCCAGAAAGTCGTCTCACGTGTCACAAGGTCAGTTTTGACAATGGAGTCAAACAGAGTGCTATATCCACGATTGGCCAGGCTGTACACGTAGCGATGTTTCTTGGTCGCGTAGTCCGGGTTGATTGTGGGTAACTCGCCGGCATGGGGTGCTTTAATCTCTAGCACCTTGTTTGCCACAAGTCGGGTAGTCGACATGTCTGTCGTAGGGGCATCCAGCTTGGGAATCTTGAACTCCCATCTCACGAGCCGAGCAAGGCAGTTGCGGTTGCGCTCCTCGTTGCCCCAAAAGTTCTTCGTTGCGCTATTATTCTGGAGAAGTACGTCCATCTCAAAGGCATGGATTACCTCGGTACTGCGATACTCGATGAGGTCACAGTAGACGTTCATGCTTCCAGTCTTCTCATCACGTTCCTCGAAGGAATTGATGCTATGGAAGTAAAAGCCGGCGGGGCTCTCAAATGTTGCAACCACACCTCGATCACCGATACGGTCAACGACGAACCATCGACAGAGTTTTGACTCGTCAAATGGCTCCATAGCTTCGACCAGGCTGCCCTCCCACATGGCTCTGATACCCCTCCAACCCAGATGTGACGAGGGCACACAGAAGATTACGAAGGAAGGGGAAAGGAAAAACGAGTGTATGTAGGCTGGCTTGAGGTCGGGGGCAGAGATCGTAGCCAAAATGTCAGTTTTGCCAGTCGATGGAGTAGTACGGAAGATCCGGTATGTCGCACGAGCTCCGAACTCAAGATTGTAATTGAAAAAGGCGCCGGTTTCCGGGTCTTTCTGAGCATGAGCGCAACTGAGGGGACCCTTTAGGAGGGGGTGGAGAACGGTCTGCTTGGCGATGCCTATGGGTTCCAAAGTATGCGGGTCAACCTCCTTCATGATTCCAGCATCCGTACCTAGCCATAGAGTTTTGATATCTTCTCTGTGGCCGGATCGACCTGTTCCTTTATCCTTGGTATATAGGCCAGGGATGTTGGCCTGAATTGTAACGCATACATTATCGAACTCAGGGCCTTGGGTGGCTATGCCTCCCCTCCATAAGCTCATGACTTTGCCGAATAGGCCAATGCATGGATCCATCCGTTGACCGAAGGCAATATCGGGTCTCTTTCCGGTTTTTTGGACGGCATCGACTAGGGCTTGGCTCTGACGGCGAGACGTATACTTCACTTTGATAGGGTGTTCATGGCCGCCCGAGGTAGCGATGATATCAAATCGATGGGAGTGACCGAAACCATCAAACCAATGTGTAGTGTGGAAAGTACCCTTGGGTGTATTCTCAACAGTGTACTGGCCAGGTCCAGTACGGAACAGGGTACCGGCAGCCCAGGTTGGTATATAGCCTAGGACAGTCAACTCGACCGGGCCACGTATCTCATCCAGGCCCTCAAACTTTTCATGTCGTTAGCACGGAGTATGTTTACAAGCAGACAAAGATATAATGATTGAAGACTTACCCCTGCCTCGTTGGGCCAGTCATCAAAGTCAGCTTTCAGCAAGCCCTGTACTGTTTTATCGAAATCGCCATCCTCGCTTCTTTTGGGAGTGTCTGCCATGTTGTTCTATCAACTGAGAATTGTGTCTATATGAGGTTTTGAAAGGTGAGAAGAAGCTTATATTGTAATCATATCATGCGAAACGGCGACAGGGCTTACCTTGAATGAGATGGTACTCGTGTTTACATATACCTAGGTAGTTAGGTAGGTAGGTATGTATGTAATTTGATTCTTGGTAGGTACCTATCTTGTCGGAAGGTCAAATGGTGCGGGACAGGTGTTGTGTTGGGGGAGGAGTCGTTAATGTTAATAAATACAGTCAAGTTAAATACTAGGAATTCATCGAGCTGATCCGAAGGAGTTGAGTACTGCCGCCGTTACACAGTTCCGAATGCGAGGTCAATGGCTAGTATGTACTGAGACAATAGAAATGCCTTAGGTACCTACATAGTAGTAGACGGGCACTGTGAATGTTGACGAGCTTTAAACATCAATGTTGGCCGATGGTTTTTATTTTTAGATGTGGACCAATGACTGCATCGTTCTTTCCGAGCATATTGAAGTTTGATAACCTTGATTCTTGATATTCATCAAGCATCTACCCTAACCTACTCATATGTACCTAGTATGTACCTACTTGAGTGCCTTATGTTGCGAGAATAAGTGCATTAGGTTATTGTAAGCGAAGATATCATGTAAGGGTAAGTATTGAACCGTGAAAGAGTGCATAAGGTAAACTAATGAGGTTGGTGCTATTATTATTTGTGATATATAAAGAAATGCCTTTATGTGTATCTACGACGAAGGATCATTGACGCATGTGAATCAAGAGTACATATGTAATTAACTACATGCTATGTACATAATTAGCAACATTGAACATCAATTGAATAAATCGTCCAATTAGCTAGCTCTAAATCAGCCCGGAACTTTGGACAAGGAACGCTAAGAACACCTCTCTATTGGCTGTCTTCTCGTTAAGCTTCTGCACTAGTAATTCGCATTCGCCTGTGAATGCGACAATTTGAGGTCAGGAAGTCTCACCATCCAATGGCTTGCCAGGTTTTACACTTCCATACTACTAGTACGGTAGTACCTAGTACCTACATATGTACTGAGTGTGTTTCTGCACGAGGTGCCCACAATACCGGTGCGGTTGCATGTTTAGCCGCAAATTCAAAGATCCTACCATGTAGGTACAAGCCACAAAGTACCTAAACAAGTAAAAAATATGTATTACTAACTAATGCAAACTACGCCATTGATACCTCGGACAGCTCGTGGTAGCGGAAATAAGGTAATGCGATGATACCTATCTCCGATATATCTTGTCGTCGTCCCATGATCTGAATTGGTTATTGAAGTATGTACTTCGTAGGTATAATTTGTGTATTAGCTACCAAGCAGTCATAGGTTAAGAAATCCCAACCTAGATAACGTATTAATAGACAGGGTATTGAGACAGCCATGGTACAATACTACATATATGTACTACCTAGTATGTAGTGTAATAGTGAGGCAGTTCAAATTTAAAACTTTCTCCACAACCCCTTTTTTCACCATCTCATCAACAATCAACAATCAACAAACCTCCTATTACCATCTTTTCATCAACTTTTCATCAACTTTTTACACAATTTTACACCGAATAATCAAATCTTTGCAATCATGGATGTTACAGACGTAGAAACTAGGCTTCAACTAGCTGTGAAAGCCGTTTCAACAGGCGAGATGCCCTCTGCACGCAAGGCAGCGATAGCCTTTAATGTATCCCACTCAACCCTCAGTCGACGTATAAATAAAACAACAAAACCTCGTTCCGAAGCGCATGTATCTGAACAACGATTAACACCTAGCGAAGAAGAAGCCCTCGTGGGAGTAGGGCTTCAGTTGAATGAATGGGGCTGGCCCCTAACGATCGATGCACTTGAAGCTGTAGCTATCAAGTTCCTGAAAGATAAACACGATAATAATCCCCTTGGAAGGAACTGGTATAAAAACTTCCTAAAACGGCACCCTGAGATCAAACTCAAGAAATCTCCATGTTTAGATCAACGGAGAAAAGATGGGACAAACTACACGATCATAAAGGAGTGGTTTGACTTATATTCAACTATCCGGCTGAAATACGATATTGCCGAAGCCGATATTTACAACATGGATGAGAAAGGAATTATGAAAAGCATCGGTAATAACGCTGAAGTTATTATATCACGACGCGACAAAGAGGCTTTCTCGAATCACCCTGGCAACCGACAATGGGTATCTATTATTGAATGTATCGGAATGAACGGTTATTTACTCCCACCTTTTATAATCTTCCAAGGGCAACGTATACGAGAAAGCTGGATTGATAACGCATTAAGTAAAGAGATCCGTATTCGAGTTAGTGATCACGGATGGGCTGATCAGGAAGCCGCTCTTTCCTGGCTGGGGCATTTCGACGTTAATACCAAAGAACATCTACGTGGCAAATACAGATTATTAATCGTCGATGGCCACACAAGCCATATTTCGTACGAATTTATCAAATATTGTACAGACAACGATATCGTCCTCGCATGCCTTCCTCCTCACACAACGCACGTACTGCAGCCGCTTGAAGTTGGCATTTTCAGTCCTTTGGCAAACGCATACAAAGAAACAATCAGCCGCCGAGCTCTATTCGGAACCAGGACTATTGATAATAGACAATTTTTATTATATTATCAAGAGTCTCGAGCTTGTATATCACAAAATATACCAGGTGCCTGGAGAGGTACGGGCCTGTTACCGTACAATCCGGAGAAAATTCTCGAGAAATACCCCCGGTCGATAACACCACCTTCTAGACCTTCAACGGTGACCTTCACGGACTCACATGGCAGGGAAATAAGAATAATTGCGCAGCCTGGAACGGAGCTAGCTGATCTGATCAATAGCGCTGTACAAGAGAGATCAACAGGCAGCTGAAAAGCAACGAAAAGCAGCGTTAAGGGGCAAGGTTGGCTTTGCGAAATTAGTATGAAAAGAGATACAAATGGATATAGACATATTTGAATGATTTAATTGGACGATTTAATTGAGTTGGTGATGATATTAAGTGGTTGTTGATGGGATGGTTATATTGTCGCTTATCAGCATACTGCTCGGCCTGACTCGAGTCTGTACCTTAAAGAGATTCAAGAGCTATCACAGGACAATATTGACCAACTCATTATCACAGCTATGTTGATGGCCGATTACGATGTGCGAGACCCCAAGCCCAGATGGAAATTCCTTGGCTAACCACTGTATTCCCCATTCAAGAATGTCATGTACCTACGGAGAAAGGGACCAATATATAGTCAAGCGTAAGAACCCTCAAAACCTCTATATCTGGATGCATTCAGTCCTCGGTTCTTGCAAAATGTGAACGATCACAATGGTGCCGCAAGTCTCTTAGAACTGCGGCGAGAATACAAATGGGAACCAAACATGCCTCTCGATAGAGCCGTAAGACGACAGTTGGTGATTACTCCACACAAGCAATACACTAAACACCGACTACCTAGGTATGTACTCACCCAATCCAGATCCGAACGTCCATACTCGGAGCCATACCGGTCCCCGATTTCCTTCGCGCCGGTGCCAAGTTTGGCGAAGAAGGCCCCGTTCCAAGCCTCGATCATATCATGGTTCGCGTAGCCACCCTCCACGCAAGATCGTCTGTACTTTTACATACTTATACGACTCACGGCCATGCTGCTATCTGGGCTCAATACCGCGCTGTCCGTATAATCGTTAACAGCATCCGAAGACGGGCGCTTTGTGTCATGTCGCGTTGCTCGGCGCAGGCTATATCGGTACGCGCACAAGAGGACGATCAACATTGGTGGCGAAGCTGTCCAAACGCACTACGAAATCCTGCCCAAGCTGGCAATGCTCTTGTCATGGCCACTCACTGTTGTTTATAGTACCGAAGGAGTGCCTGCGACTCAGAGACGGTGGTTAAAGGCTAGACTAAAATCTGTTGGTAATGTTCTTGGAGATGCTGCCCTTGACACCGTTGCTGAGCAGGGTGAATTCATATTCTAATATCGATACACTGCGATCCCCATCACTCAATAGCTCAATGCCCTGTCAAATGCTGTTATCTAGTCATTCCATCACTCATGACCAACGACGGCTTTAGGAACATATGGCTCCTCAAGAAACTTGGCCTCCTCACCCGTGAGTGCCTTCCCCTTCCCATCGCAAGCCTCATCGATCCGGGCAATCGAGTTGAAACCGACGAGCGGCACAGTCTTCTTGGTCTTGTGCCACGCTAAAACAACATGTATCATCTTCCAGCCCTTCTCGCTAGCCAGCTTCTCCACCCGCCGGATTATCTCCTCATCAGCGGCCGTGAGCCCTTTGCCAATCGGACTTGGCGCCTTGGCTCGGATCGAGTCCTCGAGGCCCAGGGGGCGGGCCAGCTTGCCGCCAAAGTTGGGCGAAAACGACAGCAGGCCCACGTTCGTGTCGTTGCAATAACGATTCGTCTCATGCTCTTCCTCTCAGTAGCACAGGTTGTAGAAGTTCTGCATGCTGATGAACTCCGTCCAGCCGTTGTGCTCGGCGACGGCCTGCATGCGCGCAAAATTCGTGGCCCACATGGCGCTCGCGCCGAGGTAGCGCACCTTGCCCGACTGCACCAGATCGTGGAGGGCTTTCATGGTCTCTTCGATTGGTGTGGAGGGGTCGAAGCGGTGGATCTGATATAAGTCGATGTAACTAGTGCCTAGACGAGCAAGAGACGCTTCCACGGCGTTGAAAATGGCGGCGCGAGAAAGACCTGTGTTTGATCCGTAAGCCTTGTGTATTTTTATTGTGCTCGTCAACAAGGATGGGAAAGGGAGGTTGGTTGAATTTACGACAGACTTACCTCCTTGGTTGACGTAGTCTTTGCTCTGGCCCATGACCGAATTAAAATAGGGGCGAATATCCCAGTCTCCTCCGCGACATAGACAAAGCACTTGGTCATGATAACGACCTTTTCACGTGGGATGGAAAACTTTTGGAGGGCCTTACCAACGACTTCCTCGCTAAGGCCATTGGAGTACATGTTCGCTGTGTCCCATGTGTTGAGACCTCGATCATAAGCGGCTTTGAGCACCTCGAGAGACTGGTCCTCGTCTAACACCCACGGCTGCCACTGGCTGGAGCCCAAAGACATGGCACCCAGGACGGGTGTAGATATACGAAGTCCTGAAGAGCCTAGACGAACATATTCGACTTTAGTGGCGTCGAGGCTTTGCTGGAGTGAGGCTGGAATGGTGGCCATGGTTGCTTGGATAATGAGATTCGGCTTAAAGTCTTTATACTATTATTGCTTTATGAAAATGCTCTTCATATCTATATGACTTGATAGATAGAGAGATAGAAACAAACAACCAGAACGGCGGAAAGTGAACACATTATTTATATTCCGTAGATTTCTGGCAACCCCCCTTCTTCAACACATATTACCTAGGTACCTGCCTAGGCATTCATTTGAACTTCGTTTACGATTTCTCGGTAGTTCCGCTTCATCCAATACGTTTCATATACCACCAGGTCCGGTGCTGGGGGGATCTACTGCGTCACCTGCAAAACAAGCTGGAGCAATGTCCAGCCCATTCATCCACCGTCCGAGCTCCAATTCGTGTACCTATTGCTACCTCCAGCCTTTCACATCGCTGGCTAGATATAAGCCGACCCCGACCCCGGCTACCCCACCCGGAAGACATCCACCAACATCCACCTCCCCAGGTACGGAGCGGCTCTTGGAGATAACCTTAGAATCCTATCCAAATTCCGCCCCACGGCACTCAGCAGCTCGCGCGTTTCTCCTAAAGGGGTATAGTACAGCTTGCTTGTGGGTTTTTCTCAAATGGGAGGAAAATGTAACAAAAGTAGCTTAAGTTGTGGTATATATTTCCAATAAACGTACCTATTCATTGGGTACCTAATACCGTCTATCGAAGACAGTCATCTATATCGTGAGTATTCTCCGTCATCACGCAACTACCTATTGTTACGACATTAGGGCTGTTCATTTATAAGCATTGTCTAAACGCCAATATCTCACCGATTTCATTCCAAGGTATCAAGACTAAACCCCCTCCCTTACGTGGCTGCTAGGTACCTAGGTATTGCAATGCAAACACCTATTGACCCTTATAAATCATCAAGCAACCTATCGACTTTTTGGCGCTCTACAATCTCCGGGTCCTCCATAATTGCATCCTCGGCAGATTCAGGATGATCCGGCAACTGCGCCACACGGCCAGCAACCCGTACAAGCAGAACACGCATACGCTCGAGCTCCTTCTCGAGCTCCCCGTCGCGGGTCACAAGGTTGGGTTGCACCTTGCTGTTGACCGAGTCGGCACCATCTGACCCGCTAGACGCAAAGGGGGCTAGGGAGTCGCGCATCCGGCGGAGACGGTCGAGGCGCTCTCTCGCTTCCTTGCGGCGAGTAGAGAGAGACGACAGCGAGGCGGCGAGATCGGCGTACCGGTGCGCCTCTGGAGGGTTTGCTTCAGCTTGCGATGGAGAGTGCTGGTCCCAGGTAGGAGGCAAGGAAGCGATGACTTCGTCAGTTGCTAAGGGGGGGTTTGTTAGCGTTGCGTGTTCCTTATCGATGCCTACCTACAGGATGACCTCAGGTAGCCGAACTTACCAAAATCTGCCCCCACTCGTAAGAACTTGGCTTCCTCGTCTCTTTCCTTAACCCCCTCAGCATCACCCTCTTCGCCTTCGCCTCCCTCTCCTCCACCCCCGATGGTGTTACCACGGACAGCCTTCTCCGCGGCCTCTAGATACAAAGCCTCTATTTGTTCGGCGACATGCCGGCTAGCTTGTGGCGCGTACACGCGTCGGGCATGCTGCTGGAGAGTGTGGTTGGCGCGGTATAATACCTCGTCTACCACTCGCTCACTCAATCCTCCCTCGGCAGACCGTGAATTGGACTCCTTCCACGTAGCGCTCGGGGAAAGGGCCTGGCTTAGTTGTAGTGTCTGCGCTGTGAGGAAAGATGATTTATGCGCAAGAATAGTTGGGGGCGCCATTTCATTTCCGCTTTCGTATTTGGATTATGTTATTTTTGTATACCCTGGGTACCTAGTAGGTATATAACATCTTGAAATCGATCCAAACTATACATACATATGCACATGTGTGCAGGAGGTAGATGAACCCAAGTGCCCCCCTGTAGATCACCTCAAACTCCCCCCATTTTAGGCCTAGTGTCCCGCTATAAAGCCCACCCAGAATGGGGCTCGGTCACACGAAAATCCGGAGTTTAGCGAGCTGTAATTGGCCACATGCTTTACAGGGGCCCACCTGATTATTTGAACTTTCGAGTCTTATTTTTTGAGTTTTGCTAGCCCAAGCTTCAAAGCTTCAATCTGCCCAAAACCACACAATCCATCATCAGCCCAAGCTGCCGCTTTAGTGCATCCTATATCATTGGAATCGCCTCAATTAGACCTTCCAAATAATATATGTTTCAGATTGATGCGATATCTGAATCTGAAGTTATTTAAATTTAAAGATTAAGAAGCACCTGAAAAAAGATACATCTGTAATCGGAACCTGGATCACGTGATAACCCTCGGCTAGCGTTAAAAGTACTTGCTTCATTCAACCCCAAATAACTTCGCAACCACCGGTCGCGTTTCTTTGAAACATATATCATTTGGAAGCGCCGATTGAGGCGGTTCTAATGATACTGGTTGCATTAAAATGCATCCATTGAAGGAAAAGTTATTAAGGATAGTATGTTAGAGGCTAGCTGGAGAGCCCGGACCAGCGCTATGTACTAGGGTGCGGATAAGCCTCCGATAGTAATTTGTTTTTAATCAATTAATAATTAAATAAGAATTAATTAAGGATTGATTTATAATTGATTACAAATCAATTAATAATTAATTAAATTAAAATTAAAATATATAAAATATTAAACTTAAAATTATTTTTTAAAGTTATGTTTATAATTAATTAATAATTAATTATAATTTTTTCGTTTTTGAAAAAATAAACCTTAAGAGATAAAAAGTTAAACCTAAGTGTTAAAAAAAATAATTAAGCTTAAGTGCTTATTCGAATAAGGTATAATCGTCGTCTTAAAATAAGGGGAGTTTAAGGTGATTAATAAAGGGGCACTTAAGTTCATTTATATCCTCACATGTGTGTTATATGTAACTTAAATTCATTTTTTATAATTGTTTTAACGGGTTAGCTATGTAAGTCTTAAGGTAAGTAGTAGGTATTTAACCTATATTAATATTTTAATCGCGTCGCGTTGCTTTCTTTAAAATTACCCCTCGATTAAATTTAACATAAAGTAATAGCCTATTATAAGGTATATTATAAGGCTATACACTATATTATAATACCTAAGAAAATACCCTTAAAATCGATAATATAAACATTTAATATTTATTAATAAAACTTTATTAAAAAGGGACGAGTTAAATATAAAGTTTTACTTAATAAAATCGTGTAATAAAGCCGTGTTTATAAGTGAAAATTTCAAGCTTAAACTTTATTTCCCGTAGAAATTAATAAGATAAGGAGTTAAGCTTTTATAACCTTAATTTAACCACTTTTTATTTAATTTTATTAATAAAATAAGCTTAACCTTTATAACCTTAAATTAGCCACTTTTCATTTAATTTTATCCATTTAATTTCATTTATTTAATTTCATTTTTAATAATTAAAGTTAATTAATTTAATTTATCTTTTTAATTTAATCCATTTTTTTTAATTTTTTTATTTTAATTTTTTCTTTTTAACTTTTTTTTATTTAATTTATTTAATCCATTTAATCCATTTTATTAATCATTTTTAACACCACCACTTAAATCTAATATTTTAAGAAATATTTGAAATAATTGATTTATATAATAATGTTAAAAGTAGTGTAAAAGGTGATTTATTAAATTTAAAGGCTAAAAAATAATACACTTAATTAATTAATTAATAATTTAAAAATTAACTTTAAACGTTTCATTTTTTATTAATAACTTAATAAGTTTAAATTTAAGCTAATAAAATAACTTTAATTTTAATAAACTTATTAACGTTTAATTTACCTAATTTTTTACCTTAAATAATTAAGGTATATATTAATAAAACGTGTTTTAAACTAGTTTATATAAGGGCTTTTAACCCTTAAGTTATTATAATTTTTTTCTTTTTTTTTTTAATTACTTTTTAAGTTTTAAAGGCTTTTAAAAATTTTTAAAAACTTTTTAAAAGCTTTTTAAAAGCCACATAACCTTAATTTAATTAATCCATTAAATTAATAATTAATACACTTATTTTAAAGCGGGTTAACCGGCCTTAAAATGCTACGCTGCCGCCGTTATTATTATAACCTACTTTAAAAAAACTTTTAAAGCTTTTAAAAAGGTTTATCCTTAACATTAACATATATTATTAACCGTAAATCCCTTTTAAAATAATCCCATTATTATAAGCGGTTCTTAAATATAATTAACCTTTAATAACTAACTTTTTAAACTTCTTTTTTATATTTATAAATCCCTTTAATTCGATAATTTCTTTTTATTTAATTAAGTTAATCCCAGCCTTAATATTAATAAGTTCTAACGCATAAGTTAATTTAAACTTAATAAATAAAGCCATTTAATATTTTCAATAATATTATATAATTTAAAAAAAAGTATAATTTACTTTTTTCACGTGTAAGTTTAATTCATTTATTACGCTAATATTTTAACCGTTATATAAGTATTACGTAATCCATATTAAAGAAATTTATTATTATTAACGTAAATATTATATAATTAATGTTTAATATAAAAAAAACTTATTATTATATAATTATTATATAATTATTACCTTATTATATCGTATATAAAAAAAAGTGCTTACTTAAATTAACTAATAATTAACTTTTAATTAAATTAAATATTTAAGTAATTTAAATTTATTTTCCTTTTTAAACGAAATAAGCAACACTCCGTAAAAACCGCCGGAGGTATAATTATATATTTAATATTTTAAAAAATAAAAAAATTAAGAAATAATACTTAAAATTAAAATTATTACGAAGCGACGATTTTCCAAATATTAAATTAATAAAGTTTTACTAATTTAAATTACTTGCAATTTGCCAGGTATTTTTTCCCCATCTTAATAACTAATATGTATCTTCGTTGTTTATCGTTAACAATATCTCTCAATTAAATCCCTGACCACCAAAATGTCTTAGACACCTTGAAGGATCCCTTCACGGCCTTCTCATCCTCCACAATACTACAGTTGTTGACTATAACCTCATACTCGCCTTCCTCAGCACACCATTGATCACGTTCCTCATCCCAGTAACTGGCGGCGTACTTCTTTGAAATCTTCACAGTGACCGTCTTGCTCTGGCCCGGTTCAAGTTCTACCTTTGCAAATCCCTTCAGTTCCTTCACTGGTCGGTTTACCTTGGCCTTCTGCTTTGGCGCAACATATACTTGCGCCACCTCAGCTCCCTTCATACCACCCGTGTTCTTAAGCGAAGCAGACACTGTCAGCTCTCCGTCTTCATCGATGATGGAGAAATCTGAAAATTTGAATGACGTGTAGCTTAGGCCGTGTCCAAAGGGGAACAATACCCCGCGATCCAAGAATTCGTAGTAGCGGTAGCCAATATAGATATCTTCGCCGTAGATCACGCGGCCACCTTCAGTTCGGTAGTTTAGGAAGGCCGGGTTGTCCTGTACGCGGACTGGAAAACTCAGACTGAGCTTTCCTGAGGGGGAAACATCACCGAAGAGAATATCTGCAATCGTGTTTCCAGTCTCGTTGCCCCCATACCAAGCATGAACGATGGCGCTTACATCTCTAACCCAGGGCATCTCTACTGGGGTACCGGATTGCAGAACGACAGCTGTGTTGGAGTTGGCTTTGGCTACGGCGGTAATCAGATCATCTAAGCCAGGGGGCAGTTTCATGTCGGTACGGTCATGGCCTTCGGTTTCCCACTCGGCATTGAGACCAGCACAGACGATGACTTGATCAGCATCCCGAGCCAACTCGACAGCCTGGTCAATTGCAACTTTGGGATCGAGAACTTTACACGCACCAACCCTAAGTGCACCGCCTGGAAGGAGAACAGAGCCGTCCGCGAGCTTGGAGGTTGGACTCGATCCGAATGTGATCTTTATGTTGTACGTCTTGCCCTTTTTCAACTTGTAGGTGCTCTTCTCCTCTACCGTGGCGCTGCCGAAGAATGCCTCGCCCAACCTTTGTTTTGTTGTGTTATCAATCACAAGCTCGTCGTTGATATAGAGGTTTGCCGTTCCAAACACGACCACGCCAAATTCCCACGTTGCATCTTCTTCTGCGATCAGAGATCCTTCAAGCGTCGCATACCAGAGGGGGCCTACGATGTGGGGATTTGCGTAATCGACTAGAAGCATTTCTGTCTTCAAAATCTCTAGTTCATCGACTGGTTTTCTACTCGGGGCTTCCGGGCTCTCTGCGTAGACCTTCATCGTCACCCCCTCATTTCCCTTGAGCGATTTGGTGGAATTGCCGAGGAGGGGAAGCAACTTGTGCGAATACTGGCCGATGGTATAGCCAGGAGGTGAGGATAGTTTGCTGCTTATACCGTCAAACGGAGTCACGGCATAATAGGCGGCCAACGACGCGGAACCTCCTCCGTGGTATGTGGCAACCTTCGCATTAGGTCCAATGACGACTGTCTGTTAGAGCAAACGTATTAACCATCGATACGAAAAGACACCCGGAGCTTGATTTTGGGTATCATACCTTCTTGTCCTTTTTCAGAGGCAGTACACCTTTGTCGTTTTTCAGTAACACGATGCTTTCGTTTCCTATTCGCCGTAACAGCTCAGCCGTCTCAGGAGTATCCCCGGTTTCCTCCGGGGCATTTTCTTTAACGCCGCTAGCTGCACACTTTTTGACAAATTCCAGCATTGCTCTAACTCGTTGATCCAAGACGTGTGTTCGAACTTTGTCGGTTGAAACATTGAATTTGAGCGGTTCACCCCTGAACCGTGGCGGGCCGGGCATCTCGAGATCAAGGCCAGCGTGTGCTGCCTCGGTTGTGCTATACGTACCATACCAATCACTCATAACCATCCCATCCCAACCCCAATCTCCGCGCAAGATTTTGTCCAACAGCTTTGGGTTCTCGCTACAGTACGTTCCATTGACTCCATTATAACCTGTCATGAACGATCCAGGATTCGAATCACGAACCACTAGCTGGAACGGTAACGCATATATCTCTCGCAGTGCTCGTTCAGTTATGATGGCTTGTACAGCATTGCGCTTATGTTCATGATCGTTGCAGACAAAATGCTTGATAGTTGCTTGGATTCCTGTCGATTGAATTCCTCTCACAATCGCGGCGGCGCCTAGACCAGCTAGGATGGGGTCCTCACTTATTGACTCGAATCCTCGACCACCAAGAGGACCTCGCTGCATGTTTATGGTAGGTCCTAGAATCGCATGCGCTCCCTTTAACTTGGCCTCCTCTCCCATTTTCTTCCCTGCTTCTTCCAGGAGCTCTTGGTTGAAGGTAGAACCTAACGCTGTTCCACAAGGAAAGCACGCGGCCTTTACACCGTTGAAAAACTTGGTACCGCGGACACCATTAGGCCCATCACTCAAGCGCAGAGATGGGATCCCATGCTGTGGAAGGCCTTTCGTATGCCAAAAGTCGATTCCTGCGAGAAGATCGACTTTGTCGCTCAAAGAGAGCTTCTTAAGGACCTTTTCTACGTCGATATCCGCCATTTGTAATACAAATCTGTCCGATATAATCGAGGACACGAGGTAAGAAAAGAAAAGGAGTAAGGTAAGTAATGGTGTCTCCTATATCCTATATATGGAACAAGAAAAAGAGAGAAAAGAAGAGGAGAGGAGAACTAGACCAACAGTCTTGCTCTGTCGAGTACGAACCTATTACCACCTTTATAGCTCAATAGCTCCAAGGCAGCCCCGCTGTTAGGTACCTCGCACTACTCATTTGCAGCATGCGATACGTTCGAACCACGAAATCCCAACCAAGACAAGGCAGCTTGACCAAGCAGAATATGAGGAGATTCTTGTAGCTTGGCGGACAAGTCCCGGGGTAGGTAGTACTGTATAAGAAGAATAAGGGCGGCTTATTGGTGCCGCCTGATGATTTGCGACCCCTCCAAGCTCTCGGGGGTTCCTTATACCATCCGTAAACGTATGAATTGTGACCCTCGAGACCGGAACACGATCGGGGCCAAAGCATGAATTGGGAGAATGGACGATGGTGAAGCGCTGATTCAATAGAGTTTAGATCTGCACCGGTTTACGGCCCGATAAAGCCATTAACGTCTCTCTCCTTTGCCGTAGATCTGCCAGTAGTGATCCTACCATCAACCGAATTGGAATAGGGGTCCATTTGCTCAACAGGGAATCGGCATGTACCTGCAAGGAACATGGTCGCAATGAATCTAATGCAGCAGCAGTAGTAATGCTATCCCACCGAGTAAGTAAGTATTGTCACCATTATTCACCCGAGGTACCTATACGCGTATGTAATGTCCAACATTGAAGTAACTAATCCCACTAGAAAAGTTGTCGAAGGCCAGGGAATACTTCGCAACCTATCCCGAAAGACCTCTTAGCGGTATCATGAATTCAACGTAGTCTGATGATGAAAGAGTGTGACAACGGTGAACTTGATGATAGGTGATATTAGAGGGAAGATACCTAGGTACTAGCCTAGTACATATACCTGATGTCATTACCTAGCAAGGTTATCCGACGGAACTACATAGTTCTTGAACTGTTCTTCTCATGATTACTCATATGTAAGTAGGTAGGTGGGCAGCAGCTCGACCGCAGCACCATCCATGTTTGAAGCCTGCCCCGAAGCCAAAGCTGTGCTCGTTCGGCAAGACTACCTAGAAATAATGGTGGCCATGTCTTGAGACTGAAAAATCATGCATGATTTGTTTACCCTTTGCCTCGACTCCCTGGGCCTTTTTCGCCCGGCAGCTTATGGGCCACCAAGCTGGGTACGCGATGAGATATATAGCTACCTACCTATGTAGGTAGGATTCGGCTTTTATTCAACGCCAGGACATAAAGGCAAACATCGAGACACACGGCAAGGAATCTTGCTAAGGACGTTTTGGGCACTCCTTTCCCTTTTTTTTTTTTGAATAATCAAAAGGCACATATGGAAGGATTCCTTCTGGGGGGAAAGAAAAGAAGAACAAAATCGCAAGGCGCCATGTTTGATGTTTGCTTGATCCGAGCTTGCCCGGCACCAAGTAAATATTTACGTGCATAGGTATATGAACGCCACCAATTTCCTTTGCTGCACAGCTACAGATAAGGCACGCCTCCGAGGGCATCCAAGCACTTAGCCAATATGTATGACTTGGGATTTGGGTGAAAATATCTGGAGGTTAGTCGGACACATACATACCTAGGTTTGGTATATAATAACTCCTATTTCATATTTAACTCCTATTTCAATAAACGCTTGCGTATCTAGCTGGTCGTGGCCCACATTTCTACGCTTAAGCACCTTCACTTTGTTGCGATACGTACATCTAATAAGACGATCCAAGAAATTTTACAGGCAATCCATCTTTAAAACATCCATATCACAGTGTAATAGCTATAGCCGTTATGTAATACGATGGGCAGAACGGGATGGCAAACCATGTTTGGGTTGTTTGCTCGGCAGCTCGGGTGACCCGGTGCGCGCCCGAGGAAAACGGTTTCGGCCCGCTTCCCGCTCAGAGCCCAACCAAACTACCGAATCAAAGGTCGGAGAGCTATTTCCTCAATCGGGCGTCGGTATTCAATTTCCCAGAAAGTTCGGACATAAATAGGCGGTAGATCCTTCTACCTATTTACTTATATAGGGGGAGGGGGACCTTAAGGCCTGTGCGAACGGCGAGTTGTGCTTCATTATTCATGATGTGAAGTGATGGTACACACCTACTTAGTAGGTAATCAGGAAGTTGATTGGCAGTTGCTGTTGTTCGAGCCATGGCCTATCAATGGATTTGATATGGCCCCATATGCTATCCACAGCTCATGGATCAACTGCTTGCTTTGCCTGTCATTAGGATAGTGACACGCAAGTGTGATGCGGACAGGGCGGACCGAGGGTATACCCCTCCTCTCGCGGACACCCAGAGCTGCCTTTACCAGGTAGCTCTATGCAGCAAAGACGGGCCAAGTATGAAATATAGAATTAAAATGGCGATCTTTATGGTAGGGCCCATTGCGTCAAATCCTAGACTTGGGATAGGAATAGTGGCTCTCGGGTATCATATAGTAGTGTATAAATGACCCCGCGGTGTTGAGAGTTGGATGTTGGTTGTCTCGAATATTTGATACTACCCTCTATAACTACACTATTAGGTACCTTCATATTGCGTCTAAGTGAACTCACTACTTTCTCGAAGACTAGACCAACGAAAAATATAGTTAGACAGAACAATATTAGCAAAATGGCAACCTCCCACCGAATCCTTCTTACGGGGGCCAACGGCTATACCGCACAGCATATCCTCTGGGAACTCCTCGAAGCTGGACACTCAGTACGCGCCACCGCTCGCTCGCAGTCCAAGATCGACCTTATCAAGAAGTCATTCAGCAAATACGCCAACACGCCCAAGCTAGACTTCGGCGTCGTGCCGGATATCACCGTCCCCAAGGCCTTCGACGAGGTGCTGAAATCTACGCCCCCGTTCGACACAGTTGTCCACACTGCTTCGCCTTTCTTCCTCACCTCGACCGACCCCACCGTATACCTGGAGCCGGCCATCAAGGGCACCACAGAGATCCTCGAGAACATAGTCCGCGTGGCGCCGACCGTGAAGCGGGTCGTCATCCTGTCGTCGTTCGCGGCCGTCGCAACGCTGCACGAGAACCCCATCTCCGACCCGCCCAAGGTGTACAAGCGCGACGACTGGCTGGCCACGACGCTCGAGGAGGCCAAGCTCGCCACCAACCCGGTGGTCTCGTACCCGGCCAGCAAGAAGCTGGCGGAGGAGGCGGCGTGGAACTTTGTGAAGGAGGGAAAGGGCAACTTCGAGCTGGTGACGCTCGTGCCGGGAGTCATCCTCGGGCCCGTGTTCGATCCGAAGCAGATCGAGGATCCCGAGACGCTGAACTTCAGCACGTGGCAGATCTACAACATGCTGCTGAAGCCCGGCGTGAAATCGAGCGACCCCGTGCCGCCGACCAGCATCTGGCAGTACGTCGACGTGCGTGACCTGGCGCGCGCGCACTTGCTCGCGGTAACGAAGCCGGAAGCCGCCGGCAAGCGATGGATAACGGTCGGGGGTGAGATGAGCCATCAGGAATGGGCGAATTACCTACGGGAGGCGCTGCCAGAGAAGAGCGACGTAATACCGATCGGTGAACCGGCGAACATCGCCAAGCCAGAAGGATGGTTTACCTACAGCGCTCCGGAGACTGTGGACGTGCTGGGTTTGACTTATAGAACGAGAGCAGAGACGATCAAGGATCTAGCACCTCAGCTGGCCGAGTTTGCTGCTAAGGCTGCTGCTGCTCCTGCTGCTGCTTAGATGTACTTTATAACTTAGGTAGAGACCTACATATGTAGTTGAAAAAAGATAAGAAGCAGATAGTTAAAATACCTGGCAAATTATAAGCAATTTAAATTAGTAAAACTTTACTAATTTAATATCTGGAAAATCATCGCTTCGCAACAATTTTGATTTTAAATATTATTTCTTAATTTTTTTATTTTTTAAAATATTAAATATATAATCATGCCTTTAACGGCTTCTATAAAATATTACTCGCTTTATTTAAAAAAGAAAATAAATTTAAATTACTTAAATATTTAATCTAATTAAAAGCTAATTATTAGCTAATTTAAGTAAGCATTTTTTTTCACGTATAATATAATAAAATAATAATTATATAATAATCACATAATAATAAGTTTTTTTTATATTAAACATTAATTATATAATATTTACGTTAATAATAATAAATTCCTTTAGCATGGATTACGTAATACTTATATAATGGTTAAAATATCGGTATAATAAATAAACCAAACTTATATATAAAAAAAGTAAATTATACTTCCCTTTAAGTTATGTAATATTATTAAAAATATTAAATAACTTTATTTATTAAGTTTAAATTAACTTATACACTAAGACTTACTAATATTAAGGTTAAGATTAACTTAATTAAATAAGGAGAAATTATCGGATTAAAAAGATTTATAAATATAAAAAAAAGGTTTAAAAAACCAGTTATTAAAGGCTAGTTATATTTAAAAACCGCTTATAATAATAAGATTATTTTAAAGGGGATTTATAACTAATAATACATATTAACGTTAAAGATAAACTTTTTTAAAAACTTTAAAAACTTTCTTAAAATAAATTATAATAATAATAACGGTAATATAATATTTTAAAACTAATTAACCCGCTTCGAAATAAATATATTAATTATTAATTTAATGGATTAATTAAGTTAAGGTTATGTGGCTTTTAAAAAACTTTTAAAAAGCTTTTAAAAACTTTTAAAAGCCTTTAAAACCTAAAAAATAATTAAAAAAAAAAAGAAAAAAATTATAACAACTTAAAAGTTAAAAGCCCTTATATAAACCGGTTTAAAGTACGCTTTATTAATATATATTTTAATTATTTAAAGTAAAAAGTTAAGCAAATTAAGCGTTAATAAGCTTATTAAAATTAAAGCCATTCTATTAGCTTAAATTTAAACCTATTAAGCCATTAGTAAAAAATAAAACGTTTAAAACCAACTTTTAAGCTATTAATTAATTAATTAAGTACATCGCTTTTTAGCCCTTAAATCCAATAAACCATCTTCCACACCACCTTTAACACCACCATATAAATCAATTATTTCAAATATTTCTTAAAATATTTAATTTAAGTAATAATGTTAAAAATAATTAATAAAATAAATTAAATAAATTAAATGAATTAAATAGAAAAAAATTAAAAAAAAAAAATTAAAATAAAAGAATTAAAAAAAATAGATTAAATTAAAAAAATGGATTAGATTAGTCAGCTTTGATTATTAAGAATGGAACTAAATGGATGGAATTAAATAAATGGAATTGAATAAAAAGTGGTTGAATTAAGGCTGTGGAGGCTCAGCTCCTTATCTTATCAGTTTCTGCGGGAAACAAAGTCCGAGCTTGAAATTTTCACTCATAGGCACGGCTCCACTACACGATTTTATTAAGTAAAACTTTACATTTAACTCGTCCCTCCTTAGTAAAGTTTTACTAATGAGTAAGAATTAAAAGAAGTATTACATTTCATCATATATCATATTTCGCTATCGCCGTTATGTAATACATAACCCCTGACCCCTGGACCCCTATCTATGACCAGGTAGGTACTATACTTCACACCCTAAATGTTTGCAACCTCGTCATCCGGCGTGAATTTTCAGCTCTTGCTTCTTTTTCCATGTCAATACTTTAGGTGAACATCTCATGTCTTCATTGAATATTCACCTACTATACGGTCCAACATATTCAAGTGCACACCTACTTTTTTACCTATTTACCTATCTTATCCCTATCTTGAAATATTATCTCATCCCTTATTTAATTTAATTAGCCTTGCCTTCCTCTCATCGTGATGTCGGATGATTTCCGAGCAATGTTGGACGCTGCTGCTGAACGTTTGGAGTCACAGTTCAGGGCTTTTTCATCCAACCTGAGCACCCAACCAGACCGTGACCGCCATCCCAAAGAGCAGACCAGTAGGCACCGGCGCGCTTCAGAGAGCGGGAAGCCCACCGCAGCGAAGGATCCAGCTGGTTCTAACACAGCCCCAACTGCCTGGAAAGCCGCCCTCGAGGTCTTGCCAGACGAGCTAACCAACATGCCTCTACCCAGCAACCCTCTCGCCCGCGCTCTAGCCGAGCAGCCCACCGTGCGTGAGCTGGAGTGGAACACGTACCGGTCGCAAAAGAATTTCAAGCCGCGGACCACGATGGACATCACCTCCATCATGATCTACCTCTCGGGGAAAATCAGCGCCGACCCGTGCCGAAACTGCCGCCTGATGAACAGGCCCTACGCGCGGTGCGTCGTGCCGTCGCCCGCGGTGCTCGCGCAGAGTAGTAGTCTGCGGCACGCGTGCGCGAACTGCACGTACCAGAGCCAGCATCAGCGGTGCACGAATCTGCCTATCGAGAACGAGGAGCTGGCTACGAAGACCCGGATGGCTAAGTCCGCATTCAGGATAAAGAACGCGACGCCCGTTAAACCTGTCGGGCGGAAGCCCAAGTCCGTCACCAGGAATGCCAGTGCCAAGTTTAGCACCAGCAACAACAGCCCTACATCAAAGCACAGGGCAGATTTCAAAGACATGATACACAAGCAGTCAGCTGCTGCGAAGGGTAGTACATCGGGGACAGCTTCATTTACCGAGAAGCTCCGTCAAGCTCGTTCGTGGTCCCCTTACTCCCGGCAGCAGATGAACGCAGAGGTGATGCAGTGGCAAGCAGCCATCATGACCGTTGAAGCAGAAAATCCCACTTCCACCTCATCGTTCAACAGCCCCACACTCGCAGGGCGACAAGAACTCGAAATGAATCGGCTACTACCAGCTCCTAATTTCGGTCGACGTCAAAGTGGTAGCGTATCAATGGACATGCCATCTTCGTTGCTTCCCCCCACTCACCCGGTTCCATCCGTAGCGAGTTCTTCGGTCGAGGAATATCAAGGGGAGGTAAGTTCACAACGGATAGATGAGGGCGATGGTCAAGAAAGTGACAGTTGCGATAGAGACGGCGAAGGTCTTCGCGGGTTGGCCGTTGCAATATGAGGCCTGTGACAGGGTATGAACCTGAATGATGATAAATTGCCATGACATTATAACTAAATGCCTATCAAGGTACACGACCTCTAGACTTTCCTAGAGATTATCCTGTCACACTTGCTGTCAATACAAGATACCTAGTCATCTATCTACCAGACGTGCCGCTATTTTTCGCCTGGCCACTTTGACTCGTGTGTTCCTCTCAAGCAACTGCCAGAATCGTATTCCAGCTTTGTCGTCTCGTACGTTGCTGCTGGCCCAACAAATACCATCTCCTCGTCAGGCACGCCAAGGTGAGCCTTGATGGTTCTGAAGTACCTTGGATCTACTACTTGTGGTGCCACTCTTGGCAGGGTACTGGTTAACTATGTGGCCGTCCGAGGTTAGTAGGTTGTTATATACGAGCAGTGTGATCACATAAAGACTTGGTGATACTTACAACTCTCATTTGCCTATGTAGATCATCATAATGTCTGAATTTCATATTCGGCCACATTTCGCGCAATGACTGCTGTACCTCTGGGCTTTGCGTTCCGAGAGACATCAAGAAACTGTTCAGCTGGTTCAGAGACATAGAGACGAGATAGTTGCCCCCTTTTTTCGACCGTTGGTACAGCGCGTTCATGATACCTATGCACCCTACGATTCCGGTTTGGAAGTCGGAATTTGGTAAGAATGGCATCACGGGCTCGTCCATGTCCCACATACGAGCGAACAACCAGGCTATTCCTGTCACCGCATCGCTGATCTGCTGCCACCCGCTGCGATGCTTCCATGGGCCTTTCCAGCCGTAGCAGTTCTCTCGAGCATATACTATACCTTTCCCCCTTCTCTTTGCCATCTCAAGTACGTAGGTCGGACCAAACCCCAGCTTCTCCAAAACGCCCGGACGGTAACCATCCAATACGACATCTGCGTCTTTGATCAAATCCAATACCGCGCTCCGTCCTTCCTCGGTTTTCAGGTCGAGGTGCGCATCCCGCTTGCCAAGGTTACTCTCGAATAGCACGATGCCTAAATCCGGCAGTTTCGTATTAGAAACTCTGACGACGGTGGCACCGAATAGCGCAGCGAGCTTTGCAATCGTAGGACCAGCGATCGCTCGGGTTAGATCCACAATCTTGATGCCTTCTAGGGGCCTATACGTTTCCGTATTAACCCTTGGCCACGGAACTGGCGGCAACTTCTCGCTAGTAAATTCCTCCAAGGTATATAGCCCGTCGTCTGCCACGGCTTTGCCTTGCTCGCTCTCCTTGTATTCTTCGGGTGTGAGGCAAATCCCCCCTGCTTGTCTCCAATATTCGTTCGCTTCAATATCCAACCACTCTGCATCAAACTTCTGTGCCCCTTCAGAGAGTCCATCAATGGCATCCATCTCGTCAGCCACATCCCGATGCAATGGAAGGCCTAACATTCGCAGGCTTCTATCCGAATTCAAGCCACCATGTAGATGAAACCAGCGACCATCACGTGTCGGGTAGACGTTCGTGACCAACCTGCGCCAGTGTGTGAACTGGCGGGTAGTATCATAGATCGAATACCTCTTCACGAGCTCGGGATCCGAAATAGGCTTACCACCGACTCGAAGTAACAGAAATGAAAAGAGAAAGATGGAGGCGACATCACTATTGACGACGACCTTTTGCTCGACCAATCCGTAACGTTCGGAGGCGATGGTGTTTCCAAAGGTGGCAAGGAGCGCCCATAACGCAGTACTGGACTCGGTACATTTCACTGGTGCTGGTAAGAAGGGCGTCGTCAGGGCCGAGTTGTCGAATGAGGTACGTTCCGCTGCATCCTTCACCGCAGAAGGAATTTGTAGGCGCGCATCTTTGAGTAAGACAGAATGGAAAATGCGCGAAGCTTCCTTTTGAATAGTGTAATGATTATCAGTCATTGTGATACGTTTTGTGCTTCATTTCCTATGTAATCATAGCTCACTCGGATAGTTTTTGATTATGACTTCGTGCTTACCTTCGTTAGGGAGATACCAATACTTACCAAAGTATCCTGGGTAGGTACTGTGTAGGTATTTAAAATCGGGATGTAACAGTCCGTTCCTAATTCCCAAGACACTGCGGGGGAATATGGAGAGACCTCATCTAAGTAGGACTTTATCCGCGGTTATGGTCTCGATCATAGTAGACGAGGTTATTGTCGGTAGATGGATAGGTAAGTAAGATTTAAATCCCGTTTAGGGTGTTGGAATATTCAGGTGGTCCGGAATCTCCCTGTTGAACTGGATCCACTCGTTGGGTGAGTGAAGCGTGGTCAGCTTATCTAGGGAGGTTCCGGTGGTCTTTTCGGAAGTCATCGTGCCGGGGAGAAGATTCAGTTGGGGCTTTGGTTCTCGGCTTTCGTCGAATCTGCTTTGCGGATTTCACTGCAGGTCTTCTACTGGGAGACCTGATGTGAAGTGGTGGTCGAGTAGCTGCTTGGGTTTGAGAGGAACTACCCTGTAGAGTTTCTTCCAGATTAGTGGTCAACCGAGTCTGAGAGGGATTACCCTGTAGAGGTTCTTCTTTTGAGTCAGGAGTATCTCTCCCGGGCGACGAGCTGCCGATGCTGGGTGAAACGCGCGGGGTAACAACCTCGAAGCCGAAATATTCAACTTCTAAATCGTTAGGAGGTGAAATGGGTGAAACGTCACGTGAGTTTGGCGAGCGGGGTTCCGACAGGGTAGCAGGTGGTGAGTAGGTGGTTTCCTCGCTGTCAAAGGTTTCAAGGTTAAAATCTTGATGTAAATCGTCGATTTCTTTGATCTTGTTGGTGAGAAACGGGAAGTTGTGCTCGTTGAGAAATCTGAGGAAAGTTGGTTTTTGTAAGGGTCTTTTCCGCAGGTTATATCTCCCGTTTTCCCTGCTGCCACCGGCGTTATTGTTGTTTGGGTTGTTTACTGTCGGATCCATCTTGCTAGCTGGTTACCTAGGTGACGAAGCAAGGGATTTTTGTTAGTGTCAGTGGCTTTGATGAAATAAATTTGTTGGGTTTATTCGGCAAGTCCGATATGGATAAAATTTGAAGGGATGAGTTGGTCCTTAGCTCTCACGGTGTTGGTTTTCCGGAGGGCTCAGGAGTCGTATATTTTGTTGTATTAGAAGAGTACATATGTAAGTTCTAGTGGTAGCTACTGGGGATGTAGATAGTACATATATGCCACAGGTGTGGGGCGGATGTTACAAGCCACCCTATACTAGCCACCTGAATATTCCAACATAGGGGCAATGAATGCTTAAATGTGACAAAAGCCATAGGTGCCTAGGGTAAAATACATATATAGCAGTCGGGCAAGTGCAATCATTGCTATAGAAACTCTACAAACTTGATACCAGGTTAGCACCTTCCATAGGTCATTACTCGAAGGTTTTAGGGGGCTACGACTTCCATACCTACCTAGTACTAAGGTACCTTACATCATTGAGCTTCGTATGAAGAAGCGGCAACCAGATCCCACAAACGCTCCCTTGCCTTGTTCCAGGAACTGTATATTGAACTGTATATTCCATGAGCATCATCTGATTGAAATCTTGTAAAGAATTATCAAGTTTTCCTTGTTTCAGAATCCTGGACATGTTAGCCAATCCAGGGAGCTCCTTGGCTCTACTTGAATGGATATAATGTTCTAAGGGTTCAGAATCTTGGACTTCTTGGGGACCTCAATTATCATATTCTTCTATAATACGATTTGTCAATGGCGTCTGTCACGTCACGCTCCAACAAGAGCTCCTCTTCTACCCCCCTTGAAGATCCTGATCCCTTCACGCTTGACCTTAAGCCCCCACCACTACGCCTCCCTCAGCGTAGAACTGACGTGAATCTAGATGGCTCTAGCTCTTTTGACCAGCAGGAAACATCAAGTATAGGAGATTCCTCTACTGCTACAGTCCGTCAAAATAGCCCCGACCCCTTGCCTAAGCCCGTTATAACCAAGATCCCTTCGCAACGCCGTACAACCACGGCAAAATTAGGCTCACTCGTATCCAAATTTGAGATCCTCGATGCAGTAAATAATGCAGAGACTGGCACTTCATTCAAATCCAAACCTAGTGTGATTCCCAGAGCTCAGGAGACTCTGAGACGACAGAGCCGGCCAGTTGAACCTGTGCAACGAAACCCGTTTGTAGATAGATATAGGCCTGCCGAATACTCCGCGAGTGTGTCTCCGAGGCAGGTGGCATCTCCGCCTCCGATGAGTAACAGATCTAAGCTCCCGGTTCACACGTTATACAGCACGACGGCGTCAGGAAACCATAATGTATCCAGAATTCATCTTCCATTAGAAACAAGTGGAGAGTCTTCAGCTATGGCAAGACAGCGCCCAGCGGAAATTCAAGCTTCATATGGTCATGAGGTGAAACGTTGTGCTCCTAACCATGACCTGTTACGAAGTACCGCTTCTCGGACGGCCAGACGCTCTGGATAGGATCCAAGGCTTATCGCAGACCGTAGAAGAGTTTTCGAACACAAAAGCAGTGAGTACATGCGCATAGCCATGACTGTTGATCTGGAATGTAACTAAGCTGGCAGCATATTCTCCTTTCACAGAACCTACCGAGCCAAATTTGGAACGGCCAGCGGCACAAAAACCTGTGACTGTTGCGACAGATTCATCACCGCGAAATCTTCCAGCCCCTAATACCCCTCGGCAACATCCTCCAGCAAAATCTCACCGGCCAATCACATCGTTAACTAGTCCTCTCAAAACTTCACAAAGATTGAGCATTGAAAGCCACGAAACGAAATGCCAAGCCATTCAGCAATCGCCTAGTAAAGATGCTCAGCCATCGAGCGTTACAGGTAGTCCTGTGAAGAGAACACGGCCAAGCGTAGCAGATCTTCGTAAATCTTTTGAGCAAAATTCACGCCCGGCAGAGCGAATGCCTCAGACGCCTAGAAAACCCAAACTCACCTCGGAGAAAACACCAACTCGAACTATTCAGAGTAACGAAGAGTTTCCTCGATCACCAGGCTCCATTTACCGAGGGAGCACTATCTCTATTAAAACAACAACACAAAAGGACAACGCTGTAACTCAGGCGACTCCAGGTGTCATGGCCAGAATCAACCAGACAGAGTTGAAGGAGAGAGAATCACAACAGTCCCTTCGCTCTGCAGCCAACACCGCTAGGCATACTCCAACAATTTCATTACCAAGAAGCAGTCGGTTCCGCCAAAAAGGGATATATAACTTCGACGGGGCCATGTCCCTGGAGCAAGAGGACCCCAAAGATGAGGGAGAGGTGTTCGTCGATTCTCAATCGCAATGTCTACTGCCTGGGCTTCCTCCAACTATTCAAGGGAGCAAGACATCTTCTCACATAAGTTTAAGCCAGCCCCTTTATCCCGCTGCCTCGAAAGCGTGTTCCATAGGTACATTGGGCGGTGTGTTGAAAAAGGATGGCAAGTCTAAGGTGCCAAAAAAGACCCGAAGGAGTTCCAGACCAGTCCTTAAATCAGAGGCTATGACGAGATGTGCAGGAAAAGTGTCGGACCTCAGAAAGTTCTTTGAGCGATCCTCGATTCGAGGCTCGTCTCCGGCTCCTTCTAAGGGTTTTTGGCAAAACCGCGACCGGGATAAGCCAGAAATCAACGTGAAGAAGCGTGTTGCACGAAATATCCTAACTGCGTCGACAACAACATTAGAAACACAAGTTGCGCCGTTGGAGAGAATATTGACCCCTGAGCTGACCACACAAATTTCAACCGATGACTTCTCCTGTAACTTTGCGGAAGCCTTAGGTGACGCAGAGGCATCGAAACTACGGGTAAATTTGGACGCGGACGTAGATGGTTCTCATGAAAACCCCACGCTAAAGCAAGAATCACCTGTCAAAAGCCGTATACAACAATTCGAATGCCTAGAGCAGAATTCTCCAGTTGCTAGCTTAGTTCCATCTGCCCGAGCCAAATCATACAATGCCAATCTGCACACCCCTTCCAAGGTAAAGGGGAAGGGTGTTAAGCAATCCGAAACTGATGCAACCAGACACCCATTCAAACAGCGGAGTGCAGAGTTGTGGCGGCGAATATCGAACCCCTTTACTCGGTCAGCGGATACTTGGGGTAGTAGCAGTGATGATGATGAGAAAGCCAATTCGAGTACTGTCGACGATACTGACGCACGGCCGCAGCCTGCTCATCGGCGCGTGCGATATCGTCGTTCAAGACTCTTTGGCTACCATCTATATCGTACATCTGAAGTAATTCATTCCTCGGCTGATTCATCTCACAGTGAATTGGGCATTAATACTGATGACGAACTTGTAGCGACGTTCAGGAATGAAGCACCATCGACATATCAGTCGATGAGAAGAACTTTTCCTTTTCTTGCGCGCATGTCGGAGAGCCTAGGAGGCGTAGAAGAATTCAACGACTTCGGACTCGATGGCACCGTACTATCTAAGGCGACACGGTGTCGAGATAAACCGGCCAGTGATGAGGCCTCGCAGGGCCTAAACGATGCGCAGAGCGATGCCAAACCGATATCGAAGACGGCATCGCAGCAAACCACGGCGGAGCGCAAGCGCCGCAGGCTCGAAGAGAAAAAGCTTCGTCGAGAACAGAGAGAGAAGAAGAGAATAGATAAGGCGAAAGCAAAAGGAAAAGCAAAGGATACAGGAGCTGATGACGGCGATAATAGCGAGAATAACGAGCAGGGCAAGGGGAAAGGGAAAGAATCCGATGGCAAAAAGAAAGAAAGCAGTTGGAGCAAGAAGACGTCTTCGGGTTTCGTAGTACGCCAGATCAACGATGTTAAGCTCAGACATCCAAAGCCAAGACGGCCGGGTCAGGTCAGGAAGATTGTCAACATGTACAAGGAAAAGGCCAGCAGCGGGATTAAACTAGGCAAAGGGAGCGGTGTCGGTTCTACACATGCTGCCGGTACAAGTGCCGAGGAGGGAGGCAACTGATGGAATTCACGGTTAGAGAAGTAGGTATCCCTAGATTCGGCGATAGGGGAGGGAAAGAGGACGACCAAGGATAAACAGACGTAGCTTATCGAGTAATGACTTAGTAATCCTAGTGGTCAGGAAGGTCAGGTACTAAGGTATTATTGAAATCAGACCAGCCGGCCACCATGGATGAAAGAGAAAAGGCATTGCCCTCGGGCTAGGTAGATATAGATACCTACTCCTAAGACACACGGAGGCTGCCTCTTAGTTAGCGCAAGGTAATCAGTTAACAAGTTTGTTAATTTTTTTTTTTTTTCCCTGTGACGACCCCTTTTAGTTGGCCTCCTCTTTGCGTTGTTGATTCTTGAGTGAGCAAGATTAGGTAGATAAACTTGTGTACGAATACGCATCTGACCTAGATGATACCTAGACACGACACCAAAGAGTAGGTAAGGTACCTGTACCTGGTTTGCAGGTTTGAGGGTGAGAATAACAAAACCCTTCAATTCATCATCAAAAGATATCTTTGGTTTGGGTATATATACATACCTACCTACCTAGGTACCTAAGGCAGGTCAACTTTCTTCCATGCCTACCCACCTAGGTTACATACTTCGTATAACCCAACGCGAGGATAGTATATACCTATGTGATTATTGGTGTCACCTTGGCCAAGCTAGTAAAAGGGGTAAATAACCCCGCTTATTCCTTGAAGCTTCAAAATTCCAACCGATTACTGCCACTGGATATTATGTATCTCCTTGCCTGCCAGCCTGCATGGCTACTAAGTAAGTAGGCATCTAACTTACCCGGCAAGTCCCATACCACGTCCAATCTTGCGCACAAGTGCCTTCTTCAGATACCACTCGCGCGCCAGGCCCCGCGTCGTCTTGACGAAGACAGTCGGACTGATCCGTCCGCGCTCGACCGCCCTCCCAAGAACGAAGATGGCGTCACCTAGTGCCCGCTCCTCGGCCGCCGCATCATACAGCTGGTTTGCCACCACGGTAGGGGCGACGAGTAAGTCGTCGATGGGAGGCGGTTCTCGGGTTTGCGCAGAATAGATAACACGGTCGGCTTCTTGCAAGGACTGCTGCAAGATCGAGGTATTAGAAGAGAGCATGGCAGAGAGTGGGGCAAGCGCTGCCGTGTCGGATTGTAGGTTCTGAAGGGCTGTGAGCATGGCCGCGCGTTGGGCGCCGAGACCAGCGAGAGAAGACTCGTTCTGCGCTCGAGCGCGTTGGCGCAGGCCGTGGAGTGTCGAGGCGAGTTGGCGTAAGAGCGCATCCTTTTCCGGGTTAGGTGGAATGGGTGGCGGTAGGAGGTTGTCGTCGGCGGAGGAGGACGGAAGGGCAAGGGAAAAGGGCTCGTCCATCAAGTCAGGGGGCGGGGGCGGCTTCGGTTTGGGTTGCATTGGCGGTTGTTGCCAGTTTTGTAGAGGGGGGCCAGCTGGAGGGCCGTGGTAAGGAATAGGAGTGGCGGGAGCTACCATGGATGTACGTCGAGAGTCTGGCGATGGAAATCCAGGCTGAGGGGGGCCACCGTGTTGATACGTAGATTGTGGCTGTAGCTGAAGCTGCGGTGGATATTGAGTATTCGGAGGTGCTGGTTGCTGGTAGGGTTGCAAGGGTTGAGGGGGATGTGATTGCCCTTGTTGCGGTGGCAAAGGAGGGGCCGTGTCATATCGAGATAGTCGAGTCGGCTGTGTCGTCGTAGGTGTACCATACTGGCTCGATTGACGTTGAATTCCGTCCGGTAGGGGTGGTCGTGGGGGTCCGTCTGTTTGGGCAGTGGACGGGCCAGAAACGACCTGAGGGAGGTCGCTTCCCTTTGGTGGAGGCGGAGGTGGTCTCGAATCGCTAGGATGCGGAGATGGGACCTGCTGGGCACTCTGCCTTGTCATGTCGGGAGGCAAAGGCGGTACTGGTGGAGGTGTCGGGGTCGGGAGTGGTTGTTGGGATGCAGGACGAGCTTGTTGCCGTGACACTACCGGCGGTTCCTTCGCAAATATGTCTCTCAGTATAGCGAGGAAATCTAGCAACGATGATTTCTACGCAGCTGATATTAGTATCTTTGCGCGACGAGAAATATTATATATTAGCTAGCATGAACAAGGCACTCACATCCCAAAACTCGGCCCAGCCCACGAGATAAGGATGGTATATTCGTCCTTGGGGGTCAACATGTTGGCCTGGCCGCACCATCATGCTCTCGGTAGGAGTAACATAGCCCAGCGGTGCCTCCCGTGGATAGGCATGTGGTATCCATAATGAGATGGGAAATCGATATGTCGTTCCACGAAAGATGACGGGAATGGTTCCAGAGAGGTGTAAGAGGAGAGCTGATACGCCGTTGTCGAAGGCTGCAAATCGTAATTGGTTAGAAGGATGTTGACTAGGATTAGTGAGTGAGGCGCTTGACCATACTATGTACATCTGTCCTGGGTGACAGTGAAGGGTATTGAGATAGCGCTTGGGCTACATCGTTATAGGTGCGATTCACATCTTGATATTCCTGTCGAAGGTATTCTCAGTAGTGTCCAGCTTGCAAAGTGACTGGTATTTCTTACGCTGGTTAATACACTATACAACCAATTCAGAACATGCTGCTGGACGACCATCTTGGTGATGGTGGCAGCTGATTGATTAACTTAGTTGTAGTAACAACGTCATGATAGTTAAACTTGGGAGTTGAACACTGTAACAATTTAGATGTTAAGCCTCGTGCTGGTATGTACTGGCGAGCGTCGCCAAGGCTGATGGTAGGTAGGTACATGTAAATGCTTGGTGGGGCTTGATAAAGCCATGGCCAATCATAACCATTTCTAATTCCTAACTGTCAATTATTCAATCGGACGCAAATTTATCCGATTGATCAACCCAAAATTCAACCTTTTGTATCAATCAACCCAACTTAATTCAATCTTTAATAACTACACAGCTTTTCAATAAATTATAATTCAATATGCCTCGTCCGCAATCTAAGATAGACGAATATAAAGATGAGATTATCGCCCGATGGTCTATTGGTGATTCAATTGAAGCTATTACTGAATGGCTATCCCACCTTATTCCAATCTCACAACGGACCTTAGAAAGAAGACTCAAAACCTGGGATCTTCACCGACACTCTCGTACAACAGTTACTCCTCAAACTTTAGACTTCATTCGATATCTTGTCTTTCACCATGGATATAATGATAAATCAATCCTTCGAGAACTTTCTCGCGAAGGTGTAGATTTAAGCCCTAGAGGTTTACAGGTCGTACGACTTAGGCATAATATAAAAAGGAGATATCGTACGGATGAAGAACGCAATGAGGTTCTGCTTCAAGCTCAGAACTTCATGGAAAATGCCGCCCAATATAGCTCATCGATACAGTATTATGGAATATCTGACCTATATAAATTCATGCAAACACGAGCTGGTATCCTTGTCGGACGAAACCGGATATATCAGATCTATAAAGATATATATCCAGAGCATGTACAAAGAAGACGCGAAGCTGGTTGGAACCATCGTACGGAGTTTCAAGTCCCAGGACCTAACTGGCTTTGGTCTTTAGATGGTTATGCTAAACTCTCAGATTTTGGATTCCAGGTATGTCGTACGATACATATTTATATATATATATATATATATCCTAATTATTCCTATAGATCTACGCGTGCATAGATGCGTATTCTAGCTTAATCATCTGGATTTATGTAGGGCGATCAGCAACTACTGCTATGAGTATATTAAAGCAATTTCTTCGTACGGTAATGGCAGGAGAAGTTCGGCCATGTTTTACTAGAGCCGATCATGGTATAGAGACTCCTTTATGGGCTGGTGCCCAAGCTACTCTAGCAGAAGCCGGTCAAACAGAGATATCGTACGAAGATGAAGAAGGTAATACTCATATTCATCGCCAGGGAAACCGGCTATCGTCTGTTCATCTATGGGGGCCTAGTACGAAAAATATCAAAATAGAGTCTTGGTTTCGGCCCTTTCGAGAAGGAGCTATTGATCGTTGGATTGTAAGTAAATAACCTTTATTACATTATCGTACGATATTAATATGTGAATTAGGCTTTTAAAACTGAGCTCATACATAATGGTCTATTTGTTCCGGCCGATCCTATTGACCAAATAGCTGTATATGCTATATATGGCCCTATGATTCGAAAGGAATTTGCTGAATTGGTGGATATCTGGAACAGCCATCGCATCCGGAAACAGAAGAATAGACCTCACGTACGACCAGGAATCCCTTATGATTTATATAATACGGAAGAAGTTGCCAATTGGGGGATTCCTGTTGAAAAAGGCAGTGCTGCGTACGAAGCTGCTCAAGTTATGGCTCAGCCTTTGGACAATATTGAAACAGATGAGTTTATGACCCCTGAAACAACAGAATGGTGCGAAAAGCAGCTAGAAGGGATAGGCTTTGATGGCCGGCTGTTAACAGAAGATCACCTACGGCCACATCTTGGAACTTATATTAAGCTTCGAGATATCGTACGAAGGCATGCTCTATCAAGGGAATTACCTCATCTTGAGCTGATTGGCACTCCTGTTGGTAGCACCGAGAAATATATCAAATTACTCGAGCTACTTCAACAAAACCACCCTTTCTTTTCGCACGATAACCTACGCGGGGATGAGCTACCTCAAGGGATAGTTAATGCAGTTCAACAAATGCAGGAAGAAACGGACGATCTTGAGGAGTAATTGTATCTAGCTAGCTTCGTACGAGAAATAAAAGGAAAAGATTCAATCTAGTATATACAAAAGAGATATTTCAAGTCTAATATCTAACGCTTTCTAGAAGCCATGGCAGGCGTTGTACGGTAAAAGATGGGGGTATTGAAGATATTGGCTTTGGCCAGTCCCAGCCAGCGCTGTTGCTGCCGGCCCCGGACGAAGAATAAGAAGAAAAAAGCTATTCTCAATTGAATAAGAATATAGGACGGTAATTATCGTACGAAAATTGAATGAATAAAGCTGTAAGAAATATTCAAAAGGTTGATTCAAATTGGTTGAACACTGACCGATGACGTAAGCAAGTAACTAGCTACGGAATGTGAAACTGAGACGCCGACAAAACCCCGCATACTAAAGTCTAGATACAAGTAACTAAATTTCAACGTTTAAAGTTTCACTGCGGCATTACCGGACGCCACCGGTATCGCTTCAAGTTCTTTATGCCTACAATACCCAGGTACCTGCTTACAGACATACATACATACATACATACATACATACATACATACATACATACATACATACATACATACATTGTACATGTATGCAGATCTAGATCCATCCATTCAGCCGGAGTCAACCGGACATCAATGGCGCCATATGAGTTGATCATTTTTGACCATGTGCCATCTCTATCCTTTATTAATGCCCATAATTGAAGACTGGGAAGTGATGAGAACAAGTCATGTTCATATATGTATCCTCTTCCATGTTGAACTCATTAGGTACTAATTAATATATACATGTCTATGTACATACCTATGTACAATAGTAGATTTAACTCTTGCCGGGACCCCCCATCTTCTAAACCTTGTTGGACCCTATGGTTGGTAATACATACCATGTAATACTAAACCTTAAGTAACTTATAGTAGTCTTATACATGACAGTCTAAGAAAATGTCTAAGAAAATGTATAAAAGTTTCAAGTTCCCACATCTTTGATCATTTGAACTTTCTTTCCATTCTCGGACATATACTTGTATTTATTGTACTTAGTTGTCAACGTCAACTCGCTTCGGCCCATCATTGTCTACCTATCTTTAACATATTATCATTGTATGCTTACAACTAACCTGTAATTTCGCACGGCTGAGGAGTATCACAGGATATTCTCTGTATACTCCTTGCGTCAGGAATTGGTTTTCTTCCTCTTTTTTGAGTTGCCAGAGTCCTCAGAGTCTCACCACATTTACTCGTCCGCAAGTTGTCTCAAACTATCCCAAGCACTAGAGACATAATATCTTCGTGATGAGACCCCCTATTCCCATCTTATCCGACTATGGAATCTCGCCAAACCATGGATTCCTACCTGATGTCCTACCCTTAACGAGACTTCCGGACCCCTATTATAATAAATGGGAGTCCATTGGCTCTAATCTGCAGAATCTGATTCTCAGTAAACGCCTCCGGGGAGTCATCGATCGCCTACCTGTTCTCTCCACCGTTGGTCTGGAACATGATGCGGAATGGAGAAGAGCATACATGCTCCTGACCTTTTTTGCTCATGGCTACATCTGGGGAGGTGACATTCCCTGTGATCGAGTGCCACCGAGCATTTCTGTGCCCCTTTTGGATATTTGTGAACATCTCGAAATTCCACCCGTCTCCACCTACGCCGCCTCGGTGCTATGGAATTTCAAGCCGCTCTTTGTCGATGAGGGGATAGACGATCTGGATAATATCGCCACTCTGTTGACCTTCACCGGGTCACTTGACGAATCTTGGTTTTACCTAGTCTCGGTTGCCATCGAGGCTCGTGGTGGTCCCATCATTCCTCTCATGTTGACAGCAGTTGCTGCCGCTCGCGAAGGCGATAGCGCAACCGTGACACGTTGCCTGCGTGCCTTTGCCGAACGTCTTGATGACCTTGGTGGACTATTGCGTCGTATGCATGAAAGCTGCGACCCTGGCTACTTCTACAACCGCATCCGCACTTTTCTCGCCGGCAGTAAAAACATGGCTGAAGCAGGCCTACCTAATGGTGTTATCTACGACGATGGGACGGGCGAGTCCCAGTATGTTCAATACAGCGGGCCAAGTAACGCACAGAGTAGCCTGATCCAGTTCTTCGACATTGTTCTTGGCATCGAGCACCGTCCTACTGGCGAGAAACCAGATCCAGCATCCGAGTCGGAGCGAGAAGGGCGTAGCTTGGTTCCCCAACACAATTTCATTCGCGACATGCGACGGTACATGCCAGGACCTCACGCTCGCTTTTTGCGTGATGTCGGTGCCGTAGCTAACATCCGAGAGTTCGTCGAGAGCCGTGGTGGTACTGATCTTCCGTTGTGTATTGCGTATGATGCGTGCCTTGCTATGCTCCGCGCTTTTCGTGATATCCACATCGCCATTGTTACACGTTATATTTACCTACCGTCTCAAGAAAAGAGGGTTCGCAGTCCCGAAGTCGCCAAAACCCGACAGAACCTGGCAACGGCCTCGAACAACGAGCAGCATAAGAAGGTCAAAGGCACTGGCGGCACTGCCTTAATCCCCTTCCTCAAGCAGGCTCGTGATGAGACAGGCGAACCGTCCGTCCTGACTTGGGCCAAGCGTTTCATGAGTCGACAGACTAAGATTTCGGGTCAAAACGATTTCTTCCTCGGTAAAGAAGAGAAGAATGCATTGGATGAACCCGTCTTAGAACACGGTCTTGCGGGGACGTGGTCTATGAATGAGGAGTACGGCGGTATCTGCTACAATTAGCGCGCCACTGAAGATATGAAGTATTTATATAGATAGATACAGCGAAGACCGTTTGAATACTACAGCGTTATCTGATTCTTCGGCCACATACATTATCGTGACTTTGAAGGGCATGTTCACTTGTATCTCTTGGGAGAATGCCTATAATATGCCCTACCTAGGTACCTATATAGGGACTAAGAGAAAATTATACCGGTACATCTCCAATACAAAGCTTTAACCTAGATATCTACCTAGAATTTACTGTCTAATATTCGTACTAGGTATTCACTTATAATACTGCAGCAGAGAGTGACGAATTGCATCGTGAGTATAACTCGTTTTACTATCTTATGTAGTTGGGTAAAATTACCTAGGTAACCCAAGTAGGTATCTGCCTACTTCCATCTAAATACCTAAATGGATATTCAAACTAACTAATTTGTTTGTGTTTGTGTTTGTGGTTAAATATCATCCCAAAAGATCAATCAATCAAAATGCCCGAAAATTCGCCAAACCCTTCCCCTTCCCTATCCCATGAATTTTTCTTTTATCGTCACAATGAACTGAGTTCATTTGCCAAGCCATCAAATCATGTGTACCTACCTACCCTACATACCTACATAGGTTAGGCAGGTAGGTACTGTAGGTACAGAAAATCCCAACGTCTGTCTATCTACCACTTGACGACCTTCTGCGGGAAGAACTCGTCAATCAGGTCGAGATAATACGGCTTGAGCTCCTTGATGTCGGGGACGCCGTCGCTCTTGCTGTACAAATCGTAAGGGTTGAACGCTTTGACGGCGCGCAGCATGTCCTCGTCATGCTTGTCCATGAGCGCGCGGTACGCGCCCTCCTTGTGCCAGGGGTAGAAGGAGTGGTAGCGGATCATGGCGAGGGCGTCGGGGGGCAGGGTGGACTGCTCCTTGACGACGTGGTAGAGGTACTCGTCGTGGCCCCACGAGAGCATCACGTTGTCGAGGCCGCAGCCGGGGGAGTAGATGCCGAACTCGGTGTTGTAGATGGGGTCTTTGGAGTCGGGGTTCGCGGCGAAGGTGTCCGGGTAGATGTTGCGGGGGTCGAAGGCGCAGCCGACGGGGAAGGTGTCGCCGACGACGTCCCACTGGCCCTCAGATCCGTAGAAGTAGAGGAGCTTTCCCAGGTCGTGGATCAGGCCCGTGACTTGCATCCACCTGGGCTTGCCGTCGCGACGGATTGCCTCAGCTGATTGAAGCAGATGCTGGATCTGCGAGAGACTGGTGTCCGGGTCCGACTCATCGATCAGTGTGTTTAGCTTCTCGATGGCCTGCCATACTGTCATCTCTTCACGGGGCCGCGTCTTGAAATGGTTCCGCGCCTTCAGGTTGTAAGCCACGGTCTGTTTGGTGTGCTGCTCGCGATAGAAGTTCTTGACGCGGTCACACGCCTCCTCGTATTGTCGGAAGTTGGCCTTGTCCTTCTCTGAGTCGAATGCCGACTGGTCGTCGAACTTGGCCTGGCCCTTCAGCACATTAACTGTGTCGATGTGGTCAGATGTCTCCTCAAGCTCCAACCCATTGCGGGAGGTGGTATCGTCGTAGAGAACGCCTGGTGCCATGATGATATTTGATATATTAAAAGGGGTATCTCTTGATGCTAGGTATAGTAAATGGAATAGGCCTCGTATTTATTCGCAAGCGTTACAATTGTAGCCGAGTATGTAGTTGAAAAACTCTTCGAGACATCACCATCCTTGACATATTATTTATATAGGTACCAAAAGCCTCGCCGCACACGTTCTACTCCTATGTCGTGTAAGTGGTATAACTAGTCCCATACTAGCTCGACGTGAAGACCAAAGCGTGGGTCAAACGAGGTAAAAATCGCCGAACCGAGCTACATCTAGCGAACTAGCTCAAGCGGTGATCTCCCGAGAAAAAAAGGCCTGCCTGCCAGGTACGCCAACCTTAAGGGGGTAGATCTGCGGATGGTTTTCCGGGTCGTTTGAAAAAGGGTAATATTTTCCGGTTCTAGATTTGGGAGATATCGCATCCACTGGTCTCGTCCATATGCAACACTCCACGTCTTTGAAGCGGAGCAACGTCATATTAGCATCATTCGGTATTTTTAGCCCTCGATCTCAAATTCCCCACGTTGGATAGAAGTAATTTTGAAGTTCGGTCAAGCTTGGTAATCTAAGGCGATATCGTGGAAGTCGCGGTAAATATACCGGTAAGGAGGTCATGTGCAACCCGTTCAGCCACTTACGTATCTCGTATTAGTTTGACGAATAGGATGTCTCCAATTGAAATGGGTTTATTCGTCATTTTCTGGTACCCATCCCCAAGCTTTCATTAGTTGTTGTTGTATTGCTGCGGTTGGCCGGGCGTGTTCTGCTTCAGTCCTCTTCAAGATATCGACCAAGGCCTCCTGATCGGTCCGTTCTCCGAATTGATCGCCAACTGCGCTTTCATGTTAGTCTGGATCAGTCCATTGTGATGACTTGGGATATATCGTACACATCGCAATACCCATGCAAGCAGTGAACATACTCGGAGGTGTCCACTGGTTGCAAGCACCGATACCACACAACTCCCTTACGAGGTCCTCGATTCGATGCTGTCCCACGTCAGTGCATCCGGTGAGGAGCTTCAGGGGAAGGAGACTTACGGTCATTTGCTTAACTGCTGCTCGGCGATTTGTTCCTACTTTGGGAATAGATGGATCAAACTGAGTTAGGAATAATTGTGCAAGGATATGGTGCTGAATCCCGATGACTGCAGGACCGTAAGCCAACATTCTTCAATATAAGGCGATGATAAGCACATCGGCACCTACCGTGACAGCTTGAGCCGTGCCAGATCTCCGGAAAAGCTTGGGGTGAACTGCGCGCTCGATAGAAGAATGGGTTGAAGGACATTGGTCGAGTAGCCGACCATTTCCTACATGCTTCATCAAGAGCAACCCAACGACCGGTCGTGAATGAATTTTCACCAAAACAGTAGTTGAGAACATCGGCCAGAAGCACGATTGCCCTATTCGACCACGTGTAATCATCAGCCAGCTCAAAGGATCGGTCTACGACAAAATGATCCAAGCTGACCTTTACCGGCTGTTGGGTGATCACGGCAATATATATTTCTTGTCGCAATCCCACCCAAAAGGATGCCGCGCTTAAGCTGCCAGGTACCATATAATGGTCTCCGACGTTGACAAAGGCATGAATGCCGAGCAAGTGACTGTAGGTATCCTGGCCTGTTGTGGGAACTATCATACATGGTTAGTTGACAGCCCTTAATTCAATAATGATTCTAGAATTTTTCTCTCACCATCCATCTCCTCGAGCATACGTAGGATTATTGTCGCTGCAAATAAGTTCTCATCTGATACCGCTGAAGCATGGTTCAGCATGGGAATCAGATACTTTAAACACTCATCATGATACCTGTTCGAGGCAAGGGGATCAAAATCCGTCGTATGACTTAGATGCCTGGCAGCTATGGCGAAGATGGCGTTTAAGAGCGTATGACATGCTCCAGCCCGCTCAGGAACGACAAGTTCGAAATGTCTCAGCGGGTCACACAAATCCAACTAGGCACTCAAGTCAGTTCTCTGTACAGACGGCAAGTTTTCAGGGCGGTGTATGTCACCAAGCTTACACATATCGCTAATCTTTGTATATAATGCCGAAATAGCAATGCCTCGGTTCGGCTTTTAAGTGGTAAGGCTGAGATGGCTTGGAAATTCGGGGTCAAGATATCCCTGATAGGTGGTATACGCGTGTTATTACCAACCTGCATGGACCTCACATTGCTAGGACTGCTAGCTTTTGGTTCTAAGAAGTCTCTGCCAGATTGTGAATCTATTGCGAGGGAACCCTCGCTCGTGAAGAGCCCATTGTGCCCCAATGAGTTTTGAACCTGCACAATACTACCTGGTTGACTTTCAGGTATGCGCTTCGTCGAATCAGCAGCCACCGGAGGTGTGATACTCCGAGAGGTCCGTTGAAGATTCCCACCATGGTTTTCGTCTATATGAAACCCATATTGTATTGCTTCCTCTAGAATAAGTGGATTTTGATTGGCCAGAGGTCGTGTTTCATCAATATAAAATACTACTCAGTTTTGTGAGTCTATCTGTTCATCTTTTGTCTGATAGCAAAACTCACGATGTTTTGGCGGCTTGAGCCATTTCTGGTTACTAGCGAATTTCTCTGAGTAGGTAGATACCATGTCAGACTTGTCGAAATAGTGAATTTGAACGATTTTGGACTTGCCTTTGCTGGATTTGAACTTGAAGCCAAGCTTACATTCGCGACCTGCGCGAACACAGCGACCACATCTTGGAACCGAGCGATCACCTAGGTACGTATTCGACTAATCAGTTCCTGTTGTTTCGATGTGATCAAAGATTATGATGAGTAATCTGGGATTTCTCACATTTTAGATGGTGTTCTCGACATGTAACGCTGTTGCCAAGAAGCCAAGATTAGCAAGTGGCCAACATTTGAAAACCCCATCATCATGTAGAGGAGTGGATATTCAATCCAACTCAAGGTCCACAGGCCTCGGTGCCATCTAGAAACCTAGCAACCAAGTAGATCCTGGGGAAAGAGTATGAAATCATACCAAGGTGTAGCAAGCAATTCCGTTTGCTCTGGTGAGGGCATTCGCAAGGTCGTGAGGGTCGTTGGTTCGGCGAATAGCTACTAGATTGGCCCGGTATGTTTCGGTCAAAGTTGCCCGTACAAGAAGTAGATGTAAGAAGTCCAATCTGGAAGAGGGGATCGTCTAATAAAGATGGGCAAAACCGCCGAACGGAGATAAACAAAAGGGGGGGGTCGAATAGAATCGAATAGCATACACCGGCTTATGGAACACCGAAGACCAGGTTCAATTGGCTACTAGGTAGCTAGATAACTAACTATTCGATGGTCATTGGATGATATCCCGAACAATGGTCTCCAAGACTCCAACAAGGCCCGGCCCCATGGGGTTTTTGGGGTTGTTGATGTAGGGTATGGGGTAAGGAGGTATAATCAAGGCAAGCTGACCATGATGTAAAACAATCTAGCCAATGGATGATCTTCCAAATACTTGCAGGTAATACTTTATGTAACTGTAGTAGGTCAGCTAAGTTGTCAACCCCAGCTTAGCTTGCAACTTACAAGGAGCTAATGAGGCAACGTGCCGCTACCCCATGAATGTTTTGCGGAATATTATACTCGAAAGGCAGGTACTGCGTAATAGGTTGGTAGATGTAGGTAAGTAACTACCCTTCCATCTTAATTTCCCCAGGATTGAACCCTAGTAGCTGTGTATTAGGTATAATCCGATTGTTCCAAGTGGTTCTTTCTTTCTTTCCTTCCCCGCAACTCTTTCCGCTCCACCGTCAAGACGCTCGTCAAAGAAAAATGCAACAAGAGCTAAACCGTTTATAGTCTATAGCAAACTGCCTCGGCTTGTCTAGCGTGATCATTTTCCGAACTAGCCTTGGAACTCCAAGCGAGCTATAATATTTCATTTATCGTTAGTTTATTTATTTCAAAGTTTCCCTTCCCTATAAAAACCCAAAGGACGACGGGAATGAATTTTGGTGGGATATTACTCGCAGCATAAGCTTTCTTGCAGGTCAGCAAGTCCTTGACGTCTTTGGAGGATAGGATTGTAACCCCTCATTCGATTTACATAGCAAGTCGGTGCGGTTGCTTTGCCAACCCGCATCATACTCTAAGTATATCAGCCATGACTTCGGCAGCGTCGGGGAAAAGCATAACGGACGACATGCTCGAGAATGTCCCGCAGCCGTCCCCAGTTATGGAATCGAAGGAGCATGGGAAGCTCAGCGACATCATCCGAGATGCGAAGCTCGCAACGGAGAAGGAGCAAAAGATGACCCTGTTACAGGGTCTAAAGTTGTATCCTAAAGCCATTGCATGGAGTGTCCTCATATCGACATGTATCGTTATGGAGGGCTACGACGTCTCCCTAGTCAATAACTTCTATGCCTTTCCACAGTTCAACGAGAAGTACGGTGTTCCCATCACCGACGCCGCTGGAAATACCTCTTATCAAGTTCCAGCAGCATGGCAAGCCGGGTTAAGTAATGGTGCGGTAGTGGTAAGTTAGATCATCTGTCCGTATCTGTTGAATATTTAAATGCTCCCCTTTCCAGCCTTCGATCGTTGAAACCTGCAGAGGAAATTCGTTAGCGATCGATGCCCACATTATAATTGTCCTTTTCTTCATATCTTCGTATGGGCTGTGAAAGTTCTATATTAATCCCTTCATTCTGCGCAGGGTGAAATTATAGGTCTTGTTATAAACGGTTGGGTCTCTGAGCGATTCGGTTACCGATACACAGTTATATTTTGTCTTTCGCTCATCATCGCATTCACCGCCATCTTCTTCACTGCGCAAACCGTGGTGCACCTCCAAGTCGCCGAGATCCTGTGCGGTATCCCATGGGGTGTCTTCCAGACTCTGACTATCACCTATGCTTCCGAAGTATGCCCTGTCGCCTTGAGAGGCTACCTCACTACTTATATCAACTTTTGTTGGGGAATCGGCCAGATGATTGGCATCGGTGTTATAATGGGTAACTTATGGCGGACTGACGAGTGGGCGTATCGTATAGTAAGTCTCGCTTGGGCTCTTTTCCCCTTGGCGACAGCTGCTAATAATAACTAGCCATATGCCTTACAGTGGCTTTGGCCAGCTCCTCTAATCTTCGGCATTTATTTCGCGCCCGAATCACCATGGTGGCTAGTAAGAAAAGGAAAACTTGATGAGGCCAAAAAGTCCTTGCTTCGATTAACCAGCTTTGACCGTGAATCGGACTTCGATGCGGATGAGACTGTTGCCATGATGGTTCATACGTCCGCTTTAGAGCAGAAGGTTAGCTTTGCTTCTTTGATATATAATACCTTGCCATTAACCACTTCTATAGATCACCAAGGGAGCTAGCTACATGGACTGTTTCAAGGGAGTCGACAGACGCCGGACCGAAGTATGTCAACCGTCTTTGCTTTGGGGTGCTCGTTTTCTGTGATACTGACTTGGGACAGATTGTATGCATGTGCTGGGCAATTCAAAATCTGAGCGGAAACTCATTTTCCAACTATTCGACATATTTCCTGCAAAGGGCCGGGCTTAGCGATGAAAAGGCGTATGCATTCGCCATGGGCCAGTACGCCATAAACTGCGCTGGCGTCTTCGGAGCTTGGATTCTGATCACTTTCGGAATTGGACGAAGGTGAGTTATACGTGCCCTAGGCGTTCGCTTTAGCGTTTCGAGGCCTTGCTGACTTTTGAAAGGACTCTTTACCTATATGGTCTTGCTGGCCTCTTTTCCATGCTAATGGTTCTCGGATTCCTCGGCCTTGCCAAAGATCGAAATGCTGCCTCTTTAGCAACAGGTAGCATCATGTTGGTGTGGGCTCTCTGCTACCAACTCACTGTCGGGACCGTTTGCTACTCCTTGGTCGCTGAAATATCGACAAGACGCCTGCAAATCAAGACTGTGGTGCTCGGTCGTATTCTTTAGTAAGCCATTCTCAAAATAGCATGAATCGAGGCTAGAAACTTACATATTTCAGCAACATCGTTAGCATTATCTGTGGTGTATTAACGCCATATATGCTTAACCCTTCCGCATGGAACTGGGGTAACTATGCGGGTTTCTTCTGGGTAAGTTTTGATACAATCTCGCAGCTGTTACTTTCTACTCACAACGTCATTCTACAGGCCGGCTCATGCTTCCTATGTTTCATCTATACCTATTTCCGCGTACCCGAGCCAGCCGGGCGTACGTTTGCAGAGTTAGATCTGCTGTTCGAACAAAAAGTGAGTGCGAGAAAGTTCGCCACGACTGATGTAGATGTGTTCGCCGAGCACGTCGAAGAGGTCGTGATGAGGAACTATGAAGACCAGCTTGCCCTTTCAAACACCAAGACGATTGTTTGAGGCATGGTAGGATGAGCAAAGCATGAGGGGCGGAACAGCCGGAATACGGCCATGAGCCATGAGGAACGCGGGTGTGACTTGTACGAGATAAATATGGACCTTCCTTGAATACCTAGGTAGCATTTATTGCATTTTGGACAAATAGTTGAATACCTAGTTTATGAACCAACTTGATTTGTAATAAAACGAGAACTGAGGTGTAGTGTCTGAGTGGTGTTGCGAGGTGATTTATGTAGCCGTCGTAACGGGGATCCAATCTCTGGATCGTATGACTGCCCAGACAAGTATGTGGGACCCACGATTTATATCATACTACCTATCGCTTGACTACCTACCTAAGTAGGTAAATAGGTATTTTTGAAAATCTTATTCTTGGAGATGAGAGTTCATACGTGATGGCTAACAGGTTGGAGATGGGGCACTGAGCATAGACGAACACATCAATTGTGTTCAATAAATAGTGCATATATCGTCATTATAGACGAATACTAGCTGTTGAGCATATTTCCCGGTAGAAAAGAGCAGTAGCCTTGTAGTAGGAAGAGGAGAAGTTGTATTGTATAATACATAGCACTCGAGTTCAGAACTCGGTGATCACCCACTCACTATAAAACCTGCTCGCCAGTGAGGATTGGTGTTGAGCTATCTTTGACTCTTGGGAAGAGCATACAGCCACGCACCTGGATTGAACCCAAAAATGTCCCGGTATAGGCAGGTAGGCATCAAGGCACGACTAGACGCATATTACAAAGGTGACTGACACACCTAACGGATGAGATGAAACAACAAGGCATACCGATTCTACCAATGCTACCGGTTTGGCAAGTCTTTGGGCTGTGCCTCAGCTGTGGTGTCCCGGACGGTCTGGCCCTTTTTATACTCCTCCTCCAAGACCTTCTGCATCTCGAAATCCAGCTGGCGCTCCTTCTTTATTCGTTGCTGTTCCATGTCCCGCACGACACCTTCATGCATTGCCTGAAGAGATTAAGAGAGAACTATGTAAGTCGCGGCGTTTGGCATAAGGGTTTCGTAGCATGGTGGTCGGTTCATACCTCTTTTTCCATATTCTGCTGAAAGTGCACCAAGATAACGGTACCGACGGCGAAGAGGGATGTGCCCGCCAGTGTAAGCTTGGAGGCGCGTGACATGGTCTTTTTTTTTCTTTTTTTTTGGCCTGGCAGCTTCTAGCTTGCAGAAGATTTGTTCCGATCTGCCTGATAAGTGATTATATATGGTTTTGGATTGGATTTCGTAGTCCCATGATCGTTTACTTATCGAAGCTCTTTTCTTGGAATTTCTAAGTAAGCAAATTTGAATTTGACTTGAAGCAATTGAAGCGATGGAAGCCGAAAAAGGGCGAAATCTATAACTACAGTACCGTCCTGCGCCGTAAAACTGCCCATATGACGTTAGGGTATACCTAGGTAACTAAGGTCAAGGATCTTATCGATAAGTTGAAGCTTCCAACGGCTTTGCTGTTTTTCCCTGGTCCTAGCTCCAAGCGCTCCAGCCTCCAGCTCTTCCCCAACCTAGCCTAGCCCAGCCCAGCCCCATTTCGTGGCTGTAGGCCTGTGACACTCACTTCGTCAGTTGGCAGTTGCCAGTGCTCATTGATGCATCAACTCAACATTACCTAGTACATAGCACATACTGCATCATCTCGACGACCTACTTTTACAACCAGCCACCATTGTTCTTCATTGCACCGCTAGACCACTAGACACCAGCGAAAAGACCCTTGAAACCGTCTCATATCTTCGAACCGACTTATACAGAAAGACATCCCTTTCTAAGCTGCCAGCATGGTATGCGATCCAACGACTACTCCTCCTTCTAAAGAATTGGCAATTGCAGCTAGCTAACCATACACTTTCTCTCAAACACAGTCGGCCCAAAACTCGGCAGGCATCCAGACCCTGCTCGATGTACGCAATCCGCTTTTACCGCAATATCGAAAGCACGTAAACTCTGAGCTTGGCAGGTCTCGCTAACAAGGAACTCGTGGTATATACATATAGGCCGAGAGGGAAGCTTCCAAGATTGTGCAAAAAGCTCGAGAATGTTGGTCTCCCTACATAGTCTGCCCCGCCCATTTGTCATTAAGACAATTGATGACTGACGCTCGAGTATGACAGTTCGAACCAAGAGAGTACGAGAGGCGCGAGATGAGGCCAAGAAGGAGATAGAAGCGTACCGTCAATCCAAGGACGAAGAGTTCAAGAAGTTCGAGTCAGAGGTACTCACATCCACAAACCCCTCACCCCACCCCCAGCCCTTCCTTCTCACTATACCGCAAGCACTATAACTCAGAGCAATTGGAGGATACTGATGTTAATCTACCTCCAGCACACACAAGGCAACAAGCAGGCCGAGGACGACGCCAACCGCGAAGCCGACGCCAAGATCAAGGAGATCCAGGCAGCCGGCGGGAAGGGAGAAGCCGAGGTCATCGAGAACCTACTCCACGCCGTCTTCGAAGTCAAGCCCGTGCCACCATCCAAGAAATAAACTCGTTACCTACCTAGTGCGATCTTTAGTTTGAGGATAGAGAATCAGCTAGCTTTGGAGAAGAAGGCCTGAGAACGGACGGACGAACGACAGCAAAACCATCGCACACAATGGTTGCGTCGGGAGACCACAATCGGTGGTAGGGGCAGGGTGTGTGTGCATATTATCAATTACATAACACGTATTTGGTAGCTTTGAAGGGGCAAACTCACGAATAAAGAAAGGATTGGTGTGTGTCATTGACTGTAACAAACAAGAAAGCTCGTCCGTATTATGTTTATAGAAGACAAGTTTTGATGATGAGGAGCGCCGGTAACTTACTTGAAAAGTCGGCTTGGCAGCATTATCTATCTCTACCTATTCCTGATTCAGTGTTCTTACTATACAGAGGTACATACGCTACTATTCCCTCGTCTCCCTACCTAGTTACCTACATGTAGGTACGTAAGTAAGGTATTATTTATCTATCTACTGCAAGAACTGCACCAGCGTCGACAGCATGTCCCTCGTATCCCCGCCCTCCGCATCCTCCACATCAATCCCATCAATCTGCTCCTGTATCGTGCTCCGTATGACACCAAACCCCTCGTCGCGCTCGGCGAGTAAAGCCTGTATCGTCTTCCTCGCGCCGCCGTCCTCCGCCACCAGCCACGCGAGCACGACGTCCAGCGTCTGCAGACAGAACAGGCCGGCGTCGAGTCTGCGGGAGAACCACGCGTCTGCCTGTTCCTCCTTCTCCTCGGCGCTCATGCCCTTCTGCTGGGCGCGGATCGCGTCGTCTGCGGAGCCCACGCGCGCCGCGTAGTCCCTGCGCAGCCGGACCAGCTTTCCTATCTTCTCGTAGTCCTTCTCGACGAACTTGGCGAGGGTGCGGATGCGCTCTGCGGAGTCGGCTGGTAGCAGGCGTAGCATGGAGCCGAAGATGCCGATGAGGTGCTCGGTGGTCTGGCTGTCGTTGCTCTTCTTCATGAAGAGCGTGAATATGTTCTTCAAGCCGCCGGCCTCGACGATCCGCTGGCAGACCGCGGTGCCGGACGCGCCGGCGCCGCCGGCGGCGTGGTCGAGGAGGCGCAGGGCGGCGGGCTTGCTCATCTTGCCCTCTTTCAGCATAATGAGGCACAGCTCGACGCCCTCGGCTTCCACGAACTTGGCCTTGCCGTCGGGCTCGTCCGCGAGACAGGTCAGGGCCTCGAAGAGGTTCTCCATGTACTCTTCTTCCTCGCCCCTCTTTACGGGGTCGCGTTTTCGGTAGGCCGCGACGAGCTGGAGCATTATGTCCACGGCATCCAAGCTGGCTAGTTTCCGCCGGTTCTTCGCCGATGTCTGTACTAGTATCGCCAGGACCTCGGCGGCATACTGCTTGTTCTGGCTGACAGCGGCCTCCTTCACCTGTATCCGTCGCAACAGCCACGTAAGCAGCTTATCGTTCTCGGCCACCTGCTCGGCCGTCGTCGTTCGCCCGCTACACAGATTCTCCACAACGCTGAGCGCGTAGTAGACACCGCTCTGATCGACCTCCTGCGTTTCGTCGAGCCTCTCGAAGTTGGAGACGAGCAGCCCCAGCAGATCAGCCTCGAGCAACGCGTCGACGAGCGCGTTCCACTCGTCCTCGTCGGCGGAGGCGTCCTCGTCCGTCAGCTCCATTATGATCTCGACCGCGTCGATGGCGATGTCCGTGTTCTCGTGCGCTAGCAGGCCGACGAGGCTCGCCACGCACCCGAGCTTCGCGAACTCCGGGTACAGCGCCGGGTGCTCGGACAGGATGGACAGGGCCTTGATGTCGGCGTCGAGGTCGGCCTCGCTCGCGATGAATTTTTGGGGGTCGTCCTCGAACTTGGCGCGCAGCTCGGCGTTCTTGTTGATCCGCTTCTCGAAGTTGAGCGCGGTGCGCCGCAGCCAGGCGCTGTCGAACTTGTCGGTGGCGGCTGTGCTGGGGTCCGGGTCGTCGACGTAGTCTAGCACGTCGTTTTCCTGGGCTGTGATGCCGCCGCCGAAGAAACGCCCGTCCTCGTCGTCGTCGTCGGGAGGTAGGTCGGGGCCATAGTCGGCGTTCTCGTCGTCGTCTTCTGGTGGGGGAGCTGGCCCGGCCTCGACATCGTCATCGTTTTCTACAGGCTCGTCATCGACGCGCGCGTGTCGACTGCTGCTTCCGTTAGATGTGAGACGGGCAGACTTGTATCTCTGATCTGTGTTGTAGTTTGTTGTTAGTCACCGTAGCCACTAAGTTAAAAAAAAAAACTTGGTAAGTTGGTAACTGAGTGTGAAAGGAGACAATACATACTGGGATCTCGAAGAGGCTCTAGCTTGCGCTTGTTGCCAACACCTGAGGCCTACAGTTCACGGTTAGCTGGATGCTTAAACACAAACCCCCATTGAAGCGCGTAGTGGGTAGACTCACTTTGAAGAGATCATCTATGCTAGTCATTGTGCATTGCCTGGTTATGTGTATGACTTTAACTTGGTGATGTCGAGGTGTTATGTTAAGAAGCTTGAGATAAGTACTTTGTACCAATAGAAAATAGAAACAACCTTATACCGTTGACAAGGGTCTAGAGCTGTAAATTCAATGTTGTATTGACGCTAACCTAGTAAGATGCATCTGAAAGGGTCCCCACATAACTAGCGCAGCTTGTACGCCGTAGTCAAAAGACTAGTAAGCTTCAAAGAGATGCAGCTGCGTGACAGCTGTACAGTCTCAATTACGTTGCATTAAGCATAGCAGGCACGATACATCCAGTAGTAAGTACTACTGCTACAGTGCTACCTGCTCAGGTCCGGTAAGTACCAACGGTCACTAAATCTTGATAATTAATGTTCATTCATGATATTGTTATGGATCTCTTAGTATGTATATAAAACCCTTCTTTCTTTCATATGACTAGTTATGTATTCAACAAGTTTTGAGTCAAGTTTGGGTTACATGAACTTTGGAAAACAAAGCCAATAATCATAATAATACAAAATTATATCTACTTTCAATAATTACTTAACAATAGCTACTTAATAACCAAGTAACTTGAGAAAACCCTCATTCTCAAGCATGCCTCCTACTTTAATACTTGTTCGTCATGCTCAGGCTGAACATAATGCTACCAGTAAGTTCATCATAACACTATTTACTATACTCACTATACTCACTATTATCACTTTTCTAACCTTTTCTAGAAAACTTCTATATACCTGATCCAGATCTAACCGAGGAGGGGCATGCTCAATGTGCAGATCTACGGAAAAGCCTCATGGAAAACCCATTGGTTCAGCAAGCCGAACTCATCATCACTTCACCAATACGCAGAGTGGTACAGACTGCTTTACGGTCTGCGGATTGGCTGCTAGAGAAGGGCATCAAAATAGAAGCTGACGCCAGTTGGCAAGGTAGGTTGACCTATATTTATGGCCGTCAGAGTTTGGACACTACCGAATAAGCACGTACTAAAGCAATTTCGGATAGAAAACTCCCCTAAGCCATGTGATACGGGGACTCCCGTCGACAAACTCGTACATGAGTTTCCCAACGTTGATTTCTCCAAGGTCGACCCTATCTTTCCAGACAAGACGTCGCCGGCGGCTAGCCATTACCACTTCACCAGAACAGCCCTTATAGCACGTGCCCAAGCAGCCCTGAAGAGGTTGTATGAACGGCCAGAAAAGGTAATTATGGTCTACTCTCACTCCGCCTTCCTGCGACTAGCCGTCTCGGGTTATTGGTACTTCAACGCCGATTACCGCATCTTCGATTTTGCATCAATGGACGGTCCCAGAGACTCTTACCGTTTAAAGCAACACGAGTCCACGAGGGAGAGTGGAGGAGGATTGGGTCGGAGCTGGATTGATCCTATAGTGCTTGGCTCGGAGCTACCAGATGAAGAACCGGCTGTCGAAGGGGACGGAAGCGGGAGCGGGAGCGGCGACGGGAACGGGAACGAACGTGATTATTAAGTCTGCATATTACCTAAGCACATAGTTACTTTTTTTTCCTTTTTGTCAAGACTTGACTTCCATTACATGACAGTAGGGAGGTAGTTATGTACTCATAGCGTTGCGATAGATATGTATCTGATTATTCCCAGCGTCATCAACAAGTTCAAGCCAACCAAACTTGGAGATATGTATTTGTGATATTTTCCATCCAGAGACCAATCAACCAACCTGCCCAGACTTGCCCAGGCTCCTGAGGTATGGGGGCTTAATGAAATTGAGGCAGTGCAGTCCAATCCCATCGGCTTACATACCAGCATACCTGCATGTTGTACCTGGTACTGTGCCATACCCTATTACCATCCTTTCAATCGGAATGGTACCAATAGGCAACAGTCTTTTGTCTTTCCTATTAGTGCACAGCCTTAAAAGCTGACAAGAACCGTTGGTGCACAATACGACAATGTAAGAATGCGAAACGAGACACTATAACAACTTACTGTAGTTTTCGTAGGTATCACATAACTAGTGGGCTGGCCGGGTTCGATTCCTTTGTTACGAAGAGAACGGACGTCTAAAGTAGAACGCGCCGCTCGGCTTTGAAGCTTCTTATTGTTAAACTTGAACTCCCATACCACATTCTTTTGTATGGCCACGCTCGTTTTGTTACCCCAGGTTCAATAGGTCCTTATACTCTGAAGGGCAGGCTTACTCAGTACGACGTTCTCGCATCTATGATGCTGACTGCAATTTCGACTACCTGCCTAAGTGTCTTGTTTTTTATATAGCGATTTATTGGAATGTGATTCTCGAGGAACAGTCTACAAACAACATCAAGAAATAGCCGCCGCCACACGATCCCTAGTCGCAAACATGCAATTGACTACTCGACATCTTCATCTACTATGGCTTACTCCCACAGTCGTGCTAGGCGCACTCGAGGTTGATCTAGACTCGCCAGGTATGTATCCCCGCTAGATACCCCTCCCCGGCATCACTTGATAAGTTCAGCTAACTCGACATGTCCCCTAGACTCTATCAAAGCTGCGGCGAAACTAGTCGCCTACGACTTGATGAAATACTACCATGGTAACGAATCCGGCCATGTACCAGGTATCTTACCGGGACCTCCGCCGGACGGAGACTACTACTGGTTGGTTTGCGATCCCCTGAACTTTTATTCATGCTTCCCCCTATACGTAGGAAGGGTTAGATACTAGGTAGGAAAAGGCACTAATGAAACTTGGGCCCAACTTCACAGGTGGCAAGGCGGCGCGCTCTGGGGCACGATGATAGACTACTGGCACTACACCGGGGACGAGACGTACAACGACGTGACGTTCGACGCGATGCAGTTCCAGGTCGGCGAGCACCGGGACTACGCGCCGCGCAACTGGACGCTGTCCCTGGGAAACGACGACCAGTCCTTCTGGGGCATGTCGGCCATGCTCGCTGCCGAGAACAAGTTCCGCGACCCGACGGGCGACGATCCCCAGTGGCTCGCGCTCGCACAGGCCGTCTGGAACCAGCAGGCGGACCCGGACAGGCACGACGATGAGTGTGGTGGGGGGTTGCGCTGGCAGATATTCCCGACGAATAGGGGCTATGATTATAAGAATAGTAGGACTTTTCCTTTTTTCCCCTCAACTCACGTCTCGTCTCTCTTCCCTTCCCATCGAAAGAAAGGGAGGAAAGGGGATATTGCTAGAGACGGAAAAGAGACCAAAAAGTATCAAGCTGACATGATTACCCAACACACAGCCATCGCAAACGGATGCTTCTTCAACATGGGGGCCCGCCTGGCCCGCTACACCCACGACGAGAAATACGCCAAGATGGCAACGGAAACATTCGACTGGATCAAGGCGGTCGGGTACATCGACGACGACTGGAACGTGTTCGACGGCGGCCACGTGCCCTTCAACTGCACCGACGTCAACCGCCAGCAGTACTCGTACAACGCGGCGATTCTGCTCTCGGGGGCCGCGTACATGTATGACTATGTATGTCACACACTTCCTCCCCCCCCCCCCCCCCCCCCTTTTTTTTTTTTCTCTCTCCCCCTTTTGAAAAGAGTAGGATGTTAGAAAAGGAAAAAGGAAAAGCTAACACACCACCAAGACCAACGGCAGCAAAGAATGGGAAGACCGCGTGACCGGCCTCCTCGACGGCATGGAGCGCGTCTTCTTCGTGAACGAGACCCTCTACGAGCCCACCTGCGAGGCCGGCGCCTGCTCGACCGACATGATCAGCTTCAAGGGGTACGTGCACCGGTGGCTCGCCGTGTCGACGCAGGTGGCGCCCTTCACGCGGGACCGGATCACGGCGCTGCTGAAGTCGTCGACGCGCCACGCCGTCAACCAGTGCACCGGCGGGGACAACGGCAGGCAGTGCGGGTTCCACTGGACGTCGGGGGTGTTCGACGGGAAGACGGGCGCGGGCCAGCAGATGAACGTGCTGGGCGCGCTGTCGAGCCTGCTGGTGCTCGACGCCGATGTGCCCGCCACGAATATGACGGGGGGCACGAGCCAGGGGGACCCGGACGCCGGGGCGACGGGGCCGACGCTGCCGGAGCTGCCGCCGATCACGACGGGGGATAGGGCGGGCGCGGGGGTCGTGACGACGTTTATTCTGGGGAGTAGCATTGCGGGGCTGCTTTGGATGGCTTTGGATTGATTGGCTTCTGGATGTTTGGGTGTATATGTAGGTAGATAGGTTTGCATTCGGCGTTTGACTTCAAATTGAGGGTGTTAGCGTATATACTACCTATGTAAATACGTCTGTCTTTAAATTTTGCTTCGATCTTATTCAGTCGCAGATGTGAAGGCAACTTGTGTGATAGGCGAGTGAGTGTTGATGATCAAAAACTTGATGCCTCGAGGAATTAAGGCGACGAGAAGGTCTACGAGCCGAGGCAGAAAAAATATTGGAAGATGGGTGTCCTGGCCTTGTCAGGGGAGGCTTGTACTTACTACTGATGGATACACTACTGGGTAAGTATGCTCCTACAGAGGTCAGTACTACTACTCTACTCTACGCAAGTCACTTCTGGCAAGGCGAGGCAAGACTGGCATTGGCAAGACTGGCACAGGACACTCACAGAAAAGGCTGGCGGGAAGAAAAGCGGCACGCGTGAGGATCGAACGGTCAACACATGGGAACCTGAGAATTCTGGTTAGCAACACTGTGTTTGTTGTCTGCGGTCTTTCCAACTCGGCCAAGGCACCCATCTTTTTAAGGTGCTGGGTTTCTTGCCTAAACAGTATTATATACCCTTTCCGGTGCACTCACGTATGCCGACAACGACCCGACGACTTGGTCTGTGTGTTGACGGCGTTGACGGAATAATTAGTCCGTCAGCCCATCAACCCAGTGTACAATCGCCACTGTGATGTCCAGAGACCTGCCTTAGATGACCTAGGAAGTCAGTTACTGCGTGTTCACCATCATGAAAGCCTACCTACCTAGCTTCTACAGCTGGTGTCGACCACACCATATCCTCAGGTAATACCTATACTCACTATATTTTATCTTGGAAATCCAACGGTAGGTAACAGCCACCAATGCAAGAACTTCGAGTGATGACAACAGCATATATTATTATTACTATTATCCGTATATGGAGAACGCTTTTTAACCAACCATATCTACACAGATCAGTGATATACAGGTCAACGGTATTACTACACCCCCCTCACAGTAAACAACAACGTTTTACTTATTATAGCATTGCCACACCTGCGGCAAGACCTGCCATCACGCCCAGAGCACCCTTGGCAACCGCCGTTGGGATAGCAGCTCCGCCCGTGGACACACTGCTCGTCGCAGAAGCGCTGGTAGACTCGGCTCCCTCCGCGGTTCCAGTGGAAGAAGATGATTCAGCGTTTGAGCCACTGGTGGCGCTTGTCTGAAGCGTGGTTGTTGGTGCCTCCGTGATAGTTCCAGTGGACGAAGCATCTGTCACGGTAGAAGCTCCCGTTGAAGTTGTGCTCGTGGCCACAGATCCCGTAGAAGTTTCCACTGTAGTCTCATCAGACGAGCTACCAGCGCTGGCAGTAGAAGTGGCGCTGGAGGCGGCGCTAGAAGTTGCAGAGACGCTGAAGCCCGGCAGAAAGTCAGGCGAGTATGTGGCGGTGCCGGAATATTGAGGACATCCGGGGACAGTTGTCTTGGGCGGTGCGCGTCCACCGCCACAGTCAAGGAAGGAGCAGAGCTCGCCGGTGTCCGGGACCCAGGCGATGTAGCTGGCGCCACCGTACACGATGGTCTTGGAAGAGGTGCAGCCTTCGTAGTTGGTCTTGGCCACAGCCTGCCCTGCTAGGAGAGCAGCGGCTAGGAGGACCGAAGACGATTTGACGGTGTTTCCGATCATAATGGCGGGTTCGGGGCCTTGATGTGGTGTTACGTGGTGTGTAAGGTGGTGTGGCGTGTAACGCGAGCTCGGAGTTGATAGTACGGGATATAAAGAGTGGAATCGAGCTAAAAGAGGACGGGAGAAGGAATGGACGGCAGGAATGATGTAATTCAGGGAAACTGCCTAGGAGAGGAAAAGATTGACAATGATTAGGTAGGTATCGGTAAGGGAGGTAAAGAGAAAAGAGGAGAAGGAAAAAAAGAAGGAAAAAAAGGAAAAGGAGAGACGGGATGGTGTTCCTTAGAATCCTTACATTATATTTAACTTAGCGCTAACTAGGTAACTATTCCTTCGCTTGCGGCGCGCCCCTATGGCATGATCCCTGTAAAGTTCTAATTGATCCTTCATCCCTATTAACTTCAATGTTATTAATGTGAACAGCACATGCATTAGTGAGTACCAGGTACCTATGTAGTTGTTGTATGAACTTGTATTGTACCTAGTATCATGTATGTAACTACTACTGGTAGGTTAGTACATATATGTATGTAGGTTAGGTACCTACATCAAGTATGATGTCAACGGCAACTTCACATCTACACATATATATTGACAGACCTATATTTGCTTTTTCAACCGATAGCATCCAAAACATCCAGCAAATCCAACCTGTACAACACAACAAACAAGCTATGTTTGCACCATACAATAACCATACTATACATGCAGCAAAGAGGCGACTATCCTTTTGTCACATTGCCCTCATTCGTCCATCCCTAGTCCCTAACGCAGTATCATCGTCGCAATCCATTATCGTGCCATAGAAAATCGATTCTATAGAGGGGCGGATGGCCCGAGTCCGGCGTAGGGATAGTAGAGATGGTGGCTTGATTAACGTGGACATACATAATCAGGTGCCATATCCTGCTGACAATGAATGAGATGTAGTATTATACACCATTACCGCCTCATGTAATGTTCATATAATATTCATATAATATTCAACCTCAAAAATGCCGTCTAGGAAAGGTAAAAAGGTTTTCATTATTGGGCCCGGCTTCATTGGCTGGAACGTCCTCGATGTCCTGGTTAAGGAAAATTATGCTGTGACGGGATATGCCAGGAGACAGGAACATGCCGACCAGTTAAAGGCCTCGGGGGCTGTTGACGTCGTGCTCGGCGGTCTACAGAATGCGGCTCTGATTACGAAGCATGCTCTAGATTCTGATATCATCATCCAGACAGCCACTTCAGACCACCTCCCAAGCGTGAAGGCCATACTGGATGGTGTTCAGCAACGAGCAGATAAGGGTCAACACACCATTTACATACACACATCCGGTGCGTCTTTGTTTGACGACGGTGCTGCGGGCAACTGGAAATCTGAAAAAATATACCATGACAATATTCTATCTGAAATGGATTCCATCTCTGATGATGCGCCACATCGGCATATCGATCTTGCCATCGTCCGAGCCAAGAAGCAACTAGGCGATAGAGCCAAGATCGCTATCATAATCGCACCCATCATCTATGGCTTTAACCCGAACCATCGGCGGCTGTCCATCCAGATCCCCATACTGACCCGGTATGCCCTCAAGCATAAATATGCTGGGCACATAGGTGCTGGTCTTTCTGTCAAAAGTGCTGTCCATGTTCGCGACTTGGGCAGAGCTTTTGCCATACTGCTACACTATCTAGAGTCAACACCCGCCAATAGTCCTGATATTCTCAAGAACCCATACTACTTGTGCGAGGCAACGGGGGATAACGAGCCTAGCTGGAAGGACATAGCCACCCTCATCGGGGTAGAACTGTACAAGGCTGGGCAAATCCCGGACCCGAAGCCACGCACTATCCCGCCTGAAAACTACGAAGACCTGTTTGGAGAACTTTCTAACCCGGCGGTTGGCCTGAACAGCCGCTGTCGCGCTGTGCGGCTACGTGAATTGGGCTGGAAGCCGGTGGATAAGAGTTGGAGAGAGAGCTTCGTGCAAGATGAGTTACCATTCATGTTGAAGGAACATGTGGATCACAAAGCGTTCGGCGGTTACAGGTGGACAGTTATGAGTTAATGCTTGAACGACAGTGCATGGTAGATTCCTTAGGTACGCGAGAATAGACCTCTACATCGAACTCAAGATATGCCAACCCTTTTGTGACGTTTGGAACATGGCTATACAAACCGCACCGCCGCATGTGTTTCCTTTCCGGGACGAAGTAAAGTAGAAGTGTAAAACTTGGTTCATGACATATGTTTTATTATCGTCGGTCACTATGTTTCCCTGTACATACCTATGCAGGTACGCTTGTTCTCACATGTATAGCGCATCAAGGCATGATTCTAGGTACCGTTGTGCCCTATATCTCTCCCCCGGCGCGTTTGCTAGATTTGGTGCCTTAACAATCAGGTTTCTGCCGCCCTACTCAATCTTCACCTACACCGCCGTCGCCTGAGGCAGCATACCATGTGTACGTACCATACCATTCCTCGCACCAAGATTTATTTATTTATTTATTTATTTATTTATTCTAGCTCTTCATCTCTTCTTGCGTTCTCTTCCTTCTTCCCACATCACCCCCCCCCCCCCCCCCCAAAAAAAAAAAAATAAAAAAATAAAATAAAAAAACGCCCAGCACAACACCCACTACCTAACCCGTTCTTCACCTACCTAAATTCATTACCTACCATGCCACTGCCCAAGCGATAAAGGAACATCATAATTACTTACACACATTACAATAAGTAATTCTGATGTTCCTTATTATTTATTTTTCTTCTTCAGAAACACAACATCCTTCACCTAAACCATTCTTCACTCAAAATTCACTACCACGCCGCCATCCAAGCGATGAAGGAACATCAGAATTACTTACACACATTACAGTAAGTAATTCTGATGTTCCTTTATGTCTACCTTTCACCCCAAGATGTCCTTTGCAATCTTGGGTCCATCTTACGGTGGGTGTTCTTCCATTCCTCTATTCATCCACCTCCTCAAATCCCGCCCAGACAGCCAAACTCAACCACAACACAAACTTCCTTTTGTCTCTGTCTGGGCTACGTGACCTACCTCCCTCACCTAGGTAGTCACATAAGTAGTCACATAACTCCGTCGTGCCGTGGTAATCCGAAAAGGCCAAACTGTTCGGCCTCTCCGAATCACCACGGCATGGCGGAGGGATTGACGACAACCAACAAAGCCCACGGCGGCTTCGGGCCTAGAGCCCAAACAAATTCATCGCTTGGTTGGGGCTGGTACACGCACCAACACAAACACAGACGATCTGCCTTTGCCTATCTTCCTTTACTTACCATCCTTCATTCATCATCCGCGGTGCCTTTCAACCACCCGGATTTTCCTGTCGCCCCATTCCCAAACAAACAAAAAATCATGAACTCGGAATTCACAACGCGAGGTTGCGTCAAGGGGCGGAAGCAACCTTCACTTTTTTCTCTTTCAATTTATCATGTCTACACTGATGGCCGTCTCGACGTCGTGTGAAGCTCAACGTAAGTACTTTACTCTACCAAACATCACTCCAGCACCTTCACTAACAAGATTCGAACAGAATGAAGAACAAATGGTGGCCGGAAATTCCCACCACAATGAAGGATTCTTGACGTTCAATTCATCATGTTTACACCGACGTGTGACGCGAGTTCATGATAGTTCAACGCGTAAGTACGCTACCCTAACAAGCAACCCTAATACCTCAGCTAACAAGATTTGAACCAGACTGAAGAATAAATGTTGGCCTGAAAAAGTTGGCCTGAAATAAACGCCGGCCTGAAATTACCACCAACGTCAAAGACCCTTCACTTTCAATTCTTGTTTACACCAACGTGTGACACGACTTTGTGACATTCAAACGCGTAAGTACATTACTCTACCGCACAACACTCCAACCTTTTTACCTAATACCCTCGACTAACAAGATTTCAATTACAGCCCGTATTCCATCACCCAGGAAAGCAACAATCTATACTCTAAAAAGTATATGCAATCCTGATGGTCTTCGGGGAGGACCACAAGACAAACCCCGACGACGTCGTCGGCTCGCGGCGCGTGGGCCACAAGAGGTATCCAACCTTTTATACTAGGCAGGACATGGCCTGCCCAACAACCATGGCCTCCGGTCTGGCGCTGCTGCTAATGTCAACCTTCGATATGCCTGGCAAACGCCTGGTAATTCCACATCTATTGCCAAGGCTTGTCGACATGTAAGCAACCTATAGGCTGGAGCTACTACCCTACATGTGCTCCAACGCCGAAAGATTGAGGCACACAATCACCCTCAATCGCAGGTTGTGGGCACTTCTACGACTCTGACAATGTCACGAGGCGGGACCTAGAAGACGCAGAGCAACATCTTTGTTGCGCGGGGATCTCCAACATCTCCTGGAGACTATGGAAGCTACATATACACGATAAGTCGTCCTTGTTCCATGGGAACCCCCATGTGCTCCTAGGTAGACCTTTGACAGACAAAAAAAACCATCAACTACCTGGGAGTCATGGACTTGTTCGCCGTTCTTCGATGAGCCAGCCTAACACGGTGGCGTCTCTTGCCTCCTGCGGTCGTTATCATGAGGATAGCATCGTGGGTGCTCGCATGCACCCCGACATCCCATGAAACTGCGCCACCAGGAGTCTCATGAGAGTGGCAGCGAACCAACTCTGAGTGCTCCTGGTGGCGCAGAGAAACACCCATGTCGTCGTCCTCGCGGGTGGCTTCCACCTATTTGCCAAACGACAAGATGATGGCAGGATGGATGGATGCTTGCTTACTCAATCGATCTCGCACGCCTCCGACGAGCGGACGGACGACAACGATCTTGAAATAGACCCTCGTCGGGGCAGCAGAGAAGCAGCACCACCATCGCGGGTGACGCAACGACTCGCATCACCTAAAAGGGGTGTGCTGTGCTGCCGCTGCCGCTTCTGCCAGTGACTCCGGCACGCCAAATACCAAGCGGACGAGGCAGACCTGAAAAGCTGATGCAGGGCGGGCAGCACACTTCCTCACTTTACACAACGCAAGCTTGAATTGCTCCATCACATCACTCGAGCGAGCTTGAGATCCCCCAGAAGGGTCGTTTCTGGGCAACACTACCTTTCTACCTACAGGGGGGTGGGCGCGGGTTTGGCGGTTTCGCGTTCACTTTACTTTACTTGCGCGAATCGTCTGCTGATCACGCAGACCCCATCGTCGAGCCAGCTTCACAAATATCGTTGACGGATCTCTTCTCGATACTGAGTTACGAAGTGGTGGGTGAAGGGGAGGGGGGGGCACAGGTGGCATTTTGCATTTGATGCCCCCCTTCCCTTGCTCTCTCTGTTCTCCGCATATCTCTAACCCATTGATGGGGCGGGCCTCTTCTCTTGTCGTCTTCACAAACAAACAAACAAACACACAAACAAACAAACGACAAAGTCCGCTGCTTTCAAACACCAAGGTCTCCCATCATTGAGGGTTGCCCCGTGGCCAGCATCTGGAACCACGCGGGGCCGGTCCGGCGCATGGTGGTAGACGCCTGGCACCGGCCCTGCGTGACAATAAAGGCACACAATCCGAGGGTGTCGGTTCCGCCTTGTGGCCATGAAGACGCAGAACAACCACATCGTTTGTCGTGTTTCCGTTTAGTTTAGCACGGACACTCCATCGCTAGGAGGGTTTCTAACTTGAAGAGCTATATATAGACGGGCCTCTTGCTTGTCTGCCCTCACGACAAAGTCTGCTTCTAGTCACTAGGAGGAATCATCAAGATCACAGCTCGCTGCGTGGAAGGTATGGGGAACCACGCGGGGCCGGTGAACTGACATCTGCCACTATGGTGCTGGCCCTGCATGGGGCGCGTCCCAACTCTTACGCGCCTCATATATGGGCATAGCCTGTGTTGTGTTTCCGTCCAGCACACAGACGCCAACCCTACGACCATTCCAGCATAGCTCTTTGACTGATACACATACGAAAACATGGTGGCTTGCAACCAAACATTCAAATGCTTGCAGCTTACGGCGATAAAAACGCAGGAACCACGCGGGGTCGGTCGCCCAATGGTAGAGGCATCATACCGGCCCCGTATGGTGGCTCTTATCGAATATCCCGAAGCGAATGATCTATGGTCACGAGGCGGAACCTAGAAGACGCAGAACAATGCCGCTTGCATTCAGCACGCAGAAACAATCCCCGCGACCTTTCCTGCAGATCTCTTCGGCGGGCCTCTTATCTTCACAGAACATAAAGCCTGCAACCAGACATTCAAATGCTTGCAGCTGACGGGCAAATCTAGCACCGCAGCTCTTCGGCGGGCCCTTCTATTCCGCCTTTCCGAGGCCTTGCAACTAAACCTTTCGCAGAATCACGCGGGGTCGGTCCGTCGCCTGGTTACTGAGGCTTGGTACCGGCCCCGCGTGTCGCCTTTCGCCCCATCGTCCGAGTCAAGACGCTGACACGACGTGCACAATTTTCTATGAAGAGAAGAGAATGCTGGTTGAGCCCGCGGGGGTGTCGGCAGATGATAAATCCATGATATCATGGCCAAACACCCGTGGTGGAACGTCAGAGTGAAGCAGCATCGTCCCAGGGCGGGATCTGAAAGAAGCCGAACAAACATCGGTGTTGCTTTGCGGTTCTCTAAACGGTACCTTGGATGCTGTGCAAGCTGCCGTCTTGGCTCTCGTCTATCCCACCCATTGCTCCTCGTCATAATGCGTGGATATTACACGTTACTTCAACTTCTGTCTCTCATAACAAAGTATGACAAGATCGGACCCACGTTCCTGCACCACGAACACGGCCATCTCTCAAGCTCAAGGAATAAGATACGATGACAGTCATATCACGGTACTCATTGGCCCCAACAAAGGTTGGTATTACTTTTCTTCACACATACCTTCTCTCCACAAACACCTTCACATCAAACACATACTCTCCTCGTCATTTGTGTCGAGCGTAGGTATTCGATGTCGCACTTCCCCGGGCGGAGTACGGAATGACGCCGGCGATGGTGCTGCTCGGAAACACTTTTCCTAGTTCGACATTCAACTATACAGTCAGCCGAGAACTGGGATACAAGGCTTCCTATCCACTGGTCGGAGTACAGCATACACCAAGATGTTCGCGTTTCCCTGCAACCCTGCACTGAAGATTGAATATATCATTGTGATGTGCCCTTCAGCACTGTCCGGACATTCAAACCGCGACGCGAAGTTCCGCGAGCTTTAGCAACCATGAGACTGTACAAAACATTCCAACTATGCCGCGGGGCTGGTTGGTTGGTTGGTTGGCTGGCTGACTGGCTTTGCAACAGAACCGCCAACTACCAAGACAACGGATCACGACATCTGGAAAAGACGTACCACGCGGGGGGAGGAGTTTCTTCTCCCCCCGAAGTGGATGCCGAGTCGGCATCGGACGATTCATGTCGTCGGGCAACATCATGCTCGACGACATGTTCTCCGTCCGGCGTCTCTCCAGCAACGCCTCGCGGCGGGTTGGTCTTCCCATATGGAGTCGGAAATATTTAACGACGCTCAGCCGACGGTGGTGGTGATTGGCGCTTGGTGGGGGCGGTGCATGTCATTCCACAACGTCCCTCATCAGCGCCAACGCCTCACTTCGGCGCGGCACCGAACAATTTCGATGCCGTTGGCTCCTGGCGGCGTTCCTCGCACAGAGGTTCGCGTCAGGAAGAGTTGCGACATCTATGGGAAAACGGCAATTGCTCTAGAGCTGGTGGGCTGCTACAATCCGACTCACCAGACCGAGTCACTGTTGGGAACTAGGAAATTTCCACATGATTGTCCAAAAACATGGGGCCTGTCTCCAGGGGTCCCTACCAGTGAAGAATGGGCCATTGGCCAACGATGCCAACCCCAAGTGACCCTTGCAAAAACGGTGTCGAGGAAAATGAATACGAAATGGTACTGGGTCATGCTAACCGCGTATACGGCAAGGGCACCACGAGTGACCCTCAAGGTCTCTGGCTGAATCTTCCAGAACAGATAGATCGCGATGCGATGGCACATTCTTCACTGGGCATCTTGAACTTTTCGACCAAACCTGCGGCGTTGATGATACCTACGGTATGTCAGGGCTGATTCATCGCGACAGAGACACTCGACAGTCACTTCACACAGCTGGTGCTTGATTACTGCAGGGAGCTGTCTTGCCCTTTTTTTCTTCTTTCTTTCTGCGAAGCCTGATTCCTTGTGATGCGGACGAACTTCTTCAGCCTGATCAAAATATCGGGAGTCCAGTTGCTACACTATCCGCCAACGCCTCGACATCGTGGGACCTGTACGCACAACTCCAGGCCACAGGGGCTGCCCACGATCCCATTCCACCACGCGGGTCGGGAAAGTAACCGTGACTTTCCTGACCAACGTCTGAGCGATTTACTACAGCTGTGTTTCTCTTTGTCCGACAAAGAACAGCCACGACTGGCTTGGTGGCATACTCACTTACTCCACCAAGCCAGTCGTGGCTGCTCCCAGGACAGCATCGATCTCACTGCACGCTCACCTCTTTGATCCATCCAGGGGAGCTGGGTGCGGAGTTGCACGAATGCCTTCACGAGGACGTCCCACCGCCTCCGGCCAGTTCCCCTTTCGCCAGTACGATGGGGACGAAGCTGCAAGAAAGCTGAAATACATATTAAGGATCAAGATCACGGCCCCTGTACATCTCGGATAGACCTATTGAGCCTGAAACAACAGCAGTCCCGACGCCTGCTATTTCCCGCCCACCTCCCAGCTTTCATAGAGATATCATGGAGGGGTGGGGGGATGATGAGATGCAACTCGCGGGGAAGATCCTTCCCAGGCATGCTTTATGCTCTCTCTCTCTCTCTTTGGTGCACGCTGTCACCTCTACGCGCCCCTGAGTGGGGTGTTTGGTGGACGAGAACGCCAACAGCAACAGCGGTGGAGATGTGAGACTCGTTCGACACACTCACCCTGATGTCCCTTGCGCAACAACGGGCCGCAGACATCGGAGACCGGTGCTCGTACAGAGGCCACTGCCGGTGGGATCGTCTGACGGTCACCATGATGGCTCCGCGAACCCACCACGAGCAGCTGGCAACATGCCTCGAATTAAACACACCGGGTGCCGGTGTGCAAACCTAGACCACCTGCCAACGAGGTGGCGGGAGTTAACTAGGAACGCAACCGCCAAGATGATGGCTCGAATCAAGCACACTGGGTGCCGGTGTTCAGGTCCAGACAATTCCTGGTGATGTGGTGGGGCTGAGCTACATACGACCAGCAGAGGGCACCAGCAGCAGAGCGGCCTTCACGCGGCGGCGAAACAAAAAGAGTTTGGGAAGACTGTCCCTGGCCTGGCCGAACAGAAATGGTCAAAGCGAAGGGTGGTGGGAGACAAACTACTACTCACACCCCTCATCGCGGCTCGTGTCGAGAACGAGCAATAAACAACCTCACGCGCATCATCAAACGCGCGGGCAGCAGCATGAGAAGCAGAAACAGAGCACGAACGACAAGCCTGTATTCACGCGGCGACACAAAGAAAGGGTTTGGGAAGGACGTTCTTGGCCGACGAGAGGCAACAATCAACGGTACCAGGCCCGCATCCACGTCCACGTCCCTTGCGTCTCGCTGCGTCCTGTGATCGTCAAACTCTACTCACACACACACACACTCACACACACTCACACACACACACACACACACATACGCAGGTGGACAGCTCCATCAGCTCAAGGAAGACTAGCACTATGCCACTTATACTCGGTTCTTCTCCGTCTCTCTCTCTCTCACCGAATCCGGACAAAATGGCTAAGACCACGGGCGGTGGGGAGTTGTTGAACTACTCGCCTGTCACCATGAAGGCTCGCTCGCGTCAAGGCCGACGAAGACGATGATGACCATGGGGCGCGCGGGAACAAACTACCACTCCCACTCCCACTATTCCTCGCGGCTCGCACCTACCGAGCACGCACGCGCAGAAAGAGCAGCAGCAGCGGGAAGAACAGGGGGGAGGGGATTTCCAAACCCCATACTTATTCCCGCGTGGACATACTATCTATCTATCTATCTATCTGGGCTCGCACATCAAGGCCGAAGAGGGTGATGGCGTCGGGGAAGATCAGGAGCAACAAACAAGCCCATATCCACATCGCGAATGCTACAAAAAGGGGTCTAAGAAGGACGTCCTATGCCGAACAGAAATGGGTCAAGGCCAAGGCGGCGATGAAGAAGCGCAGGTCGCGAATACCGACAGCGACGCGGAAAGCAGAGCAATTGGGGGGGTGGTGGGAACACACTCCTACTCCCACTCACACTCCCACTCACACTCACACTCACACTTACACTCACACTCACACTTACACTCACACCATTCATCGCGGCTCGTACCGAGCACGAGCAGAAGAAAGCAGGATTTCCAAAGCCGTGTTGGTGTTGACAAAAAGGGTTTGGGAAGACCGTCCCTTGGTTTGGCTTGGTTGAACGGAAATGGTCAAGGCGATGATGGATGTGGTGGGAAACAAAAAAAAAAGGGGCGGCACTTATACAACAGCTCGGTATCTGGGTGGGCCTGGAAGCTATCTATCTGGGGGTTGGTCGTGTTGAGGAATGAATAATGGTATAGATGTCTAGGAGTAGTATGTACCTTCTATGCTAAATCACAAAGGGGGGGTTCTTTGCTATATTCATCAGCTAGGTAGGCAGAGAGGCTAAAGATATATCTTCTTTTGGCTCCTTTGCAGAATGACAGCAGCTCTAAAATTAAGTGTGGTAGTTGCCAGTGATCATGTGAGAATTATAGCGTTCTCAAACTCTGCCTTTTTATCTGAATTGTGCATAGGAGGGACATGTTCTTATATTAACCTTCGTACATACATCGTATACCTACACCTAGCCACTAAAAGGGGGGCGGGCATGTGCCAACTCTCTAACATACCTAACCATTGCCAATCTAGCCAGCCTTTCCGTAGCCAAAAGCAACAAAAAAAATCATAAAGTTCAGTACGCGATTGCATGATTGGATATAATATGTATTAATAAATAATTTGAGGCTTAAGTACCTAACCTAGTATATAATCATCAAATCATATGCAATGAAGCATTTTCTATGTCTCGCCGAGAATGGTATACCTATATCTATATCCCTTCACGCTCACAAGGCATACGTCTGCTTCGGTGCCTTGCCTCCCCTCTTCGCCGCCGCGTCGTACAGGGCTTGGATGTCCGCGCGCCACTGCTCCTTGTCGGGGCGGATGATTCTTCTGTCGTAGGTGAGGAAGCCGTTGACTTCTCCTTCGACGTCGGTGGTTTGACTGTGAGGGGTGTTAGCTAACGAGCCCAGGGTTTGCAAAATAAGTACCTAGGCATCCAAGTATAGGATAACTTACGTCCAAACAGCCCCGGAACAGGCGTACTTCTCGACCTGGTCACGAAGTTCACTCAATAGGAGGTGGCCACGGTAGTTGTAAGCGTCGAGATCCTGGTCGATCTCGTATGTCTGGTTGATTGTCTGGACAGCGCCCCAAACCTTCCAAAGATGCTCTCCGGAGACGTTGTGACCGATACCTCCAAACTCACCCTGAATAGCAATTCGGTTGCTGTCGTAGGGAGTAGACTGAATCGAATAAAACGGCGTACCACATTGAGGGTTCGCATAGTGGTGGTTGTCATGGAAATCGCCAGCACCATGGTCGTGCCATCCGGTAGTGGCGTCGATGAATCTCGTAGGGTCTAGCTCTCTGATGCGGTTCGTGATGTTAAACTCAGGGTAGTAGTCTACAATTTGGCCCCATCCCTCATTGTAGATGACCTAGTCTATGTTAGTTGTTGAACCAGATCGGCGTTGAGAGGGAAATATAAACATACCCAAGTGTAGATGCTGGGATAGTTCTTGTGCTGGTTGATCAAGATGTCAAGCTGGCGTTCCCAATCGGCTTGCTGAGCCGCGTCCGGTGTTCGTAACGGCATGGAGGGCATGTCTTGGATGAGCAACAGTCCAAGTTGATCACAAGCCTGGTAGAAGAGGGCATTCTCGACTTTGATGTGCTTTCGGAGCATGTTAAGACCGTAATCCTTTAGAACTTGCAAATCGTAGACCATGGCCTCGCGGTTGGGCGGGGTGTAGATGCCGTCCGGCCAGAAACCCTGGTCAAGTGTGCCAAATTGGAAGATAAATTCTCCATTGAGCAATGGCCGCTTGACTCCATCAATCACACCAATAGACAGCGTTCTGAAACCTGTGTACGATTTTACTTTGTCCTGTCCCAGTGTGACAGCAAGGTTGTAGCTATAACACTATCAGAAAAATATTCGTGTTGCTCGAAGACAGTGGATGAACTTACAGTGAGGGTGAGTCCGGAGACCACAGCTTTGGAGATTTTACGACGAAGTCAAAGGGCTTGTTGGCAACACCCTTAGCTGAAGCAACTTCCTTGCCTTCACTGTTGAAGACAGCGATGGTAACAGGGTCGGAACCTTTGTTACTTGTGACCGTCACGTTGACTAAAGCAACATGTTAGCTTTCTTCCTACAGGGATAGAGAGTTACAAAGCAGCTCACCTTGGCCAGACATATCTGCAACTACATCGAGCTGCTGGATGTAGGTATCCGGGACAGATTCAAGCCATACCTAGTAAGCAAAGTTAGCGTGATGTGCTGCGCATAAACTACCACCCAGAGAATAATATACTCGATGATTTTAAGAAAATTGGTCTAGTGATAGAACCCCAGATATACAAGTACTTACAGATTGCCAGATTCCTGAACAGGGGGTATAGAAGATATGCGAAGGTTCACTGGCCTGTTTTCCAACAGGATGCATGTAACCTAAAGTATTGTCAGTCAGTGTGGGACTCAAGTACATAAACAAATGTTTTTTCAACACCATACCTGGCTGGTCGGTAGGGTCAAACACGTTGACATGTAGAGTATTTGTCGTCCCATTTGTGTTGATAAACTTGGTGATGTCAAAGCCAAAGTGCCAATATCCACCTTCGTGGGTACCGACCAGTTGGTCATTAACATAGACAGTCGCTTGGTAATCCACCGCCTCGAAGTTCAACTTGACGGCATGGCCCCTCTGTGCAAATCCTAGAGGAACATGAAATTCTGTCGTGTACCACGAATACGTGTGGTTCAGTTCCATGACGCCTGAAAGACCACTTTCGATACACGACGGCACCAGAATGTCCTTATCAAAACTGTTGCTGGCTGGTATGGATTCGCCTTGGTAGGATCCCGGTTTCCACTTCCAGATACCGTTCAAGCTTTTCCATTGTGCACGCTCGAGCTGTGGGCGTGGATACTCAGGCCAAGGATTGGTTCCGACTGAGTAAGTCCACTTGGTATCCAGGGGAGGAGTCTATAAAGTGTAAGTTCATATTTGTTCGCAGAGAAGAGGGTAGATGAACTGACTTTAACCTCATAGCCCAATGCCAGGTTACCCAGCATTGGGGCGAGGGCTAAGATGCCCGTGAATAGGGTCGAATGCATCGTTTCTCCTTCCTCTCTATGGGCTTACAGCTTGGCACAAGAAGGTCAAGCAGGCTACCTGTTACAGAGTAGCTATGGAAATAGTGCGAGACTGGAAAAGGACACTCTTATCAACAAAGATCTGTTGGCCTTTGAGGGCCGCTCGTGGTTTAAATAAATTTTCGTGAGCACGCGCAACAGGCCTACCGGGAAGCATCACCATCGAAGCTATGCATGAGCTGCTGTAGGGATTCTCCGCATTGCAGACTGGAATGTTGCTCACCTTCCTAATGTTGATGATAGACCAGATCCTAGCGATTGGAGACAGGTACATGGGACCACTTGGCCCATGGTCAGCGCGCAATCAACAATACCTATCCCATAGTACAATACATGGTGATAATCTAGCGCCGTCACCGCTAGGTCAGAAAGGCTTGGAGCTCGTTCACCCGACCTATTAGTTCCTAGGCACCACAGATGCAAGCAGGTCTTGGCTTGATATTAACAAAGCAAGCAGTGTAACAGCTGACCTCGTGAGGCTTTGTACATTGGATGATCGTTGGACGATCTTCTAGAGACTTAAGGAGCCCCATCGTCTTTGAAAATACAAACCTAGGTGTGTAGGGACGTGGTGCAAGCTGGTTCCTAGGGGTCCTAATCTTTAAAATCGGTGAATATCGGTCAGCATCTTGTAGACGAGGATGTTAAACAGGGCCAGGAACCAAATTGCGATTATCGGGTCTCTCCCTACATAATACTTATCCCCTACATAAGTACCAACTCATGCGTCCCTGGCTGTTCGGTACTTAGGTACCTATGCATGGTAAATAGGATAGAATATGCAAGTCCGAAATCACCCATCCCTATCACATACTGCACCAACGTGGGACAAGCAACAGGACGGCGTGTAGCATACATAACATTGACACGAGCAAAGGTAGTTAAGTATGTCTCGGTATAGGTTAAGGCGAACGATGGAGCGGGATGAGGTCGGAGTTGTACAGCTAAGAATGCAGTTCAAGGGTAGCCCTATGATACTAGGTACATACATAGCATGGCTTTGGAATACCTACATAGTACCTAGATTATCGCTTTGTCCGGACTGCCGGGTCTCAAAGCGGAGGGAAAGACTAGCGTAGGATCATAGAAAACAGAAGAAAAAACTTCGACAACAACTATGAGATGATGGAATAATGCATCCATTAAAACAAAGAAACAAGACAGTGGTCATCAGCGCTGTAAAGTTGAAAAAGGACCGAATTTGATCTAGTTAAGTCTTGGGGGGTTCCATTATTTGCTGCCATGCGACTTGTCCGATGCTGCTGCCGCTGCTGCTTATGTGCTGTAATCCTATCATGCAAGTTTTCGTGGCATAGGGCTTTGTAGGAGCAGATACCTGAGGCATATCAGATACCTAGTAAGATGGCCAGACCTACATACCTGAGCTGCGTTTTACTTAGATGGCTAAGCTTCAAAGAAGTTGAGGTTTGTTGATATCTATCAAATGAATAGAGCTCTCCCTTACATATAGATCATATAAATGCTCATTCATAATACTCGACTTGGGCTTGTCTTGACTAACTTGAAAGTGAAGAAAAAGAAAAAAGTAAACTGCTCGAACCCCACGAAAAAAGTTTGTATATGCTAATGATTCATCGTGACCGCGCAAAGGCGGGGATCAGGGACAGGGATCGAATCTAGGATGCCCATAATTAATCTCTCCGACTTTTCAAGACTTTGCTTTTCGTGTGGCAGGGCTTTGCGACTTTGAACCTGCTTACCCACTGGTGGTAGTATCTCGCTACAAAAAAAAAGAAAAAGAAACATTGAAGTACAATTTTTGATATGTGGGGTCATTGCCGAGAAGTTGGAGAAAAGGTAAGGACGCGAACGGCGGATTAAAAAGACTCGGCAGGCCGGTAACTAGTGGTAGTACCATCTACATAACCATAAGTTAAGGTTAACTTCCTATTTGTGGTATGTGGGGGAAATGAGGAGCAGTTGACTTTGGCAGTTGGGGTTCCCCAGGTTCGAGACCACATGTGCACTCAGTTACCTATCTAGGTTTAGCATCTTTACATTTTCTGTGCTGGACTTTTTTCATTGTTACATGTGTAGTTATCTACCTAAGTACTAGGTAGATACTTAATAGGATTGTTACATGGAATTCAACTTTGAACATTGAATCTACTAAAGCCACTTTGATTTATTATGTACATTTTACGATATACCGCATCCAACAAGAACAGTTTAGGTTAGTGATTGGTGAATGTATGCAGTTCTAGAATGCTAACAAAAGCACCCATGGCACGCGTTTGTAAAGTGGAATAATATCTCAATTATGCACAGGGGTGATCTTGGAAAGTCTATTAAGCACACGCACAAGCATTCTCTAATCACACAATTCTTTCAATTATCAAATCGTGTTTAATATCCAGTATCAACATCTCGGTAAATAGCAATTATACAGATCCCTGTTCAAATACTAGGAACGCGTTTTTACATATCTGTGCTACCATGTAAAAGCATGTCTCCCTTACTTGTTGTAAAATTGCATCACATCAACGCGTAAAATCATCAAGAACCCAATGCTTCGATCATACATATTCGTTGCCTCCGGTGGTACGATAATCATATATTGCACAAAGGAACGGTTCCGATATTCGTGAGCAAGATCAGGGGTAAAAATAAGCTTGGCCGTACGACCAAGAGCTGTTGTCTTTGATAGTAGGCATGTGAGGCATGTCAGTAACAGTCAGTTCATGGAATTCTTGACAATTACTTGTAATGTTTGATTGGATTATTATGCGAGTGCTAGAATCTTTTCAAGAAAGAGCCTTCCAAGAAGTTCGAACCCATGCACATTACCCTAGGTTAGGTCGGCATGTACTGCGAAGTTGATGCGCTAGTGTGATGGGAAGGAAGAGAACGTGGGGCCGCAGGCTTCCAAGGAGCTAATATTGCAGTTGATGTGGTCCCGAGTGCCATGCAGGGTTCTCCGCATTCAACGGGTCCGTCTCGGGTTACAACTTCACTACATTGTGACCTTTGTAGTGCTGTAGGTCATGTACTTGGCATGTATCTAGGGGCCTAGGGCATGCTTAAAATCCATCACTCTAAACTAACAACTACTAGTTCGTCGATGATATTACATTATTGCTATCACGAGTTTTTTTTTGAGGTAGCAAACAAAATCATATATTGCTCATGTTAGGCTCATGTAGTAGTTATGTGCCACTTTGGGCTGTTCTAAAGTCTAGGCTTGCCTTAGCTCGGCTGTTCAAGGTCGGGAGCGCGGTCCGCTTGACGTGCCCGCAACGCCCAGTGCATACATAACTTGGCTGCTTGGGCTTAGGAGAAAACAAGGACTTCAACTCGTTGCCTAACATTACTTGGCGAGGCCCGCCCAAGTCAGATGGCATCATATCCGAGAAAGTAGGGAACCCTGTGAGCAACGTTAACCACGGCAAGCTCTGGCTATCGGCTTTACTCTTTACTCATTGGACTGCATTGACTTATATAGAAAAGCTGGTGTCAAGTGACTATTATGCCAGTTGCGGAATTTCTTCCTCACTAGAACCTCTAAAGGTTAGAATATACCACTTACATATCATGCTTGTTAGGCATTCATGTAGGATGTATTAGGTTGAATATCTAGTAGTCCTAGACTTTAGACTACTATGGAAGGCGTTTTATAACTCTTATTGTAAATCACGATTGTAACATTCATTGTGGGGATTATCAATGCTGCTTCGCCGATTTGTCCCATAGATTGTGATATTATGTGTGTAGTTATCATATTCAGATCTGGCCCGGTATTGGCAACATTTTGGTATACGGTAATGTATACGATACTGCTACGTTATGTAGGTGGATGAAGCGATGCCTTGAGCGATATCACTAGCTTCGTGAGACTGGTTAGGTATATCCAGAAGCCCCTTTATTTCCAGAAGTACATTGCTTTTTATATATGGCTTTAATTCTAACTCCTGTGTGCAATGGTGATCACGTACATATCTAAGGGAGTATTTATCAATGAGAACAAGAGTCTGAATAGGTCGCTACAAGATCCTGCAGTGTTGGCTAGTTTCGGTAAGCCGAAGCCCTATACTGAGCCCCTATTGTTAGGTGGGCAAGAGCCATGTCATACCTTCACGCTGTCGCCTCCTCTAATAGCTTCCTGAAGTACCTGATTAGGTAGATCTATATAGTCAATGAGTGGTTATTACCTGGATAAACCTGACCGGCATAACCAGCTTGCTTATTCCGTCTCCATGGCGTTAGCTATGAGGCTCATAAATGATCTTCATGATCTAGATCTCCTCATGCACCGCAGGGTTGGAATGTAAGTTTATTGGAGGAGACCGCCGTCGTTACTTACCTGGTATAGGGCTGAAACACCTATCACATGCTTGGCGCGAACGACATCTGTCCATTCAGCTCGCATTGCCGATTATCGGGAATAGTAATGGATTCTCCAAGGATGACGGAGTTAAGTCCAATCCCAATTCTGCGAGTGACTCTCGCCATACAAACTCCATACTTGTCATGAAGTACATATACACTCAGGCTGCAGGCAAGGGGGTTCAGTAACGAGACGAGCAACACACGCGTATGCACAAGTGACATTTTACACTCCAGCAACACCTTTGCGATATCAATATCACAAAGTATGTATGTGGCTGGAGCTCTTGTTTTTTCGAAATGGCTTCACTGGGTAACTCTGTTGTATCCATGGAACTTGTAGAGGTGGAACGTCCATGAATAAGTAAAGGAAGTGAATAATATCGGTAATTCTACCTTCCTCAGTACCTAACTATCTACCTACCTAATTACCAAAGTTCCTGGGTAAGGTAATGGATTTTATAACTAAAACAAAAGTTAGATATTTTGATCGTAGAGATGAGGGTTGACTTGGACCGCAAACCGCACTGTACTGATATGCATGTATTACGCCTTCGTTTGGTGTTTACGTGATAGTTCAGTAGTTAAATATCGTTAAATATCGTGTGGCTTATAAAGTTTTCCATATATACTTGCAAAAACCAGATGAGATGTTCAATGGAGATTTAAGCATCATCAAATCTGTATTGTGCATTGTCGTCGACTTACGTGTGACGAGGATAGAAAGTTGAATCGAATGAAGTTTTAACTTTTTACTAGGTACCTAGTACTGTCTAAAAGCACGGTGCAAGTCACTGGTTGTACATACTGTACTACTAGATTAGTAATAAGTTGAATGCAGTTTCGTATCGATAAGCACAAACGCGACAATTATGCGCTTATCTATATCAGGACTTAGCGTCTCTCTTTGCCACTGCGCACAGATAGCTCTCTTTGATTGATCAGCCTCGAGCTTGCAGAGCCTCTTTCCACTTTCAAACCAGAAAAAAAAACATTAAACAATTCCATCTTCGTCACAGGAATTTCTCACTTTAGGCAAAACGTTGGTGCTTGGTTAATGCTGTCGGGCAGTGATACAGTCTCTTTTATACTTGATGTATATGGCCCTTTTATACTTTAAATGATGAAATGTCTTGCTAACTTACGCGACGAAGCCGACGTAATTTAGGACCACTTCGCGCCTTTTTGCCTTCGACCGACCGACAATCAAGCAACGCTGTTGTTTGCCAGCACACGGCAACTTCTAGTGGCTATCGATTGTTTCATTCACCTCTACCTCTTTACATCTTGATCTTGGCGATTCTTATTCAATTCATTCTTCCCACTACCAATTATTCTGCATCAATCATTCAACACCTTGACTTTCAATTACGCCTATTTTCAACATCTTCCATGATCACATTCTTTTACGTTTAATACTCTCTCCCAGCCGACTTACCCTCACGTCCTCCATCGCAACAGCCGATAAGATCAAATTTAATCTAGAAACATTGCATCATGGCCGATTACGATGAGGGTTACGAGTATGAGGAGGAGTATGCCGATGATTCCATTACGCCGGAAGATTGCTGGACTGTCATTGGTTCTTATTTCAAGAGAAAGGGTTTAGTGTCTCAACAGATCGACTCTTTCAATGACTTTCAAGAGACCACCATTCAAGAATTAGTCGAAGAGTACTCCCAAATCAGCGTCGATGAGCACAACCCTCCTTCCCCCGAAGGCCGCACCATCGCCCTTCGTCGATATGATCTCAAACTTGGACATGTCACCATTGCTCGGCCCGTCGCTATGGAGAGTGACAATACATCCGGTCCACTTCTACCCTACGAGTGCCGCGATCGTAACATGACATATGCTGCTCCTATCTATGTTAAGGTCGATAGTAAGGTCACCGCATGTATCGAACAAGACATCCCCCTGCACGAAATGGACGAAGAACAGCAGGCTGAAGCACGCGCTACCGGCAAGCACCCAGTACGCCTAGTTTGGGAAGAAGAAGAGAACGTTCTGGAGTCGCCTCTTACCGAGAAGGGCAAGACAAGTGACCAAGTTTTCATCGGCAAACTTCCCATTATGATCAAGTCCAAGGCTTGCCATCTCAACGGCGAGAGCGAGGACGATCTTTTCATGTTGAACGAGTGCCCATATGATCAAGGTGGATATTTCATCATCAACGGTAGCGAAAAGGTTCTTATTGCTCAAGAAAGATCGGCTGCGAACATTGTTCAGGTTTTCAAGAAGGCCCAGCCTAGCCCGTTCTCTTACATCGCTGAGATCCGAAGTGCTCTCGAAAAAGGATCGAGACTCATCTCATCACTAATGTTGAAGCTGTATACCAAAGGCGATGCATCAAGGGGCGGCTATGGCCAAACTATTCATACGACCCTCCCATTCGTGCGAGCTGACACTCCTATTGCGATTGTCTTCCGCGCTCTGGGCGTGGTCAGCGATGAAGATATTTTAAATTACATCTGTTACGACCGCAACGATAGCCAAATGCTCGAGATGTTACGTCCCTGCATCGAAGAAGCCTTTTGCATCCAGGACCGTGAGGTTGCTCTAGATTTCATCGGGAAACGTGGAAGGGACTCTCACAATACCACGGCGCGAGAGCGTCGTGTGCGGGCTGCTAAGGATATCTTGCAGAAAGAAATGCTTCCTCATATATCCCAGTCGGAAGGATGCGAGACCAGGAAGGCGTTCTTCCTCGGTTATATGGTTCACAAGCTATTGCAATGCGCCCTGGGCCGCCGCGATGTCGATGATCGGGATCACTTCGGAAAAAAGCGTCTCGACCTAGCTGGTCCCTTGCTTGCCAAGTTGTTCAGGAATATTGTTCGTCGATTGGTAACGGAGATTTCGCAGCATTTGAGACGTTGTATCGACCAAAACAGACGCTTCCAAATCGAGCTTGCCGCAAAGCCTGCGATTATTACAAATGGACTCAAATACTCGCTCGCTACAGGAAACTGGGGTGATCAGAAGAAGGCCATGAGTTCGACCGCCGGTGTGTCTCAAGTCTTGAACCGATACACGTTCGCATCGACCCTTTCTCATTTGAGAAGAACCAACACTCCTATTGGAAGAGACGGAAAATTGGCGAAGCCTCGGCAGCTTCACAACACGCATTGGGGCCTTGTCTGTCCAGCCGAGACGCCCGAAGGCCAAGCCTGTGGACTGGTCAAAAATCTGTCGTTGATGTGCTCTATCAGTGTGGGTACTTCGACTGATCCTATCGTAGACTATATGATCACTCGAAGCATGGATGTTTTAGAAGAGTACGAGCCCAAGACCAATCCTAATGCCACGAAGATCTTCTTGAACGGCTCTTGGATTGGCACGCACACAGACCCCAAGGCTCTCGTCAGAGATATTCAGGAATTACGACGAGCCAACCAGATTCCGTCTGAGGTCTCACTGGTGCGCGACATTCGCGATCGTGAGTTCAAGATCTTCTCTGATGCTGGTCGTGTTATGCGCCCACTATTCGTCGTTCAACGAGAGGATGATCCGGAGAAGGGTATTGTCAAGGGCTCCTTGGCTCTTACCAAGGAGATGATACAGAGGCTGGAGGCCGACAATGATCAAGATCCTGAGAGTGAGGATTATTTTGGCTGGCAAGGACTAGTTAATGACGGTGCTATTGAATACCTCGACGCCGAAGAAGAGGAGACGGCGATGATATGCATGACGCCGGAGGATCTTGAGACATTCCGTCTGACCAAGGCTGGCTATGAAATGAGCCAGGACAACGGCGATGAAATCAACAAGAGGTTGAAAACCAAAGTGAATCCCACAACTCACATGTACACACATTGCGAGATCCATCCTAGCATGCTCCTAGGAATCTGTGCCAGTATTATTCCTTTCCCAGATCACAATCAGGTATGCACTTTTACTCGCCCCCTTTCCCATCTCGTTACTAATATGTTGTTGTGCAGTCACCCAGAAATACATACCAGTCGGCTATGGGTAAGCAAGCTATGGGGTTTTTCCTTACAAATTACAACCGACGTATGGACACGATGGCAAACATTCTTTACTACCCGCAAAAGCCTCTTGGCACCACACGTTCTATGGAATTTTTGAAGTTCCGCGAGCTTCCGGCTGGACAAAACGCTATCGTGGCCATCGCTTGTTACTCGGGATACAACCAAGAAGATTCCGTCATCATGAACCAGAGTAGCATCGATCGAGGTCTGTTCCGCAGTCTTTTCTTCAGATCCTATAGCGACTGCGAAAAGCGTGTTGGCATCAACACGGTGGAATCATTCGAGAAGCCGTTCAAGAGCGACACGTTACGGCTCAAACAGGGCACGTACGATAAGCTTGACGACGATGGCATTGTTGCCCCCGGAGCCCGCGTCATTGGAGAGGACATCATCATCGGAAAGACGTCACCCATCAACCCAGACAACGAAGAGATGGGACAGCGAACTAAAAATCACACCAAACGTGACGCTTCCACGCCTCTGCGCAGCACGGAGAGTGGTATTGTCGACTCTGTCATCGTCACGACTAACCAGGATGGCCTCCGTTACGTCAAGGTCCGCGTTCGAACTACGAAGATTCCCCAGATCGGCGACAAGTTCGCCTCTCGCCACGGCCAGAAGGGAACCATTGGTGTTACATACAGACAAGAAGACATGCCCTTTACTTGCGAGGGCATTGTCCCCGACATAATCATTAACCCGCATGCTATCCCATCTCGTATGACTATTGCTCATTTGATCGAGTGTTTGCTTAGTAAAGTTTCCACCCTGAAGGGGATGGAGGGAGATGCGACGCCATTTACCGATGTTACGGTAGATTCGGTATCCGGACTTTTGCGCGAACACGGATACCAGTCGCGCGGTTTCGAGATCATGTACCATGGCCACACCGGGCGCAAGCTCCGAGCGCAGGTCTTCTTTGGGCCAACGTACTACCAACGTCTTCGACATATGGTGGACGACAAGATTCATGCTCGAGCACGTGGCCCGGTACAGATCATGACGCGACAGCCTGTTGAGGGTCGTGCGAGAGATGGAGGTCTCCGTTTCGGAGAGATGGAACGTGATTGCATGATTGCTCATGGTGCCGCCTCTTTCCTGAAGGAGCGTCTATTTGAAGTATCGGATGCTTTCAGAGTACACGTCTGCGAGATCTGTGGACTCATGACGCCCATAGCGTAAGTTTTCCTCGCCCCCCTTTTCTTTCCTGTCCACCTTTTAAGGGTGATTGCTGATGTTCGTATTATAGTATCCTCAGCAAGGGTTCGTTCGAATGTCGTCCCTGCAAGAACAAGACGAAGATCGCACAGATTTATATTCCATACGCTGCCAAGCTTCTATTCCAGGAGCTTCAGGCTATGGGTATCGCAACTCGCATGTTCACCGACCGCTCCGGTGTCAGCATCCGCTAGGCAACAGTTGGAGGGGAGTCGAACCAAAGCGTGGTGGTGGTTCTTTTGTGCCTAGATAGGTGCCTAATATCTTTGCGGCAGTAGACAACTTTCTAGTTGATCGATCCCGTCTAGTTTGTGTATACTTGCATAGGGTTGGCGTTTGCCTTACTTCTTGATTTTTAATTATATGAGCCGAGAGTCAAAAGTGGAAATCGACCATATAGCAATTGCAGGTCGGGCGTCCCGGTTTTCTGGCTTTGGTCCCTTTTTTCCAAGAAGAGAAATGCGTTGTTAGTTCACGTCAGGGTGGTCGGTCTGAGGGGAATGAGCAGCAGATGGATGTACCATGATTAACTAAATTGATGCATTGAGACAACATTGAATGTGTATTCGTTCGTGTTTCGCATTTTACGTCTACGACTAATCGGTGACTATATCTGTAGAAATCGGGCATGTTTTATTTGAACGTCGTACATGCTATGCTGGTGGCTTCGATATCGTCTCCCAAATCGTGTGGCCTCTTCCGCTATAACTACCTAGTACCTAGGTAGGTACTCAGCATACCGTTGCCCAAATTTCACCCCCTTTCTCTCGCTACACAATTCCTCGCGCCCTTCTTTCCGCTCTTCGTGACGCCTCCCGAGAGAGGGCGGGTAAGAAGGGTAAGAAGGGTGGGTGGTCATGGGTGATGTAAACCCAAGATCGCCGACAGGGGTTTGAGACGCTGGAGTTAGGGCGAGGGCGTCGTAACCAGTAGTTGGTGGGGATCGTTTGTCGGGGCTTTGGAGTTGGATCTGTTGGCTGGTGTACGCACACATATATACCGGCCTGTCTGCCCATATACCTACTAGTAGGTAGGTAGGTAGGTAGGCAGATAGGATGACGGGACGATCTTCTTTGAGTTGAACATAATCATTCTGAGCGGTGAATAGGGCGAGGCTGTAGTTGGCAAGTGTTGTGGCCTTGATAACGTAAAGGAAATAGCGAGGGGGGGGGGGGTGAAAATCATATTTACTACCTATATACGACTCGCGGAGAGTCTTCAAAAGCCTTGGGAAGAGGTCGTTATATTCATTCCCGGATCCCGTCCATACGCAGGCTTTCCTCTTACGGGATACCTACCACCAATGCTGTTTATCCCATCGTCTTCTCCCTTCAATTCACTTACTTATCAAATACCGTGGTAATTATGGAGAGTTGCAAGCAGAGAATACAGTAGTAGAATATCCAATCGCTTGAATCTATCAAAATCGTCTAAGGAGAAACCCCTATAACATCTAATATCATACCATAGTGCATATACGTGGTAATGTAGGTAATAAGCACCGTAGGCAGGTAATCTGATACTGTAGGTACTCTTTCCCCCCTTTACCCGCAAGCACGATCGCGATGTCCAGTCCTGTATAGTTCCCAACTATCACGTTGTGGTAATGCCTCGAACAGGCAATTATGCTGGCAGATCTGCGGCGTCATTCGTGATTGGCTCCCAGCTGTCTCCTGTGTTCCGCGTTATTGGCAAACAAAAGGTCTTAGACTAAGTAACTTGGCACTGATATTTCTCATACAATTACATTACCTACTTGGGTCGGCATGTATGAGACGAGAATGAATGGCATTGTATTCGTCGTTTTTACACGTCTGCTGGCTAGGTCTCGCATAAGGACGCTGAGGGAAATAAGAGCAATCGTGATAGATAGGGGACTTGTGTAGCACCTACCCGCACCCATGTTTATGCCACTGCCTTTCCCCATTCCTGAGTCCTCGCGATTTGTCCATTAGGAAGGATCTCGAGACACGAAGATAAGATGAGAGGGTGGGGGGGCGCATACCTAGATAGATTCCTGGCCATATATTGAACGACTTCAAGGTTCGTTTTAGGACAAGTCGAAACAACTAGAGAGACAGATACCATGTGTCCCGGGTACGCTCACATCCGTACCCATCTAGGCATTTACCGTATTTACCTCTGTAGATAATGTAGGTAGGTAAACCCCCATATACCTAAAGTAAGGCGATCCCTAGATTAGCCAGGGGTCAGACAAAATCGCTATAGTCGTAAGTACGTAGCAGGAGCCGCATTCCTCCACGAGGACGGGAAGACCCTCTCGGACCCGAAAGACACTGCCTAGGCACATAGTAAACCCACCAACGATGAACGTGCTTTCCTCGTAACTACCTAACCACGGCTTCGGACCCGTATACACAAGATTGGGGGATGTATGTCTCTCGTATGGAATGTCATTGCTAGGTAGGTAGATCAGAGTGGAAGGCTCCCGGCCGTGTCGTCCATCAACCTTTCACCGGAGTATTGGCTGAATAGAGATACCACGGCGTAAGGGTTGAGATAAGGGATCTAGAGTATGATGTAGGTGAGTTACAGAGCATACGAGAAAATGTGCTGTTCGGATCGTATGTCTTGTCGGTTACTTATTTACTCGCTTGCTTACCTACCTGTGAGTACATCGATCGATGTATGAATATCGTAAAGCTTCAACAGGCAAACCACCAGACGATCCCTCGTGCGTGATTGGACTTGGACTCGCCGATTGAGTATACATGGATGGATGTATTCCTATAGGTAGTTGTTAATTCAACGGTTTTCCATCAAAATGAGGAGTTGCTCATAATCACCACTGCTGTCTCTCCCAAACGGCTTGCTAGTAAGACATCCTCGTAATGTGCAACACCAGAAATGCGTGTATACCGGTAGGTAAGTAGTATACAACCTCGAACCCGTCAACTGTTCCCCGTGTTTATTGTAGTACCTCGACACGTACCCCAGACTATTCAAACAACTACCGAACGGTTAGACCCGCCAGTCTGCCTCCTTTTCTCCTAGCCTCCCTAACTTTCCTCATAAACAAAAACAAAATAAATAGATACCTATCTACATACCTACTTACTTACTTACTGTCATATACATCAGAGTCAAGACACGGGCGTCGGCGGACATCCCGCATTCGACCTAGCCAGGGCAAACCGATAGGCCTGCAAGAGGCAAGAAACCAAAAAAAACCGTGCGTCCAGTAAGGTATAGCGAAAAGCGCCGCCCGCCCCGTTCTAGGCGTCCTCGGAGCTGAGACATCCATTTCATTTTTGCTTTTTTTTAAATACTCTCTCTTCTCTCTATGGACAGGGGGGGGGAGGAGAATAGGAAAGGTCGCCATCAAGTAAGCCCCCCCGACCGACCAACCTATCGGGAATGTTAAGCCCTAAGAATCCTTATGAATAGGTAACCTTCTTCCTGGAGGATAGATAAGTACCGTCTTATTTCCCCTTTGCCCCCGTCTATCAGCTAGTTAGTCAGATCGTTAACGACGGCATCGACGACAAAAGTACTGGGGAAGACGACTATTAAGGACAACAACAACAACAAGAAGAATAGCAAGAAGGATAAATAATGCGTAAATCTGGCTTCCTTCACTCACTATATCGAAAGTAGGTAGGCAGTTATAGTATATCGATCGATCGAACGGATGGAGTAGCACATACCTACCTACCTATTCCACGAACTCGAATTCGTCGAAAAAGCAACAACAACACAGCAATCACAACCCCCAAGAGGCCATCTTCACAATGGCCTCACCCACACCCACACCCACGTCCACAACCCCCTCCTTCGATCCCCGCCTCCAAACCTTCACCATCCTCAACGCCCTCGCCTCGCCCACGGCCCTCTCCCTCCCCACCCTCGACGCGCAGCGCGTCCGCCTCGCCAACACATCCATAAACTACGGCGCGCAGCTCGGCCTCGTGCTCTCCTCCCTCCTCTCCACCCTCCTCCTGCTGCCCTCCCGCCGCCTGCGCCGGCCCGTCCACCTCGCCCAGGCCCTGTGCCTCTGCGTCTCCGCCGCGCGCCTCGCCCTGCTGGTCCTGTACTTCCCGGGCCCCCTCACGGAGTACTACGTCGCCTGGACGCGGGACGCGTCCGTGCTCAGCGCCGCCGCCGACTACGGCCTCACCACCGCCGCCGCGGCCCTGAGCGTGCTGCAGCTCGCGCTCGTCGAGGCCGCGCTGGCGCTGCAGAGCCGGGTCTTGGTCAGGACTTGGGGCGCGTTCGGGTCTAATGCCCCCATCACCACCACCGCTGGCACAAAAATAGGAGGAGGAGGAAGATGGAGAAGGTGGACCCGCAACTCCTGGTGGTGGTGGTGGCAGCCGCCCGTGCTCGTCTTCGCCGTCGTCCTCGCCGTCGCCACGGTCGCCATGCGCGCCGTGTGGGTCGCGCGGTACACGCAGGCGCTGCGCGGGCACACGCTGCCGGTCCCCCTGGACGCGACGGGGCAGGCCTCCGTGATTCTTGGTGCCGCGTCCGTGTTCTATTTCTGCGGCTTGTTTTTCGCGCACCTGGCCATCCATCTGGCTGCCACCAGACGGGTGTTGAGGGGAGGTAGAGGGGGGGAAGGGGGGCGGAAGTTCTCGGTTGCGCTGACGTTGAAGGAGGGCGTGGATGGGAGAGGTGGTGGTGGTGGGAGGAAGAGGGGGGGACTTACTTCGTTGGAGATATTGGCGGTTGGGAATGGGATTCTGATGTTGGCGCCTTGTGAGTTTTCATTTACTTATTTCTTTCCGTCCCAATTTTTCTATCACGTATATTCTTCCCCCCCCTTACATCGCCGTGTACAACTCACACATACCTACACATCCATACATACACTACCCCAAACCCAAAACAAAGAAAAACTAACACCCCCCCAGGCCTCTTTGCCGGTCTCGACGTAGCCGCCGGACCAGGCAACACCCGCGTGCTCCCTTTCGATGCTGGGTCCTGGGTGCAGACCCTCGTCGCCGCCGGCCTCCCACTCATCAGCATCGCCGCCTTCTACCGGGGCTCCGACTCGGCCGACTCGCGGCTGAACTCTCGCCTGGGGCGTTTCGCTACTTCTCGGCCACCCGTGGAACGTCGGAGGACAAGGAACCGGAATTTCCACCACCAGCGCCGCTCTTCCGAGCCGTTTTCATTTCACCAGGGGGAGATAGAGCGGGATTTGTTCAAGGGGGTTGAGCTGGTCGATCGGGTTGATCAGATAGACATGAGGCACTTGGAGGATATAGAGGCGACGGCGGGTACGACGACAGGCGTGGACCATGGGCATGGGGTAAATCGTGATTCTGAAGAGGGAAAGGGAAACAGCTTTCGGATACCTAGGGAATTTACTGTAACGATAGATGCTGAGACGAGTAGAAGCGAACAATGATACATCGATCACCTACCTAGCTACATTTAATGTAGCATACTTGTACTAGTAGTAGCTTATGTAGAACAGACTGATATTTTTATATCAACGAAACAAATCATGTCACGTTATCAGATCAACAAAGTGTCTTCACAAATCGTAAATTTTGGACTACCGTATGGTAGCAACCAAGCGGCAATGCAACGTATCTAGTGTATTTCCGTTACCAGTCGCAGCGATTGCCATTTCCCTTGATTAAAGCTCAAATGACAGCCCATCCCGTACGCCCAGTCAATGACCGATATTCGACCCCTCGGGAAAGGATTTACGCCCTCGACATAACACCCCATGCTCGGATAATGTTGTCGGTGTAACCAGCGAACAGGGTCTGACCGTCGGCGCTCCAGGCCAAGCTCACGCACTCGGGTTCCCGGCTCTTCTTACCAACCGATGTGAACTCGGGCTTCAACTCGTCAACCTTGCTCTTCTTCTCCAGGTCGAAGATGATAATGGAGCTGGCAGTTGCGGCGCAGAGCCAGTATCGGTTAGGAGAGAAGACGAGAGCGTGGATCTCATCACCAGCGTTTAGGGAGTACAGGTGCTTGGACTCGTTGAGATCCCAGAGCATGGTGGTGCCGTCCTTGCCACCGGAGGCGCAGAGGGATCCGTCGGGGGAGATGGTGACGGTGTTGATGTAGCCGGTGTGGCCAATGTGGTCAGTCTGAAGCTTGCAGGTGGAAAGTTCCCAGACCTATCGCGAATAAAAGTTAGTGATGGAGGTACACAACTTTTATGCGGAGAAAAAATTATAGCAAGATATTTATCATCAGTGCTGGTGTTAGGTGGTCTCATGGCTTGCGAGCAAGCTCTGAAGTAGCAAATACTTTTGAAAGCAAAGCATCATATGAAGGTGTGTTTTTGAAATGTTGTTCTTTCCGGATCGATCAGGACAAGGGAGGAAAGAGATAAAAACAACATACCTTGACGAGCTTGTCCCAGCTGCTAGAGACGATGACGGGGTTCTGGGGGTTGGGGCTGAAACGGACGCAAGAGACCCATTCGGTGTGGCCCTTGTCGGTGATGGTGAACTTGCAGTCACCTAGGGTGTTCCACAGCTTGATAGTTCGGTCGCGCGAACCCGAGACAATCTGTCGGTTGTCGGCGGAGAAAGAGACGGAAAGAACATCGTTGGTGTGGCCGACGAATCGTCGCGTGGTGGTACCGGTAGCCAGCTCCCAGAGTCGGAGGGTCTTGTCCCAAGAAGCGGACAGGGCGTAGGCACCATCAGAGGAGATGACCTGAAGGTTACTGTCAGCCAATTATTTCTTCGTCTTGAATTCCAGCATCCGCATCCGCGTCCACATCTGACTCTGTTATCCGCCTAGGAAAAGAAGGGAATCTGGCAACATACGCAGTCGGACACGATGTGGGAGTGGCCGTGGAGAGATCGCTTGGGGTAACCGTATTGCGACTCGTCTCGGGTCAGGTTCCAGATAATCAAAGACTTATCACGGCTGCCGGAGAGGAGCATGTTGGGGCTGTAGCATGACGGGTTAGCTTGCGATGATAATAAGTATGGGAAATGGTGGAAACACAGATTATGAATAATTGACATACTTCTCCATAGAGGTAGCCAAGCTGGTGACCCAGCCATTCTATAGAAACACAAGTAATGTTAGCTATCATTTGATCCCATTAATTTCTTCTTAAGATACTAAATATTAAAAACTTCGCGATGCGCCTCTGATGCAAAATTCCAATCGCGTCGATAGAATTTCTAGAAAGAGTGAAAAATAACTTACGTGGCCCTCGAGGGTTCCCTTAAGAATTAGTTGCTCGGCCATTGCGAAGGGATACTCGAATTTGTGAATGAAGAAGAGGACGAAGAAGAGTAAAAGTTGTAAATGGTCGAGATGGTAATCGTCCTTCTGTTCTGGAGCTAGGAACTTGCAAAATTTCCCCGACAATTTTTGTGTGCGATTTCTTTTAGGGTCGAATCGCTAAATCAACGGTAGGTGCTACCTTCTTAGCTTCTAAAGCCTTGCCGTTACAGGTGGGGCTCTACCCAATCAAACGCGCAAATTCAATTTGGTTCAATTTGGTTTGCTTGTCAGCTGACTGGAAAATATTAGCAGGTGCCTCAGCCTGTCAATGCTAGCGTATGTGATTAGGTAAGAAACATTAAAAGGGGGGATTGATGAAATATGTATGTACATTGTACGTACCAGTTGATTAACTCTCGAGTCTCCTGTGTGAGAGGCAAACTTGATATCAAATGACAATCAAAGCTTCTGTAGGTAGAAACAAACTTGTAAACCATGAAATCATCATGCACAGAATCGTACATCAATCAAGACCTCCTAGGTGACGTAGTATGCAAGGCAAGGCAAGGCAAGGCAAAGCAAAGATGAATATATCATGGCGCTGCTGCTGCTCAAACTGGGTATCTCAGATCGCAATGCTACCGGTATCCCCAAACTCCGTAGCTTGTAGAATAACAAATCGATACCGCCAGAAATCAAATAAAACTTCTGTCCATCCTCGTGTCTCTTCATAAACAGGTAGGTAGCTTCTTTCAGGCGTGCGGGCAGTAAAGTATTATAGACACAAGTTTCTATAATCTCTGCAAAGCAAAAGGCATGACAATGTATTATAAACGCCGTGCCCCCGAGATGGCATTATGCTCTCGTGTCTTCGTATTCTCGTGTTCTATTATTAGGACCGCAATGATGTGTATCAGTGCCAGCTAGGAATTCTCACATTAGTATATGATACCCCTCACTAGAGTGACTATCATCGCAAAGACAAATATATAGGTATGAATCGTAGTAACTCACCAGATCTAGCAACGCCAATGTCATCCAGTCAAGTCTAAGTTCTCTGCACAGTCTTCGGCACACCCTTGCGACCATACCTGCCGCCGAAATTGACAATCGTGCTATTGTCTGCAATTTCCTGTCCACCTTTCGACGATGATCCAGCTTCGGGCAGTACTGAGCCCATCATGGATTCCCAAGTATGGTGTCGCTGTTTACTAAGCAAGTCGCGTTCCGCCAATGCATTGAGTTCCTTCTGACGGCTGATTCTGGCTGCTCGGTTGATTCGTCGCAACGCCACCTCACCCTTCTTCGCAGCTATCTCGGCCTCGGCCTGTTCTTTGGAGATATCACGCGTTTGTTCTATCGGGGTGAATCTGTAAGTGTATGGAGGTGGTGGCGGTGGGAAGTTCTTTGGAATCCAAGGGCGCTCCTCCTTCTCTCTTTGACCGGACAACTCCTCGCCTAGATACGGTCGAGGCTTATGGAGGTATTCGGTGTCTTCTATAACCGGATTGTAGTAAGATGGCTCGAGAAGTTCTTTCGGGATAGGGTGCTTGAGATGTGGCTTCAAAGCTGATAGCTCGACATCTTGTTGGTGTAAAACCGTCTCAAAGTCCGTAGGAATCAGAGTATTTCTTCTTGCTCCATTTGCGATGCGTCGGAGATCACTCATGAATCTCATCGTGTATGTATCCACGAGCTCCGTGAAGTTTTCCAAGGCATCGTTTTTCGCTGAGTCAAAGCCTACTGCTTGCAACGTCAAGGCGATTGAGCGTTTGAGACCCTCTCTTCCAAGATCGCCCGCTGTGGGACGATTTATAACTTCATAAGCAGGCTTCGCGTCAGAGTAGACCTCGGGCGGCGTACTAGAGCGGGATTCGATGTCAGTGGATCGCTGCCGCTTTGCTGGATGGTCTTGTTCGTTGCTGCTATCGTCGCTACCGCTGGTGCTTGCGCGCTTTCGTGAGGAATCCATGGTGCGGAATCTTGAGATTGGGAGCGCGAAGATTTAAGTAGGGACTGTATCAAGGCCGGAAGAAAGCGGACTCTATGGCCACGTGGAAGATGATTGCGCGAAGAGGGCACGTGTACCAATCGCTGATAAGATGAATCGAATATCGTAAGAGTGCTGTTTTGATTCCATTAGTTGCCTATCGACTGTGTGTCGTGATGGTACGAACATGGATATTTAGACGCCAATGACATTAATGTGGTCAAATATGAGATATCGTAAGGTCGTAAGAAGCGCAAGATTTCTCGGCGACGAGTGGCTGTTTAAGATGGTGTTCGTAAGGTATTGATGGTTGTAATAATCAAGCTCGATACACAATGAACTGTGTGATGTTGTATTTATGTAACGGGTGCTGTGAGCGTCAGAAGAGCTCAGACGCGAAATCGTCAATGCGGAATCGCGTATTCGCGTTGTTGCGAGGCAACACCCTCCCAATTCGTAGCCCTGAGTCCGCCAGAATGCTGTCGTGGGTGAGAGCTGCCTAGCTTCAAGTCGCGCAGAGAAGTAAAATCGCGAAAACAGGGAATGCTTCAAGGATGGTGGTCTAGAAGTAATATTGATAATATATTGATGATCTTAGAGCAGAGGCGACAGAGAGGGCGAAACTGGGAGTAGATAGATCTGGGGATTCTCGTTTGAACCTGACGGTGAAGATGTTGCAGATGCTTTTTTTCTAGAAAATCGCGGTAACAGAACGAAGTTCAACGTCCAGGCCGATTGTGAAAACGCTGTGGCTTGAAATAGAATTAAGGTTTAGCTTAGCTACTAGCTAAGTGGATTGTGGCTTAAGCTCCAGGAAGGCCGTTGACCTCAGGAATCAACAATTATGTGGGGCTACGATAGTGGGGTTCACCCTAGTAGTACTTAGTTATTTACCTATGCAGGTTAGTACTATATGAGCTAGTTATGTGGATTCATTGTGGAAGCTGTTGACCTTGGAACTGATCACGATAGCTTCACTTTTACTCTATTTCTTTACTTTTTGCTTCAGCATACATGTAAAAGAAGTTGGATTACAACGAACCTCGCCCGCCTCTTAATCACTTGATCTGGTTACGAAAAGCAAAGTTTTGGCTTATTTCAACTGGTTTCTGCTGATCTACTTACCTCCTATAATAGGTAGTATACCTAATACTAGGGGTTTGCCTACGAGGTACATACCTAGTATGTGCGTAATTCGCGAGAAGTTATATCTACACCATTGTCGTGGCAGGCAGGTATCATGACGAGGAATCTTGCTCACAAGGTAGGCACCCATCTCACAATTCTGTTGTTTCCGACGTTTCAAGCCTTCTCATTCCAACACTCTCAGAGTCGGACACCCAAGATCGTCCGTCAGGGAGGCCTGGTACGGCAGGTAGGTTGGTAACCAGACAAACCTCACGGAATCATGGAGCCGCAACTTAAAGACGTAAGCACCCAAGTGACAAGGTATCGAAGCCTCTGGAGTCGCTCGTATTCCGAGCGGGAATATTCGATCTGACGGACTTTCCTTGACCGTCTCGAACTCTCCGGGACAAGCAAGGCCTGTCCTCTCGCTACCAGACAACTTCGGTCGCTTCGAGAAGCTTTTAAGATTGCCTTCCTTTCTTCTCCGACTGCAATTTCAACCCGTCTTTCGTAGTAAGTAAGTTAGCTAGCTGGCATCATTGTCCAGAACTCGCGACGGTAGCATTTCGGGGCAATCAAATGACCAGAAACCCCGGAGGATTCCCTACCGACGAAGTTTGCGCCGGTCAATTCTCACAGATGATGCGTAAGATAATAAATAGAGTCCCTACCAAAAAAAGTATCCGGGATGTTGGCGTCTTCAACAAGACAAAAGCGTATGTTGGCGGGAAATCGGCTTGCGTTGCCTGCCCGCCGAGATGGCTGTGTGTAAGAAGCTCGGTCTGTTACGGCTCTCTGCCAATCGCATCATAGAGTTGCCCAATCGGCTTTGTGACCTACCGGAGCTGGCCTTCCACTCACTCGCCCGAAACTCACCCTGTTGTCCGTTAGTCGCGACATCGAGGGATGCCTGTGTCACCACCCCGTCTAGGTGATAGTGGTAACTTAGTATTTTAGTAGTTGCAATAGCAGGAATAATAGCCGTAGGTAACAGTAACAGTAATAGGAGAATCACCAGGTCCCTCCCTGACGTCCGTTAGGCTGATCTCGATGCGCGAGATATCCTGGGTAAAGGAGCATCGGGCGTGATTTCTAAGGAGTTATGAAAATAAGGTAGGTGCAGGAGGTGAGGTAGGTAGGTAGGTAGCTATTAAACTTATTCCAGGGAAAGACCTTACATACGAAGCGATGGTCCGCCTGCCGATGAGCTGCGAGCATGCATGCGCGCGGGATCGCACGCCAACCTTTCCCATCGATCCCCCCTGGGGAAGATACGCGATCACCCGGACAGGGAAGGGGGCCTCGTGAAAATGCAGCTCGTACCACCGTGCTACATAAAACCCTTAGGGCTAACTATTAACTACCTACCAACCGTCCTTGCAGAGTTGCACGAGGGGATTGCTTCTCAGCACCGCTGCCGCAGCTGAACCATCTGCACGGCCGCGGCGTGGCACATGGCGATTTTGTATGTATGCGCATACAATAAGAACACTGGACACGCGTTTCTTGGTGGCTATTTATGGTGCGGCATTTCTATGTGGCAACTCACGACACGACAGGTTCGAGCAAGCTAACAGCGCTCGCTCGCCTTTGCTCACATTGATCAAAGACCACATTGGGGCCCTCACCAAGCCCAATTTTCAACGAGCTGGAACTAAGCATCTTGAACGATGCTCGCGGCTCTTCCTACACTACATCGACATACATACATTGCATGAATCCTACCAGACCCGAACGGCCAAGCTGTAGTGAGATCCGTCGGCAGTTGAGTATGAGGGATCAACAGCTAAGGTACCTAGCAACAGCTTGCTCGGAATCGCTTTCGCAATGCAACGGCGGGGTTAACCAGGGCAAAGACAGAAAAGAAAAAGAAAAAGAAAAAGATCCGCCCCCGAGAATGGACGAGAGTGTGTAATTATTAGCATTATGTAGTTTATTAAATTCGGCTGAACTTCTTCTTTGGACTGGAAACAGCACTCCTCGGGCTTTGTGAACCGGGATTCAACGTTAAGAGCTCAGGGTTATGTATGGAAGATTTACGGAAATAACCCGTTACGCATATCTTATTATAATAAGTTTTTTCTGTTTTGTTCGCTTGTGTTGGTTTTGTTCTACGGCATGGGGTGTTGGTTGATGCGGTGGTTCATGCTGGAGCGAATAGGAAATAGAATAGAATTGGAAGCAAGGGAAGCCAAGGATATACATAGGGGAGGAGTGGGAGGGGGTGGAAGAAGGAGAGGAACGGATGGCCAATAGGAATCATGTCGACCGAAATCTACTTCAAATAATATTACCCTGCCCATAATTTATGTAGGTATGTATGTAGGTATTGTAGATAAATTGTACGTACAGACCTCAATCTGTCACGTCGTTTATAGGTATGTAAGACAGCTGGAGATGACTTATGATAGTAGAAGATGTAGGTACATGCTTTGTACGACTGTACCTGAATCTGTTTAACACTTGAGAAATACATATGTAAGATTTCAGGAGGCAGTCAGCGAGGATGAACCTACATGATATATACCGTTACTTAATAGTAAGTACTGTCATGTTCGCATTTATATACCGAAGCCACCTATATATTAACATAGCAACGTGATTACTCGGAGGATATAATAGTGTACACATGTTTGCTTAAAATATGACCTGTGTTCGATGTTGAACCCCATAACGATCGTTGTAGAAACCATGTACTTATTTATATGTAGCCGCTCAGCCGTTTTATCTTGGCAATACCTAAGAGTTACTAGTACTAATACATAGTATGAAACAAACCCGTATCGACTCGGCCGAGACGTCATCGTCGTCTGGTACCCATCCCTTTTTCTCTCTCCCCCCCCCCCCCCTTTTTTTTTTTCCTTACATGGTTGGCTATGTACACTACTTTCTTTCTTTCTTTCCTTTTTTTTTTCAGCCCCCGACCAAGGACCTTCACCTCCCATATTAAGACATGGCCCGAGCCTCCCGCGGCGGGGATATGTGCGTTGTTACGGAAGCACCCGCTCGTACATTAATTGGCGTCTCCAGTGCAGTGGTGGCCATCCGAGTCGGAAGTCTCCAATCCCTGGCTACCTAACCTTAGATTTTTTTTGACACGCGGAGTTCAGGGAACATCCAAGAAAGCCGTCATGATGAAATTGGTTTACGTGCATGCGCGTTTGCTGTATGTAGCATGTATGATGTATGGATGTACAATTTATATATGTACGTCCACGTAGCTGTATGTAGGCATGTATGTATGTACGGGGCCGTTGGGCGTATTCTTGACCTGTAAAACCTCCAGTTTTCCGTGGATATGTAGGTATGAATGTACATGAAAGTAACGCCCATAAACGATTATATCAGTTTGCGGCCCAGCACATGTCCTTGCGAAGAGTGATAAGCGATGCAGTCCTCGCTCACTGGCCTACTGCCACCATCATCGCCCATCGAGGACCTTGCACCTGACGACTTCAAAGAATCTCGGCGTCCCTGACAGTCTTTTGGCTACTACCCTCCCCGATTTCTTTATTGGGAGGTTTCCCACGCCGGACAGAAATCCCGTCGTTCCTTTAGGAGCTGCGATTTCCAATTTGGACAGGCCATGCCTCCTTTGCGTAACAGACAAGTCCTACAAAGGCAATATCGACCTGCAAGCCTGACCATCGTGAGGGTGTCTATCCACCTTATTCAAAACTTGACAAGTAATCAGGTAGGGTAGTCTCAAATCTCTTGGACTCTTTATAGCATACCTAAATGAGCTGGCAGGTAGGCAATATTCTGAGGTTCGTCGAAGCGTAGGGTTGCGTTTGGGAAATCGGATGTACAACTCTGCATGGTTCTTTTACATACCCCAGGCTGTTAGCCATCTGGGAATTGCCCACGGCAAGAAACGAGCGGGAGGAGAATGGATACTGGGTAGCAGGATAGGGCGGCCAATGATGTTTAATTAATAGCAGGAGAACGAACCAGATCGTGAAGCTTCATTCGTGTCAACGTCACCTCTACTCATTAATATTTGGAGATTTGGCCGCCCATTGCTATGTAGCGGTTAAATACCGTGCTGCTTCCTACCTACCTACATAACATACATATCAAGATATAATAGTTATGTATCAGTAATCGAGGTACCTATGTACTGAGTACTGAAGAAGCAGCACATGTATTGAGTAACCCTACATACTGGCTCATTTACCGGTCTGACGTCGAGGATACCCAACTCTGTACAAGTACTATCGGTCGGTAACGATATCAGTTTGTTGCATTTGCTCACTTCGTTTTCCATTAGTACATACCAACAACGAAGACGTGAGACTATCTTCTAGGGATCGCCAGGAGCTACACACCTCTACACACCTACACACACACACAATTCGGGACTTAAGCAAGGGGCCGTTTGAGAGTCAGATGTTAGACCGGATTACTTCCTTCTAGAAGCGATCTATAATAGGCAGGTATATGTATACCTGTCAGCCTATTCTTGTCGAATGGAGATCCCAAGCTTCTAAAACAGCAGGTTAGATATTAATGCCTCATCCGGTAACTATGCGCCTTTCATGGCCAAGCAAATTGGAAGATCTTTAGCTTTTGGGGGATGTTTGGTTTCGAATCGATACCGAATATAGCCAAGGTGATAAACCTATACCTACAGTACGTATTGTACACAGACACCTAACACATCCAGTACACCTAGCACCATGGATGCGAGCATTTCTAATTCCATGTGTAGTATGCATTTGTAGATCATATTGACTCGTGAGGATTCGTGGCCTGCCTTACATAGTATTGGCCTTTGACAATACATGCACTGCGCATTGCATCTGCTGTAGCAGTACTATGTACATACTTACCTACATACATACACACATCGTATGTATGTGGTATTAGCAGTAGAATGTAGTAGCCTAACCTTAGTAGGTAGGATTTTTTTTTATGTAGACTGAATCTGACTGATGGATCAGAGCATTATAGTCTGATTAAAGTGATCGACGGTCGAGGCGGTCAAATGTAGTCAAGCTTCACGCACTTGTAGACACCTCAATCATAGCGGAGAATTTGGCCAGCAGGCCAGCAGGCCAGCCTTGACAAGCAGACCCAAGTTGACAGGGACGATGAAACCTGCAAGACTTCGATGGACGAGGTCTAGAACAGATTGGCGTAATCACGTTGACATCCAGATCTACCGCAAAAGATTTAGCTGCGCAGATCCGCATTGACAATTCCCCAGCGGATTCGCAGATTAAAAGTACGAATACGTAGCCGTTTGCGTACGGACCTACATACTAATTATGATCGTAACGAAACTCCACTAGATGTTCCAATGGTTGGTAGGTTGGTAAGCTATTATTGTTCGGTGTCTGTGTGTTCTTGTCCTGGGCCTACACTTGTTGATGTGTTATGTTTATGGGTAGAAATAATAATAGGTAGGTAGGTAGGTAGGTAGGTAGGTAGGTAGGTAGGTAGTTAATGTGAAATAACTAAATAGAATAAAATAAAATGGTGAACCTCGGTACTATGTATGTAAGGATTGGCTGACTTATTAATATACTCCATGACATGCATGTGCACCATATGTACATTTAATACTAACTACCTAGATACATAGCAGGTATGCAACCTAATGTAGAATATATATGAACGTATTGGGTATTATTGACGAGAAAGGCTAACGGTTGGTGGGGTAAGAACCTTGGATGATGTTCAAAAAGCCAAAAAGCCATTCACGTTGCTCTTACTGCTTAAGCGCCTTGTAACAATGCAGTAGCTGCGGCTCATCGCATACGAAGGTTGTGGCCAAAAGTTTAGACCAAGATATACCTCAGCCCCACAGTGCGCCACTCTTTTTCGGGCTTCTACCAATAATAGGTATACATTTAACGTCAAGTCCCCCACAACCCTTAAAAATATAGCACCTTATAGCACACTTAAACGCTATAATGTGTTATAAACTTAAAGCCTTCAGTCCTAAACAATTGACAGACGGGCCTGTTAACAACCTTAGATTATTATATAAATACTTACATTAATTTAATAAAGAAAAAAATTACAAAAATTTCTATTATTAAATAAACTAATTAAATAACGTAATGATGTATTTAATATTTATTAGATAAACTTATAAGGCTTTATAGGTAGGTAGGTATGTTGGCGATGATATTTCCTACAGTGGTAGAAAAGTGGAGGAACTGTGGGGCTGAGGTATATCTTGGTCTAAACTTTTGGCCACAGCCTTCGTACGCCCCTCCCCATTATATCATCAGTATCTAGGTATTAGGTACATATACGCAGTAGGTACTAGGTATCTACATAGTATCCATCGTTGTCGAACTTCGATGCGAACTGCAACTACTAAATAGTATAATTAAAAGCTATGTAATAGTATATGTGTAGGGCTGTTAGGTAGTTAGGTGGGTAGTTAAATTTGAGAGTTTAGTTCAATGTTCATCAATTGCTATGTCGCGTCACTAAGAAATGATCGGCAATATCTTTTACTAAAAGGAGGCAGAGGAGCTTCGAAAAGAACAACTTCAACATCCCTGAACAGTGCTTGCTTCCATGTGGTTTGGATTACAAAAGGAAACTCTTTTTTTCAACTAACCTAACATATTGAGAAATGGAGAGTAGGAAACGAACATTAAAAATAAAGATGTTACTATTAACCCAGCCACTGAATTGGGGGTAACTATTATGGACTCCATCTCAGATGTAGTTAATAGTAGTTACTTCCAAGTAGTTACCTATTGTACCTAATTTTTATTCTTTTTTTCCTTGTCTCACCCCTCCCCTGTACGATTAGTGGACAATAAGGTATCCACCCCCAGCTTCTATGTCCTTCTTTCTTTCTCTCGCTCTTCAACGCCTTCTCATTCCCTTGCTCCTTCTATAGATACATATACATCAATAGTAATGTGCATTGCCATGATAAAAGCTCAAGTATATACATAATACTATGTATCTAAGGTTAATTAGGTTCACCAACCTTAACATTGTGTCATTATCGTTTTCATGCATGAATACGTATCTTCATTCTTACTTTGTAGTATATCTTAGCCTCGTTATTAGATTGATCGCACATGCATGCATGTGTTTAAGAAAATCCCTGTTGAAGAATCCTTGCTCTACACGTACCGTTACCTTTATTACTACGTACATACTAGTACAGCTTATTTTACCTTTACCTTTAACTACCTTTACCTTTACCTCTACCACGTCCACGTCCACCAGTGCTCTTACCTTAACATTGAACCTCACCTTACCCTGCCCTTGACCTGCATATTACAACTGTACACACTTCCTAATTTTGACTTCTCCATTTGCCTGCCGCTTGTCAATCTCTCTTGTAACCTGTGACCAGGACCAACCTACTAATATAGGTACTACTAGTAGTACATACATACCCTAGGTATCTAATGTACATCAACCTAACTTCTTGCTAGGTAACATTGAACTACATACCTAGTACCTAGCTACATACAGTGGATAACCCAGCCCTAGCTTGTCAAGTCTGTGTTCAATATCTTCCACCTGGTATCCTATCTCATCCAACCCAACCCAATCCCAATAATACCTACCTTATAACTCTTGTACATATATCATACATACCTCCACTGCGCTACTCTTACTACTACTACTCTTACTATTACTCTTATTGAATTTGTCTAAACCTACTGGTCTTTCTCATCTACTTATTTCTTATTCACCTCGATATACCCGTGTGACCTTCCTCGTCACCGACCGTTGAAAATCGTCCAGTCATCTCAGATTAATCGTATATCCAGACCCCCTGGCCTCCCTTTTTTTTTCTTGGTATCGGTGGATTCATCCTCTCTTGGCTTTACGACAACATTTGCCCGAACGCGGATTGCCAAGCCTAACAGCTCCTAGCCCTAGTGATACAAATGTTACAAATCCCAGCATACCAACATAGCTAAAATTGTACTTTATGTCACGTCTTTGACTACATAAGACAAACCGCGTTGGCTGACATCGAGCCTGTTGCTACCTTGAGCATGTCGTAGGAACCAGTACTCCGGACAGCAAAGTTGGGGAAAAAAAAGTAAGCAATCCGCCAATTATCTTGGATGATTAGCTCTCTATAGCTATACCTGTCCTAACGTAGGTATGACTTAGTAGAGCTATTTGAATCGTTTTTACGCAAGTTCTCCGGAAATAGTGTCGCGGTTGTCACGGTCGTCACAGCTGTCACAACCATGTTTCCTATAGACAGGAGCTTGCTCCCGTCTTTGACAACTAACAGGGCCTTGATCGTGCTCGACCCTCAAAATGACTTCCTAGATGAAGAAGGCGCCCTGCCTGTCAAGATCCCCATGGATCTTCCGGACCGGATAGCAGATTTCGCAACCTCATTCCGGCAGAGCGGTGGCTATGTCATTTGGGCATGTAGCCAATTCGAAAGATCGCGATCTACCCTAGACGAGGTCATCTTAACCTCGGAAAGGCCGGGGCTTTCTCGAGGTCCAGACCAGTCGCGCGGCCGTCGTCGGCAAATGTCACCACAGGTCGTCCAACCGTGTGAGTGTCCGGAGGCCTTCTTAACGCAGGAAAGTTCAAATTTGCCCAAATGTGTTCGGCCAGGTACCTTCGGCATAGATGTGCATCCCATCATCAAGGCGGCTATTGGACCGAAGGACTACTCGCTCGTGAAGACTCACTACTCGGCTTTCAAATCGGAACAGCTGCTTCGTTTCCTACGGATGAGGCTTGTTACGGAGCTATTCATATGCGGGTCTATGACCAATATCAGTGTCATGGCTACCGCCGTTGATGCTGCAAGCCATGGATATACGATCACGATCGTCGACGATTGCTGCGGTTACCAAAATATGATGCGGCATCGTAATGCTATCAAGGAAATCGCAAACACGACGGGCTGCGAAGTTTCAAAGGCACAAGATATTTTGGCTACGCATACCCCTAAAGTGAAGGGTTCTAGGAGATTAGGTGATAGGCCGGGGATTTCTGCAGCTGGCAGGTACTCCACTGTACGTCGTGCTGGGGGAGAGGATGAGTCTACTACGTCCTTGACCTCAGAAATTCAATCGTCGTTTGAGGACCTGTCGCTAAGTCATCAGCGTGCAGCCGATTCTTCCGGCCCCGAGCCATCTGCGCAAGATCTCAACGTACCGATTCAACCCATGGTGACCGCGAAAGAATCGAATGTCGAGTTGATAGCATCGAAATCGCCGAAGTCGGATGATGACTCACCCAACAGTCATCGCGTTGACAATGAGAGTGTTGCGCCGAACTCCACGTGTAATGAAGAAAGCACGCCACATCCAGCGCCGAACAATGATCTTGTCTCTGGAGAGAATGCAGCAGATACAAGCCAATTATTACCAACTACAGATGAAAAAGAGGAAGCAGCAGTTTCAAAGTTAGATCGTGTAAAAGACGAGGAAACCCTGATATCAGCAGCAGTAGCAGAAGCTAGTGATCCTAGGCCTTCTGAAGAGAGCCAAATAGACTCAGTGAAGACCACGAACGAAATTTCGAGTGAGGTATCGAAGGAAAACAGCTTGGAACAAACGGAAGAGGAACAAGCGGAAGAGCCAACGACCGATGATAATACCGAAGCGAAAAATAATAAAATGAACTCTCAAGACGCTATAAGAGAGAGTGAGCCTCTATGTGAGGGTGACACTAAGGTGATTTACGATGTCCTACCAAAGCCACTGTCCGACAACATATTTGAGAAGATAAGAGATGAGGTGCGATGGCAACGAATGATGCACCAAGGTGGTGAAGTACCACGGCTTGTTGCCGTCCAGGGTCAAATCGAACAGGATGGTACCATGCCAATATACCGTCACCCATCGGACGAGTCACCTCCCCTATTAAAGTTTTCTCCCACCATACTCGAGGTTAAGGAAGTCGTTGAGAAGCAACTAGGACATCCTTTGAATCACGTCCTGATTCAATTTTATCGCGATGGCAATGACTATATCTCGGAACATAGCGACAAGACCCTGGATATAGTCAAAGGCAGCTATATTGCTAACGTGAGTCTGGGAGCGGAAAGAACCATGACGTTCCGAACGAAGCGGCAACCGAAAAGCAAAGCATCGGCGGATGCAAATCCTTCTGCCGGACCAAAACGCCAGGTAGAGCGTGCACGTCTCCCTCACAACTCGCTATGCAAGGTGGGATTGAAGACCAACATGCGGTGGCTTCATAGCATTCGCCAAGATAAGAGGCTGGACCGCGAAAAAACGAGCGAGGAGTTAGCCTATGATGGTGGCCGTATCTCATTGACATTTAGGCAGATAGGAACCTACCTAGACCGAGATAACCGACTGATATGGGGACAAGGAGCTACGTCGAAGATTAAAGAGGAGGCGAGGCAGGTGATTAATGGACAGACGCCAGAAGCGGTCATGATGCTGCAGGGATTTGGCAGAGAGAACCAGTTGACCGAATTCGACTGGAACAAATACTACGGCAATGGCTTCGATATCTTGCACATTTCCACCGCGCCTCGGTTATTCCTGTCGTCAGATCCGGTTGTCAATATGCGTATTCAGCTCATGTTGGCGGAGTATGGGATCAACTACGCCCGAGGGAACATGTCACCACTTTTCCACTGGAAAGAGACTAAATCTGGGAAGGACGTGTGGGGTGTCCCAGAAGAGCTTCCAATTAAGTTTGTCGATAACGACTTGGCGAAGACTATTGTCGAGGGTGGAGTCGCCATTATGATATATATCGACCGCGTCTATAACCGGCAAGGGCAAGATGAGAATCGATCCAGAAGGGATATCGCGAAGGAGTATACCCTGTTTCAAAAGGGGCTATATCTCTTCGAGAAGCTTAGGGCCGCTCCTAACACTAAGGCCTTCGAAGCTGCCGAACTCAACGTCTGGGAGCAATATGCTGCGGAAGGTGATGAATTCATCGCAGGCCCTACCATGTCTTTAGCCGACTACGCATTCTGGCCGGTTCTCAACGCCATTGTTAGAGTACCGGGGCAGTACGACTTTGGGGTTGGTGAGACTGGGTTCAAAAATCTCAAGAAGTACCACGACCGCATCGCGGCGCGGGATTCGGGTCAAAAAGTCCTAGTCCTTACTGCTAGAGGTACTCGGCAGATATCTGATGATTCTAATGCCGCCGCACCTGTGTCTACCCCTCACACTCCCACTCCCACGCCAGCCGCCATATAGTGACAGGATTTATCGAAGAACATTATAGAAAATGAGACGAGTAATGCGGGTTCCTCTTTTTTTCTCTTCTGGTTTTGTAATTTTTTTTTCTTTCCTTTTGGCATAGACAATAAGGGGAGCATTTGCATGTGATTGAGCGCTCGCGATTTTTCCAGCATAGCAGTGGATGGTACGCATATAACTTATTTAAACGACTTGGCTTATAATATGGTTCGATTTTCTTTGGAACGTCTCAGATGACAGTGGATGAGGATAGGGAGGTGATTGGATATCTTGTATGAATGGATTCTGTAAGAGGGGGACTAGCTAATATAGTAGTAGTTGGACATATAGCTTGCCTGCCTGTTTAACTCGATGCATGCTTGGGTATCTATTAGGATATACCTATTAAGACAGTAGCTAAAGAGACATCTAACTTACTGAATGTGAATCTTGATCATCCCGAGAGCTTACGTGAAAGGGAATTCAGTGAGATGGGTTGATTTTGGGTACTTAGATATACATCTCGCGATACTAGTTCTTATCTTAATATCTAGCCACTCTACCTAACTATATGACAAAAGAATAGACTGGCATGTAAGTTGTAACTATCTCCATACCTACTTTGCATAGCCTAGCTTATATGCCAATAGTATTAGTGCATACACCTACGTATATATGTACTTACATATGTATACCTACCTACATACCTAGATATGAAGAGATCCACAACACGATAAAAACCACTAACTATAAGCTCCAAAAAAGACCAAAAAAAACAAAAAAAAACATACAACACCAGGGATTCGCTGGTCGTCACCGACCCAACTACTGATCTGGCGGTATTCGGCTTATCTATGGGAGAGCGGACGGGATCCCGAGTTTTCCGAATCCTATGGTCGTATGTGATGGTTTGACGGACTATTGTGGTTTATATACCTAGTATCTATTTTCGTTGTGTGCGTGCGTGAGGCGGGCCCCGCTTTTCGGATGTGCTGTCGATTTTGTCACGGTTAAGTTAGTTACTTACATTGAATGATTACTACTACTACTACTATTACCTACATAGTTAGGTACCAAGGTGAACAAATCACGGGGGCATGCATTTGTAAATCTACATACATGTATGTAGCCCTGCCCGCTCTACGCAGCCGAGCGCCATTACCGGCAGCGACGACTACGTACTCTCGCGCTAGTCATCGCGGCGCGCGGACGACCGGTGCTGTGTTCTCGTGATAGTTATCATTTACGCCAGCGGCGGTAACTATATACGAAGCGTTTACCGTTTAACTAATAGTTAGTTACTGATTAGTACCGTGCATCTATAGTACTATATAGTATTGGCCTGGTCGGGAGGGGTGATGGGACGGAGCTATGTATGTACCTAGTTGTACTAGTTGTAAGTTTGTGGTTGTGGCGCGGGCCGAGAATGTCTATTGTCGAGGTGGAAATGCGGAGAGTTATCGCGACCTATGCACGCGATTGGCGTTTTGTTAATAGTTACGTGAGGGGGAGGTTTCGGCGGTGCTGTTTGTCGTGCAGCTTGAAGGTGATAAGAAGTTGGTGTTGCTGTTTTATGAAGACTGATGATAATAATGGTGAGGATGAATAAAAGAGGCAAGCTAAGTTGCGGTGTAGAATCCAAGGGGGGCGTGCTGCGACGACGAGGCTATCCATCTTATCCGTATTAAATTACATTCAAAGTGAATTGTTACGATGTTACGATATATTAACTAAGGTAAAAGGGGTATTTTTTGACCCCCCCACCCCCTGGAAACAGACTGTTGGTGAATGGATAGCTGACCAGGTCCACTCTGGCTCAATCAAAAGCCAGGGATTCTCAGGGGGCCCATATTTTATATATAAATTTGATTTGCGCCCATCAAGTTTCCTGCCAACTTTGCCCTCTTGAACCTAATAATGTTCTACTACTTCAACTTTGGCAATATTAACAATTGAGGTACTATTGTACTGTTATGTTATGTAGTCTAGACGTGCTGATCTAAATTTCATCCCCCTCCCCCCCGCGCACTCCATGTCTTGCTCCAGCAATCACAACCCTCTAATAACTAACTCCTCATTAATAATACCACCTGATAACATGGCATCCCCCACGCCCTACAAGACCAAATACACGCAATCCGCGCTGGACTCGGCCGTCGCCGCCGTGCGCGCGGGGCACTCCTTCCGCCAAGCCGCGAGCGACTGGCGGGTGCCGCGGTCCACGCTCATCGGGCGCGTGCGGGGGTCGCAGCCCGCCGACAAGGCGCACAAGGTCCAGCAGCGCCTGACCCCGCAGCAGGAGACGGAGCTGACGGCCTGGATACGGGCGCAGAGCGCGCAGGGCCGCGCGCCCACGCACGCGCAGATCCGCGCCACGGTCGTCCGCATCCTGCGCGCGAACCACGACCACCGGCCCCTGGGCAAGAAGTGGGTCGAGGCCTTCCTGGCGCGGAACAAGCCGTTCAAGCGGGTCCCGCTGGACCCGGCGCGGGACGTGGACGTGGGCGATAGCGGGATACCGAGGCAGGCTCCCAGGAGGAATGCTGGGCTGGACGCGTCGGTGATAGAGATAAGCAGTGATGATGATAATGGTGGTGGTGGTGGTGGTGGTGGTGAGGAGGATTTCAATAATAATCGGCCCAGGACGAAGCTGGAGAAGATATTAAACCCGTTTAGGATTAGCAGAGAGGTTCTATTGGCGGGCTACGACGAGTTGTGCTCCGAGTGGCAGTTGCAGTTTCGCTAGCCAATCGGAAGCTTGATAATTGATAAATTTATAATTTATCATTTTACATAAGTATGTAACATAACTCTACGTGTGGGGTTGCTGAGTAATTAAGATGGCTTGTTAGGCGGCGGATACCGGTACTTTCCCCTAAGCTGCTTAAGAGGTAAATCGCATAAGAGGATTTGATATGCAGTAACCTTTGATTTATGATTTTAGACGGTGTAGCATTAATGTATCGACTTCAAGATCATGATCTTATGATAGATATCAGGTGTCTAGGTTAGGTGGGAAGTGATTCATGCAAAACCACCATTCAAATACGAGCCACATAACTATGTAGACATCATCCATCTTTCCACGTATACCGTCCAACCCCTGACCCCGCCACCCACCCCGCCGCTTCGACAGCCCGCCTTCTCTGTTCCCTATCGCGCAATGCTTCTTCCACACTAATCCCCGCGGGAAACCCAGGAACCTCCTCACGTTCCACCCGGAGCCAGCCCTTCCACCCCGCGTTCACGTCGCCCTTAGTTGCACTGCTCGCGTGAGGGCCCGTTCCGCTCCCACCACCGATCACCACCGTGCCCCACCATTTCCGCGCCCGGCTCCCGTGCGCCCCGTACACCATCCACTGCTCCGCTGCAGCTACCGCCGCCCTTACTTGTTCCTGGCCCCGCGCTGGTCGGTAGACGTGGACATGCCTTAGATCAGATACCCGGGCGGGATAACTACTGCTGTCACTGCCACTAGTATCTGTAATCTTAGTTACATTAGTAGTAGAAGAAGAAACGAGACGAGTAAGATCGAAACGGTTCTCGGCATCTACCACCACGACTGTATAATTATGCGGCTCGGCGATGAGGACGGAGATCAGGTGGTACAGCAGCGGCAGGTAGCGCCCGCTGAGGGAAAGAAGCGGCGGCGGGGCGGACTGGTTTAGCTTGTGGTGGCGGGCTGCAATGCTAGCGAGGGCCGGGATGGGGATGTGTGGGCGGAGAGTAGAAGTAGAGGAACCACCGGTGGGTTGAACACGGAGGGAATTAAGGAGCTGGCGATGAGTGAGTAGATATGCTGTTAGTATATATCTGTAACCTAGATGTATGTGTATTGCGCTTCGAGGAGAAAGTATTATAGGCATGTATACCTACAAAGATGCATCTAAGTAAATAAATTGGCAGCGATAAGATAAGATCTAGCCATCCAACCTTCATAACCATCACTTTATATTTTATCCCTTCTCACCCTCCTTCGTACAACTCATCAAAACTTGAATGAATAACATACAGAGAGCAAAAAAAAGGGAAGGTCTAGACATACCTCTTCCAAACTCCCCTCTTCCACCTCACCAAGTAATCTCGCACCAACGTGTTTCGCAACCGCGGGGTCCATCATCAACCGTTTACTGTCTTTCTTTCTTTCTTTCTTTCTTTCTCAAATACTAACCAACTCACTTGCTTGCCTCTCTCATCTCACCACCACCAATCACCACTACCACCACCACTCTATATAATATAATCCGTACAACTAATAATCAATTAAAAACCATGACACCCCCCTGCCGCGTCTTCCCCGCCTCAGAGCTCGAGTCCGAGATCCAGACGACGGACGGACAGCGCCTGCGCAAGGGCGGCGGGCGGATCGACCTGTCGGCGTGCGAGCTGCTCGCGATGGTGCAGTACGAGTGCCAGATCGACCGGCCCGAGCTGGCCAACAGTCCCGTGTGGTGCTGGCCTGTGCAGCGCTGGTTTCGCCGGTATGTTTTTGTTTTATTTTTTTTTGATTGTTTCACCCTGCAGAGATATATATATATGTATGTGTATGTGTGTGTTGTCGGTATTGATGATGAGAATTTCCAGATGTCAAGATAAGAAGGGTGGTAGTTTTATGGTCGAGACTACGATATGGGAGGAGAGCAGGAAAAAGGGAAAAGAAAAAGACAAAGAGTGAGAAGCTTGGTGGGGTCTCGGAGCAGTAGGTAATACAGCGCCTACCTTCTATTCAATGGTCAATGATTCAATGCGAGCAACGAAATGATGTGTACCTATAAATACAATTACTCACTGTATAAGATCCTCATTTTCTCATTTTCTCATTTTCTCATTTTCTGATTGTGTAATAAGTTTTGTATTTTGCATTTTGCATTTACCTAGGTAGGTATGAGTTTATGAGTTTTCCTATACCTGCCTATATGTATTCCACTTATGAATTGCCATCTGATCAAGATAGACTCTGCTTGAATCTAGTAAGATCTCTTACTCTGATGCAAAAGCGACCGAGTATGAACCATGAGCACGGCGAACACATTACCTACCTTCTAACGTCCGTCGTTATGACCGAGTTACGTTATGGCTCACTTGATGAGTTATTATCTGTAGCCTACAAGTCTTTGGCACGAAACGACTTGTATTCTCAGCATTCAGAATCACAGCACACAATTCAACGTGAATAATAAGGCACGGCATATCAACTCTTAGGAAGAATGCTCTAACCTAGGAATTCTGAATTCGATGGGCGAGGTGCTTGTTCGTATAATACAGTTGGCCGTCCCTAGGTATCTTCCAACCGTACCTATCGTCTATCGCATCTCCAACTAACAAAAAAGGATATCGTCGTTTAGTATCGTATGTACTACTCCATGTCTTCTCGGCTTTTCCGATATAATCGATCGATCCTTTCTTATCCTGTTCGAGCAGCACGCTCCTCCTCAAGCTGCTTGTAGAAGTTGTCTCGGCCGTGAGTGCGGGGCATGTGGTATCCGTGCCTTGGAAGTAAGTTAGCACCTATCGCTATATTCTAACAAATCTGATCGTTCTTCTTGTGAGGGGATGGGTGGCTTATAAAGGGTCGTCGTACCAGTATAGGGTACCGAAAGTTACGCCGAGTCCTACAAGTCTGGTTAGAAAACAGTTCAAGCCGTCGCGTTGTGCGAGACAGTAGAGGATGTCGAAAACATGAGAGGGAATAGTTCGTAGAGGGATGGCATACCAAGGGCAATGGCGAGATCAGCGACGAGGCCTCGTCGGAGCATCTAATCATACAATATTAGTACAAGAATCTCGGGCAGAAGGAGACGCATTCTGTAGTGCAATCTGTAGTGCGCCATGTAATTGAATCTACCCCCAGAGAGAATACTTACACCAGTGATAGGTGCAATCGCCATTTCGAAAGATGTAGGTCAGACAAGCGACTGAACAGGTTTGATTAAGTTGGTTGGGCAGTGTGAAATGATATTCGGTATCTCGGCTTTTGGCATTGAAGAGTTGGAAAATGGTTCGATGATGATTCCCCATTTGCGCAAAAGCCTGAGCTAAAGTGTACAAGTCACGTGGGAGGAGTTTGTGGATGCTAGTCTACCCCAGGCTAAGTACATAGTTACATGTACTGTACTAACCTAACAATTTAAAAGCCAACGTCTCTCGGCTAATCATCGGCAAATCGGAGCAAACCGACTTCGACTTTTTTGTCGCTTGAGCCTCAAATTGTCAATTCACCTTCAAACTTTCTTGTACCTACAGCACTAAGCATTACATAGCACTGGCAACCTCAACTCAGACTGCTTGCCATTGACCTCAATCCAAAGCAGTCATGAGTTTGCACCTGCCGGCTAGGCGGGTAGCCACCACCACTGGTATATATATTTACACTTACTTCCTCCCCTCCCCCCTCCAGGGAAGAAAGAGAGAGAGAGAGAGAGAGAGAGAGAGAGAGAGAGAGCTCTCCAAAAACTACGTCACTCAGCTAGCTAATCAATGAAAAACAAAACGAAACAGCTCGGGCAGCAGTTACAGTCGCCGGAAAACCCTCCCTACCTCTCCAATACCTCCAACCCCGAACCCAACGCCGAAATGCCTGGTTCGGCTGGAACCGCAAGAAGGACACCATGTCCGCGCACACCCCGCTAGCCAAGGAGCTGACCCGGCGCGACCGCGAGCAGATAATGGCGAAGCGGAACATGGACCGCACGCAGGGCGCCTCAATCTTCGACGAGGAGATCAAGGACCCGGGGCGGGAGAAGAAGAAGGCCGAGATGGTGGCGCTGGGCAAAGAAGCCGCGGAGGAGGGGGAGGAGGATGAGGAGGCCGTGTTCGAGGACAGCCGCGGCCACGTGCCCTCGGCGGGGACCAAGGTGAAGGAGCACATGGAGCGCGCCGACGACCCGGACCCGCGCTGGCGCGTGCGCTTCCTGCGCAAGAAGGTGATGCAGATGGTGCGCAACCAGGACAAGCCCCTCACGCGCGCCGAGCGCATCCGGCTCACCGAGAAGGACCTCCGCAGCGTGAGCCCGACGCTGCCGACCAGCACCAAGAAGCTCATGTTCCTCTCGCACCAGATCGTCGGCAAGACCGTCGACGACGCCATCACCCAGATGCAGTTCAGCAAGAAGAAGATAGCCCGCGAGGTCAAGTGGCAGCTCGAGGAGGCCAGGGACACCGCCATCGCCGCGCGCGGCATGGGCCTGGGAAGCGGTAGGGGTGCTGCAGCAAAAGCGGCGGCGGGGGGAGCAGAGAAGAAGAAGAGGATGATCCAGACCAAGGACGGCAGGTGGATAGAAGTCCAGGACCCGACGACCCTGTACGTGGACGAGTCGTGGGTAACCAAGGGCCCCTTCAGAGGAATGCGGATCCAGTACCATGCTCGAAGTCGCATGTCTCGAATGTGGAAGCCCACTGCTTGTAAGTCTCTTTCTTTCTTTCTTTTCCCCCCCTTTCCTTTCCTTCCTCGTCACGTATATCCCTCCCTACCTCCCTCCCTCCCTTACCCATCTGCCTACACAACCCCCCTTTTCCACCCCACCTCACAAACTAAGCAACCCCCACTAACACATCACTCCCCCGCGTCCCAGCCATCTCCCTCGTCCTAAAGGAGGAAAAGACCAGGATACGACTACACGAGGAGAGGTTAGCCAAGGAAGCCGAGAAGAAGCCCTGGGTCCATCTACCGAACCGGCCCGTGACGGCACAGCGACCGTACTACAGTTGGTGATCTATCTCATCTCTGGCATGCCAATGCCAACATCAAGCTCGAGATTTTTTTTGGTGTTCTAGGTGCCTTACTACCTAGTAGTACCTAGTTAGGGTAGGTAGGATATAGTACCTAACTATCTACCTACCTACATGTACTATGTAGTATAAGAGATGCATCCATACTGTATGTACCTCTACTCTCTAGCCAGCCGAGACTCGAGAGCGGCTATAGATAATAGGTACTTGTACCTAACCTAGGTGTCTATGACTCTATGCACTGTACATACAATCTACCATCATTGATCATGCCAGGTATCCGTTCGGCACGTGTATTATACTCACTCGGCAGAGAAGGGATCGATTCCGTACCCTAATCAATATTAAGTACATACTACTGGATCTACTCATGTTTCACTTGACAGGAACAATCTTATTTGGGCCCATTGGCCATAAACTACCTGAGACGCAACATCTGAAGAAGGCCTAACCGTGAGGAAGTGCAAAGCATTACATGCAACCACATAATCACCAGGAAACATAGTATTGCCATAGGATGCCACGTAAAAAAGCAAAGTAAGTCTTCGTTCCTATACTTGCATTATCTGCCTTTTCTTTATTACCTAATAAACCCCAGCCTCCCCTTGCGTAAATGGACACATTGGTCAAAGTAGCACGAACTCATTAATCCCCCCTCTCTCATTCAGACTCCCAAGATCAGATCGGAAACATAAGATAGGCTACACGAGCCCTCGTTTTCGACAGTAAATCCCAATTAGGAATGCCGTGGTGGTTAACATGTTTCGTGAACAAAGAACAGGAGATATGAATAATAAAAGTAACCCTAGCAGGACGTATCGAGGTTAAAAGCGAGTCAGGGCTGCAAGTCTTGGGACATGGAATGGTTTCTCTAAATCATGTTACGAGGCTGGGTTCGTGGTAGGAGGTCCTCGTATCGTCGTGCATTTGCGTCAAGCTCGGAAGAGTATGATGCAACAGATGGCGTATACGGGCGTGTTGTAGGCGAGCGGTTTCCTTGAGAACCCTGTGGCGATGGCGTGAACATCTTGGACAATTTCGGGTCGGTCTGGCGCACGTCATCTGCATATTGTCGTCCTGATCCTGGCATAGGCTGGGAAATTTGCATAGTAGGCATACGCCCATTCGCTGCTGCCGTTGCCGCCTTCTTGTTCTTTCCACGGCGCATAAACATGCATAATCCTAGGAGGAGTAATAGGACCACTGCGACACCAGCACCAGCACCAATTCCCGCTCGAGCAGCAACGCTCAAGCCATTGACAGTCGGTTCTTCACTAGTCTCTGCCGAAGAAGCAGTAGTCTGGCTACCAACACCGCTGACGGACGTGGCAGACGACTGGGAAAAATGTTAGAATTTCATTAGCTTCGACCAAAGCCAGTGGAATTAACATACCGAAGTGGCTGGAGTAGACTTTGCAGTAGCTGAAGTAATCAGGGTCGAACCAGAAGTAGCGATACCTGCAGCTGCGGTCGCAGGAGTGGCAGTGCTGGAAGAAGCTGACTCGGATGGCAGACTGGTCGTAGCTGACGTCGCGGCTGCCTCTGTAGCAGTAGTGGTCGGAGCCGTCGCTGGCGCTGCCTCCGTGGTGGGTGCAGGAGCAGCAACCTCTGTGGTCGGCGCAGCAGGAGAGGCAGCAGCAGCAGACGCAGCTATGATGTCAAGTTAGTGACACTTGCCCATTTCATTCCATATCTTACTCTAATCATCAAGCTGGGTTCGTGGTTGCCTACCTTGACACTCCGTAGTACCCCAAGTTTGGGCAAGGGGAAGTTGGGCAGCGGCTTCGGCTCCGCAGACCTGGTTCACGCAGTCACGGATGCCATCAGTAAACGCAGTGGTCTTTCCGCAGACACAGAGGCGATCATTCAATGCACATCCCATAGCGGGGGCGTTCACGAAGACGCCATTGACACAGCCAGACTAATGATAAGATACGAGGTTAGCTGTAAAATATGGACCAGATATACGGAAATAGCAAGGCAAGGGAGCGAAGATGATGAGCAATGAAAGATTCAGTTGGGCTATTCATGAAGCACTATACACAATTGGAATGGATTTAACTTACAGCACAAGGACTTAGGGCGGGATCCTGGGCACCGGTTTGGCCTACAAAGAGGGCGACGAGTGTCGCGATGGTGGTGAATAGCACCTTCATGATTGTGGTTAAATCTCAGAAGGAATAATCGATTTTCAACGAAAAGAGAGTGTTTGGATTGGATTGGTAAAGTACCGAATCGACGGTGTATGAGAAGGTAAAAGTGATAGAAGTAGAAAGTCAGGGTATCTCAGGTTGAAAGTGGCCAAGCTAGCTGGCCGGGTTGTGAAAATTAATGGGAGACGAAAGAAGGAGGCTACAGTCCCACAAGGTAGTGCATAACCTTTCTAATATCGGGAAAGAGTTGGCACCGGCCAGTGAGTAGACAATGATAGGGTGCAAGTGCGTTGAGAGGAGAATATCAAAGTCGGTGTTCACTACCAGGTAGCTCAACCAGCTTGTTGTGTAAGGTGATTCAAATTCGCGGAAGTCCGTGTGGGATTTCTCAGGGTTGAGGTAACCTGACGAGAAATTCGCGATTTGAATACATGAACCTGAGGAAGTTGAAAAAAAAATCCAGATTTCCTCCGCGTCGAGTTGGTGACTTGATTTCGATATCGCGAAGAGGGGTTGAAGTTCCTTCGTTTGAGATTGCTCAGGCAGCACACAGCCGGTCGAAAAGTGTTTTTTTTTTGTAAGGTTACCAGAACAACTCAACCGCAATCAGTTTTCCCTAAACCGGTGGGAAGTATTCAATGAGTGGATGGATTAATTGTTTGTATGTACTAGTTATTGTAAAATAAAAAAAAGGGAATGGCATCGGACCCACGACCGAAGAGGAGAACAGAGAAGAGCGAAAGTGGTGTGTGTGGTGTGTAGGTATAATAGGTAAAGGAAGGAAGAGACCTACGTAAGTGAAGACGAAGATGATAAACTAAAAGAAGGGTAGTAGTCGACATGAAAGGAAGGTTCAAACTGCTCAAGCTACCCACACAGAAATTCCTGGTTTGTGGTTGGTCCATGCCTTATTCCAGCAACGACGACCACCTTGTAACCTCCTTGCAACCTCCCTGCAACCTGGGCAGGGGTTGTCGGGCTGTGCCTTCAACTTCAAACAGCTACGGGCCTGCATACGTATGTACCAACGTCCTTGGAGGTACTTGATTTTACTATTGGATTGAACTACTAATCTCATGTAACTATTTATTAATTCAATGTTCCTATTCATGGGACAAGACTTTTAAACATCCAGATGTCACTGATTGAATGCTAGATTCGATTATCTACCTCACGTGCAATATGTGTGTACTTGAGTCCTGGTTTATCCATCAATGATCTTGCATGTTGTGTAAGTGTAGATGAGCTAGTTACATACCCTCTACCTACCCTATTTAGACAAGACCCATCGATCATTGGTCGAATTCATGTATGATATGATGGCTTAAGTGTCAAACGTGCAGCATTATTTAATCTACGCTAGCAGCATCTACGTGTATATATTTATCAGATCATTCAGATGAACCCATAATGCAACTGCTTCTGATCTATTTACACACTCTCATAACTACCTACAACAAGCATAATAGCTCTCCCGTAATATTAGGCTATTCTTGCTTTAGTCTCGGATCCTGTCAAATTTTCTATAATGGTATGCAAAGCCATTTGGGATCTTCATAACATAGTAGATTGCTTCTTATTAAGCTCGTTATGCGACTATTAAAGATACTCACATAAGCAGGAAAAGAGAAAAGGGAAAAGAAAAGACGCCAAGTTGGGATGAAGGCGGTTACACAGATACATGGTAATAGTTGCACAAGTCAATATGAAGGGGTTTCGACTTGCTACAGAAGAAGGTCAGTTGGGCCTCTTGCACCTGCTTCAACTAAACTACCAAAAGGGGAAAGTCACTGTTACAGGTCTCGTTAAAGTTGAGACTAAACCCCGGACCATGTCGTCAATGCGGTCGTCATGGTTGACAGGGGTATTGTGAAGTTACTGAAGTATCCTGATACTTATTGGACCCCTCTTTTGCCTCCTTTCTCTTGGTATGGCCCCTAGAATTTATTTTCATTGCAAAGTATCTAGTACTTGAATTTAATTCGTACTGATCATGCTTAATGAAGATTGGGTGGAGAATAAGGGGATCTTCACAGGGGCAGGAAACACAATCCATAGAATAAACGCCCGCAAACTCGGTATCCCGTGATCGAATCGGAATTTCATCATTTTATTCTATACAAATTCTGTAGATTGTTTGGAGTCGTTGAACATCTTTTCTTTGTGGGGATGAATTGCTTCTCCTGTTCTTCTATTCTTCAACCGCCCTGTCATCCTATCACCCTGCTACCCCGAACCCATGTGCCTGTCAAACATTGCTCTGGCATTGCTCTAGCATTGCTGAGCACAGCTCATCATCGACTAATGTCCACTCATCATCTACGGCACTTGAATGTACAGTATGATCTGTAAACAATCACAACCATGTGGGCGGGCGCTTCTGTTGGCGTCGTCGCAAACCTAACAAGCCCGCCGCCCGAGGGACGACCGTCTAGTTCTTTACCGTCGTAGTTCCAAACTCCTGTCATCAGTCGCAATCATTTATTGGCTAGACGTAGCCATCTCTCTCATGCGAGGTCGATCATTTACCCCATCCTGGTCAAAAGTCGGAGATCCATCTTATAACCTCTAATAAGCGTATCGCAAGGCTATCATGTTTGATTGGTGGCTCCACGAAGAGGACAATGCCTAACATACTTGAAGTTCTTGAACAGCCGGGAAATCCCTCTGGATTGGCTGGAAGAGTCTATTACTAACTGTAATCTGACCCAATCTACAGATTATTCTAGTTTCAGATTGAAGGACGGCAGCCTATCAAGGGTGTCGTCAGCTGATCTGCTATATACTTGGACATTCATCATTTTTTCCATTATCGGGGAAATGAAATAATGCACTTGGCGCACATCCCATTGTCTGAATCTAAACCAACAATACTCGTTACCTATCTAATATTTTAGCTCTAACCTATACTATGTATAGTCAGTTTGCTATTTTCAAGGCAGACACCACTAGGAAAAGCCAGAAAATCGTTTGTCCGGATTTTTGTGGTATCTTGGTTTTGTTAGGATCACCATCGGGGAATTTCCCAAGGAGACGACGTTTATGCAGCTGTTACCCAACAGTGGGCCAACACTCTGTGTTCTCGGAAGCCAACAATCTAGTGCAGGAAAGTTTGTGCGGTGTCCCTTCCAGCTCACACTACTCTTGATTATATTCACCGAAGAAACTAGGATACTATTATAGGCGACAAACGAAAACACAAATGGCGTGGTTAAAGGTATGGGGGTATTCTCGAACCCTCGCAGCCCTAAGACTCGTATTCATGCAAGTTTGGCGAGTACGATTTAGCACGGCAAGATTCGTTGGCCTGTGTCACCAAGGAATTCTCGCCTACAGCTAGCGAAAATGCAAGCAAACTCCCTGAAATTCGTCTTCAAAATTCAGGCGACTTGACTAGGTATGTAAACATTGTAAAGCCATATCCGAAAATTATAAACCAGCCTGGACCCTGAGCGCTCAAGCTTTTCAAGGACTACTGGTCCCATTCAGCAAACATCGTCTAAAAGTCTGGATCTACGTTTTCAGAGTCTACGAAAACTTTGCCAGATACTTTATTCTCTGTTGATTCCACTGAGCTAAATACATAGTACCTAGTATCTAGGATTCTAGGTTAGCATGTTGAGCTCCGGCGGAATCAAGCCGTTAAGAGAATTATTGATCTCTTCCAATCATGTTTAAGGCGAGGCAAATTCTAGATTACCTGCTGAGACCGCCACAAATCCTTCTAGTCAAACTGATACCGTGTAGATCTATTCCGTCCAGACCACCACTAGATCTGGAATCAAGTTATAGGCGTTTGCCTACGCCCTGGAGCTGGAATTCGCTCACCCGCAAGTAACGATGTGGCCCATCTATATCTCCGCGATTCATAATCAACTCAGAATGTGTATCCCAGGATAGGGGCACATGACAGAGATAGCTTGGGGCGCTCGTCTCGTTTTCTAGTGATCCATTATCTGTCTCGGGCACAGCCCTACATGTGATGTCAGCATTCGGAACGTCGCCTCGATTGAGAAGGTCTGGAAGGTTTCAAAGCGAACGTTTAGCATAACAGCGTCATCTGCTTCTTCCTTCTTTGCCACCGAGCACCTACATTGAAGACTCAATACAGCATTGTGAATCAAGAATTCGATAGCTTTAATTGTCCGGGGTTCACCGATAGTGCGGTCGTACAACGATGTTCCTTCCAAGGTTCGGCCCATCTCCCGACGTGAAGATAGGGACGTGTCATAACATTCAAACGCAGCGCAGCGCAGCGGCCCGAACCTAAACGCATATACTCAAACGCTAGCCTATGCCGTTGCCACCACCCCCTTTAAAAAGGGGAGGGGAAGATCCTATCCCCAGTCGCCACTCCTGTCTTCAGGGTAGTTTTCTGTTATAAGAGTCGCGATGAAGTCCTGCTTAGTATTAGCATAGGTCGATATATCAGTTATATAAAATAAAAGAACGGGTTACAGCATTGCCGAATAATTGATCAGTCAAAACCGATGTTACACGACCGATTAGCTATTTGCAACTCCTAAGGCTCACCGTGACAGATCGAATATACATACATCTAAGCCAAGTACCTACTTCGCAAGCTTTGTCCCTACTGTGCTTCTATCGCGATTTCTGATCTTGCCCCTGGGTGGATACTAGGTCGACGTGTAAGCCGCTGGAAGGCGACACAGCGAGATCTTTCTCGGGGGGCGGTGGTGAGTGGTGGTCAGAGTACGATGGCTAGTTAATACGGCGATGGCGTTATTGATACCTAGTAGGTGCTTTAGGCTTTAAGCTGTGGGTTGTGGGTGGGCCGTGTCCCCATTCCAAGTTGATGATCGGCGAGATTCGATGTCCCGGGTCCAAGGTCGTGATAGACCGTCTTACCTTTGAGGACTTTGGGTATTAAGTCAAGTTGGAGAAAAGGGGCGCGTTGGGATATCTTCACTTAAGGGGGATTTAATTAGCGGTGGTTGTGACTATGCGTTATGTTCTAGGTTCGGTCAGATATTAAACCAGAGACAGTTAATGAGAGATCAATCATTCACCTTTTGGTGTACCTAGCGGTAATGTTCTGGTGTGCTCTTTTCTTTCTCGGCGTTTGGCATGTCGTGATGGATACCTACCTAACCTAGGTACTACCTAGGTAGATAGTAAGGTGTCAAGCAACCTTAAACTCCGCATGGATAGTTGGCTGTCTCTCCCGTGCAGTGCCAAAGGTTCCTCCTCTACCTGAGGACTGACTGCCTACCTACCTACATATGTAGAATAAAGACGACTGCATGCATCCACCTATCTGTATAGCCTCCGTAGGTAACCTCTGTGGGAGATAGATGTTAGGTAGAGATCCTCG